CCCCGCACACACACACACACACACACACACAAACACAAGCACACACATATGTTCGCTGTACCTCTCAGCTCTCGTGAACTGACGACATCATAGGACTTTTGGAGCGTTGTCTGGCAACAAGACGTCCGCGTCATTGTGATGCTGACCGCCGAGACGGAGAATGGACAGCTCAAAGCACACAACTACTGGGCAAGCAATCATTACGGCCCGATCAGCGTTCACCTACACTCGGAACATCGCGCCTCGTTAGAGCCATCTAAGATAAGAGAACACCGTGCACAACGCACGAAGCGGCCAGCAGCACAGCATCGCAATTCGACTGGGTCAAGTCATTCCCCAACTCGTCGCGATAGCGACAAAAGCGAGAACATGAGCCCGAACAGCGAAAGGCCTTACGTCATCGTTCGTAACCTCACCATCAGCAACAGCGCCGAGCCGTTTGCGCGCATGCGAGAAGTCACTCAATTGCATTACACGGGCTGGCCAGATTTTGGCGCGCCGGCGCATCCAACTCACCTGCTCGGTCTTGTCGAGCAGTGCGACGCTGTTGTCCGCGCGTCGGCTGGAGGCAGGAACATCTTGGATCCGGCACCTGCTGACGAACGCCCTGTACTCGTCCATTGCTCTGCCGGCTGCGGTCGAACCGGGACATTCTGCACAGTCGACTCCGTGCTCGACATGCTCAAGAGGCAAATGCGTGACGGCTACCTGCATAACAAGGGCTACGAAGTGGATCGAGGTGTTCGTCAGCCCACGCCGATGGATGTCGATCCTCGCAGCAATCAGGGCTCGTTTTTGTCCAGTCCGACGAAAAGACAAGACGAGCGCTCGTTCTTTGCAAGCGTACCGTCTGGGCGCGAGATCAAGGGCGACGAGTGGCTACACCGAGATGATATTGATCTTATCGAGAAAACCGTTAACGATTTCAGATTGCAGCGCCTGAGCATGGTACAGAGTCTGCGGCAATATGTGCTATGCTACGAAAGCGTGCTCGAATGGCTGGTCGAGCAGCAGTCATCGGTGTAGTGGTTCCATGAACAGACGGGAGCTACGAAGTAGTCATCCGTTTATTTTTTTTTCTTTTTTCTTTCCGTAGTGTGTAAGAAATTAGGAGTGCAGCACGTGTTATAGGGGTACGCGTGGCGTCGGTTTTTCCTGTATCACTTGGTTGAATTGGGTGTGGATGGCACAACGTGGCGCGAGGCCTATGCATTTACTCATGGGGTAGATGGCGTTTGTTGTTTTTTTTTGGATTTTCTTTTTCTTTCTTTTTTCCCGTTATCTTTGGACTCTCTTAAGGTGCATTTGCCAGGTTAGAGGACATGCTTTACGCGCGGAATATTTTACATGCATAAAGGAATCGGCGAGACGCTTACGCAACTCAGAAACTCATGAGTAGTAGGGTATCAAGAGTTCGCTCCTTGGCTGGAGTAACTTCAGAATATATCACGGCCAGAATTCTATTCACAGATTTTTTTTTCCCTTGGTTCAAAGCTGCGCAGAAAACACATTGGATCCAGAGCTGCTTTTAGCTTCAAGGACAGGTGAATAGCACCACCATGATTCTTGTGACCTCGTGTGGATGGATGGCGGTTTTTTTTTTTTTTTTTTTTTTTTTTTTTTTTTTTTCAGTGGGAACCAACTCTTTGTAGCAGGTCGAGGGGTGAAAAGAGATTCCTGAGATAGAATCTGGTAATGTTTATGAACGAGGTCTTCGTTGTTTGTCCTTGCTCTTGTGAAGTAGTGACATCAAAAGCACATGACAGAACGAATGATGGACTTGAGGAAGGGTGAACGTTTTCGCCTTCTATCGCCAAAGGCGTCGTGCCCTGACGCTTCGACCGTCGATCTACTGTTTATGCGAAAGATGCACGGTCTGATCCTGGACGTGTTGCGAAAGACGAACCTGGACAAGACTGTGCCTCGTAGCCACTTCAACATCGGTCGCCGTAAAAACGTCACTCGTGAACTGTGCAAAGCCCAAGAGGAAGTCCAACGTCCTGGTTCCGATCGATCGGGTCCGCTTCCTGGTTGCTCGTCACTTCCAACGCACAGTTCTACGGCGCAGCGTGCGTTGAGCTGGTCAGGTTGCGAAGAGGACGGGAGGCAGGGCGAACATGAGGTAGCTGCGCTCGACAAGTAAGCATATAAAAACTAGGATATCCGTTGAAGCGAGAGGAAAGTATGTCGACCATCTGGCCAAAGCAAAGCAAAGCAAAGCAAAGCAGAGCAGAGCAGAGCAAAGCACGATGTCTCTTTTCCCGTCAACTTGCCTCGCCCCGCCCCGCCCACCCCCCCTCCCTCGCTTCCGTCTTTGGCGTTCTCCCCGCTGTCTTATGTCTCAAAAGCCAAGCGGGATCAGCTTCGTCCAGGAATCAGTTCGGCGCGGTATCTGTGCGAACCTTTATTTTTGTTACAACCAGAAGCTCGTCTGGCTCCAGGCTCCACTGACCGACGCTGGTCGCTAACCACCCTTCGGGTCGGTGGAGGCAACCGAATGGCTGCCTCGTGTACAAGAGTTTTGTCGTCGTGTATTTCCGTCACGCAGACACGAGCATGTCGTCACGGTGTTGACTGTAGGAGGGAGAGAAACGTAGGCTAGCAGGATAGAACAGTGCGGTTAAAACGTCTACAAATCTACGATCCGCTAGTTCTATATCTGCCAGCCCTCTATATACGGACCGCGTCCGTAAACCGTGCTCTTGAAAGGCGAAGTTTTTGCTTTCTTTGTTCCTCTGGTCGTCACCCCACTTTGCTATATATGGCTGAGACCCCACCATCGGGCGCCCGCGGGAGACGCGAGACATGCAGCGTTTTCTGTCTCTGTTGACTGCCGATTTCGCATGCCACCGTCGGCTCATCCGACGACCCTCCTTGCGGTGCCCGTTCCCGGCCTCGGGAAGCTGCAATATGTTTGGTTGCTACGCTGAATTAGCATGCGCATATACGGATATATAAAAGAGAGAGCCACATATATATGTGTATACATGTAACAAGTGTACGAAGTGTTCCGTCGCCTCGTCGAGAGAGAGCCTGTTTTATTTTTTTTTGGGTTTTATTTTTTGTTCTTCTCCCTCTCCTCCCACTCCGAGCATACACACATAACAGAGAAACGTTCCGATGGTTTAGATCCGTCCCTTGCTGTTAGTATTCTGGAGAACTTGTACCACCGCCGTGTGAAATCTCCACCGCCACCGGTCCACGCCGTCGCCGCCCCCGGTTACGTTTCCTTGCCAGAGAGAAAGGGGAGGGAAAATAAATAAATAAATAAAAACGATTTGAAAGCGACACAGAAATGGCCCCCCTCGGCCCCTACAAGCTCGTCACCGTGAACAACGCGCCCGAGCGCGCGAAGAGACTGATCGGCCGCGTGGTCGAGACGGTGAAGGACAGGTACACCATCGTCCACGCGTCAAACATTGAATGTGCGAGCCCTCTCCCCCTTCTCCCCCCCCCGCCGGCGTCAGCCGTCCCTCTTTTTATTTTTGGTTTTGTGCCCTTTTGCACTGACGCGCTTCACCCCGCGCAGCACCCGACCCGGAAGGCGTGAAGAAGGTCGTCTCGGAGATTCAGCCTGACGTTCTTTTCACGGCGTCGATGTGGACGCCGGAGGAGTCGCTGCGCGCTCGCAAGGCCGCGCTGGAGGTCAAGCCGGACATCAAGACCTTTGCGCTGCCCCAGGGCCTGCAGGTCAACCGCGGACCGGACGCCGTCGTGGAGTTCATCGTCGAGAACCTGCCCGGAATCATCGAGGGGGACTTGGGCGTGCTGAAAGAGTAGTCTGACAGTTGGTTTCTTTGCTCAAGTTTGAACATATAAAAAAAAGTTCGATGGTCGCTTGGCATTTCCTCGTCCTAACATGGTGTCGCTTGCCGTGGAGAACGATTCGAGGGTGATGAAATAGCGCTCATGATAGAATAATGAAAAAAAAGATGTGAAGAAATTTGGCTTTTGCAAGTATTAATTTAAATACTACATACTAAGTCGTGATGATAATCCGTCGGGGGAAAAAAAGGACCTTGGGCTACGTTCGTTCCAGCTTTTTTTTATGCAAACATTATCAATTGGAACTCCTGCTTCGGATACGCCAGTGCATGCTTCATCCTGGAGTCTACACTCTGGGATTCGTCGGGCCGAGAAAAATCAAACAAAAAAAACGCCTCTTTCACCTCCCAAAAGACCCAGAGAAAATCCTCGAAACGCCGAGCCAAGCCATGCAGAAAACAGAGTGAACCATCCACACGGCGGGATTCGACTTAAAGAAGGCCAAAGGCGCCGGTGGAGAACCAAGTGAACGAGAGGATTGTAATTGAGATCATGGCGAACATGAAGCCTAAAGCCTGTCTCTCCTTGCCGGACAGTGCGGCACTGCAGGTCGGACAGTTGAACTCTGCAAAATCGTCAGCTTTCCCGTTGTCGAGCACAGGCTCGCATTCACTTACCAGTCCACGGCACGTAGGGCTGTGGCACGTACATGCCGAACATGAACTGATTCACCGTCCCGAGCTCACCCGGATTCGACAGCGCAGTAGCCTTTGCCTCGTCGGCATTCTCAATGAGCAGCGTGTACGTCGCCATGACCAGCTGCGGAGTCGCCTTTGAAGTATACTGGTTAGTGTCCCAGAGCACAGTTTGTGTGGGCTGGTACGACATGTTGGCGGCGATGGTCCATTGCGCACTGGCCGTTGAGCATGTAGCATACACGTTGACGGCCTTGGGCTTGTTGATGATGGAGGTGAAGTTCCACGCAAAGGTTACCCAGTCGCCGATCTTGTAGTACTGTGAGCCAGCGTAGGGATTCGGCGTGATCATCGAGACACCGCCTGCCGGCGAACGTGGGTCTACTTCAGTTGAACTAGCGGCCGCGGAGGATCCTGTTATTGTACCCGACGCCGAGCCTTTCGTTGATCCCGTAGCCTTCGCCGAGTTCGAACCCGTGGCCTTGGCTGTGTCGCTCGACGTTGACTTGTCTGTTGTCTTCGATGTTGTTTTGGCGGTGGTCGTCTGTGAGGTTGCTGCTGTGGTTCCGGCTGTCCGCGAGGTCAGTCCCTATTCGACTCCGCTTGTCAAGTTGCCAACCCACCAGTATCGGTCTGCCGCTTGAATAACCTCTCCACTTGCTCTATACCTTCGACTGCTCTAACAGCCGAATCTTCGAACATTCCCTGCCATGAGAACGCCGCCGACACTCCAGCGAAGAGTGCAAAGACCTGAAGAGGCCTCATCTCGAATGCCTATGTCAATCAAAAAAAAAGGCACAAGACGTCTTCGACACCGGATTAAGGGATGTATCGATGTACGCCGACGTGGTTTGGACTGGTCGATATTCTGAGACTCGGGCGTGCTGCCGTCGCGTGGCTTAGTCGTGACAAGGGGTTCTCTGGTTGTTGTTGTCGAGAGCTGCCGGGCGTTGATACTTCTAACCAGAACGAGTGATGGCCAGAAGAGGGTGACGCCTGACAGACGGGCTAGGCCTGAGAGCAAGAGGTGTCGGAGTGAAGCGTTGACGGTTGGGAGTCTCGCAGAAAGTGTAGCAGGTGAAAGGTAAAAGAGAATCCACAATGCCGGCGTTACAGTTCACTAGACCCAAACAATCTCCTCGAGCAAGGGGAAACCCTATGGCAACGTCACGCTAAGAATACATTTCATTGGCACTAATCTGCTTTTGGGCTTATGCATGCATAAACGCCACTTTTTAAATAGATCTGTTGGCTGACAACCGGCCGCAGGAGAACGGTGCTCGTGCAAAACGACACGCAGTCTCCAGCCGGAAGCGTTGAGGTGCCCATCGAACACGAGACGCTTCGACCGTCTTCGAGAGGGAACGTCCAAGCAGGACCTGCAAGTTGCCTCCACCTCAAGGCAAAGAGGTTTTGCAGCGTCGTCATCACGTGCTATGTCGCCTCCGATGCTGACTCAAGTTGCACAAATGCTCGCTGCTCAAAGAAGAGGCGCAGCCCGAGCCCTTGTCGACTGCGCGATCTTTCCCATTCTTCTGCCCGCTGCATGTCTGATCAGGTCGTTTCAGTGCGCGAATTTGGTCCCACAATCAAGTCCTCGTCCTGCTTGTTCCCCCGAAGCGAACAGGATAGGGCCAGAGCTGTGATTTGCTACTGCTTACAGAGGACCTGGCTCGTACCCCTTAGCAGCTCCTCACAGGCTCAATCTCCGCAATGTCGTAGCACGCGGTTATCCACATAAATACCACCCTTTTGCCGTATACCGTCTTCTCATCTGCAGGATATCTAAAGTCTTTGTGAGGATGTCTCTCAAACGCCTCAGAAGCATCGTCAAGAACAGTCGGTCAGATACGGACACCTCCATGCCCTCGGTAGATGAGAATGATGGCAGCACCGATGCGCTTTTTCTCCAGCTGCCGCAGGAAATCCGGATGCGGATTTACCAGCACGCCTTCTCAAGAACCGCTGTAGAACAATTCAAGGCCCTTCATTTCGGCCCGCAAACCAACTCAGCGAGCGGGCTAATGCTCACATGCCGTCAAATCTACACAGAAGCCGCAGAACTCTACGTGGAAGACACTGTGGTTAGCCTTTGGCCTCAATCTCGCCACGATGCGCTCCCGTACAACAGCTCTGATTTCAAAACAAAGCCTTTTTTGAAAGCGTGGATGATGTCGCGCCATGGCATCGCCGTCAAGGAGCACCCGGAGACCCTTCGACAACTTGAACTTCATTTCACCTTGACGCGAGACACGCGAGCGTTCTGCGAGAAGTTTTTCGAATCAAAGCTGTTGCGCAATCATCACTCCAAGATAAAGCACATCTATTTGAGAATATGCATCTGTGGGGCGCTGCAATGGCTGCACGAAAGCCCCGAAAACGTCATGTCGTTTTGTTTGGCGCTTGAGGCTTTTGCGCACGCCTTCCCTGCACTGGAGCGGATCCATATCCTCTACTGTGGCCAGCAGTGGCCGGTATGGATACAAGCCCTAGGCAACGTCCCATTCCCCGAGATTGCATTTGCTAGGCACGAAGTGAGGATGTTTTCTGGAGCGAATTGGAGTATAAGACGTGCAGATGCTAGGAAGAGAACGTGGTGCCCCACAGTTAGTCGAGATCCTTCACAAGTTCAGCCTCCCGCAGGCGTTGAGGCTCTTCAGTCTGAGGATGAATGTGCATTCAGCGCTGTCATGACGTGGAACCACACAGCTGCACATCCGGGGGAGAGAACGGAGCTGGTTCCGTGGAAGGAAAGATCTATCAGCGTAGACTATTACGATAGCTGGACTGTGTTGAAGGATCGATGTGTGAGGAACAAACCTCATCAGCCCAGTGAGCCTCACTTTGTTTCCAAGTGCAAAACCCGTTCCATTACTCACTGACCATGTGCCTACAGAGTCCGGATCTGAACCAATCGGCCGTTCCAAGTTGACTACGAAACCTACAGGCATTCAAAGAGTTGTAAATCGAGTCAAACACAGCGTAGAAGCGACACCTTTGGGACCCACGTGGGGAATATACAAGTACATTCCAGAAACTAGAGCAGTAGCATCTATGAATCGAGGTTCGCATTGGCGCATGTACTAATGTGCCGAACACGTCGCAGAAGCATAATGGAAGTCTTGGCAAAGTCAACTTTTTTTTGGGTCTATTGTGGTCATAAAAAAAATCACCGGGATTTCCGTGTGACATGCTGTCGTGCCAGCATACCGTTTCCGAACCGTGTCTTATCATAACAAATGTGAATCAACATATCAACAACATCGCCTACTGTTTACTCGTCTTCTCCTCTGCGAATTTCTCCAATGGGTGCTCCGGATTGCTTTTAAGACCTTCTAGAATCTCCTTGTTGTTGTCATCGCTCTGCTTCCCAAACTGACCGCTTGCTGGAGGGTCTTGCTGCTGAGCGCCCGTTTGACGCTCAGGGTCCGGAGACTGACGGCCTTGGTTTGGAGCGGACATTGTGGCTTCTACGATGGCTCTAGGTCAGCAATGATTGTTCCTCTCTCGTGGCTTGATATTGTGTGCGCTGTTTAACGCATCTACAGTCTGTAAGACTCATCCGAAAAATTGAACATACTTTGCTTTGGCTTTGTTAAGGGAGATTAGATCTCCTATGCGAATTAGTTAATCGAATGTTCAGCCTAGTAGGATGCGAGCGTAGAGGCAGGTGAACTTACGTCTTCAAATGTTTTCAGCTTCGATTGGAAACTAAGGAATTTATGCGAAGAATTTTGTGAAGTCTACAGATTGGAATTCAGCTGTCAAGTGTATGATTCTCTATATAATATTGTTCTCATAACTACGTCATTAGAGTCACGTGATAGATCCACACGATAATCAGCAATTTCCAAGACAAGTCGCCCCGAGTGCTATCGAAAATAAAGTGCCTTACGACATGTGGTCTTTGATTAGCACTTCGTGGGTGGGCCGGAAAAAAATAATTGACCCGGGCAATTTTGCTGACGCATGAATGGCTAACTTAGCAGATTTCAATCTCCAACATTGGCATTCGGCGCGAAATAATCAAGACCCAGCAAAGAAAGTTCGCAGACTCTCATCCCAGTCGTGGACATTACCAATGTATCTCGCTACAGCACAAGCGTCGCTAGTGTACGGATTATCAATTATAAATGGGCTTCCTTCGTGATCAGCAACTGTTTGTGGATCTATGTATTTGTACTTGTCGTAGAACCATGGGCACTTCGATTTCAGATCTACGAGAAAGGCCTCATACCCGTGTCTAGTCTCGATAGCAAAGCTTTCGTGCATGTACTTCTCTAGGTCCTTGTCGCCCGTGTGGATGTCGATGTTGAAAAGCCGAAGTTTGCCGTTGCGATTTTCGACTACGATATGATCCAGGCAAAGGTGAAGGCCTTGATGTTCTTTCACTGCATCGAAGATGTATTTCCAGCCATGCTGTCGCTCATTAGACAGCGACAGATGCCCCAAGGCGAGAGACTCCAGCCATGGGCTTGCTTTGATCCAAGCGCTTAGGAGCAAAGCACGAGTCAAACAAGCGTGAAGCTCTACTGTTTTAAGTTCACTTAAGCTTGTAGCTGGCTTTGGCACTTGAAGAAGTCCCGTAATCCCGATATACCCAAAAACGCTCAGGGTTCCAGAGCTGCGCTGGATCAGATCGGCGGTCGCTTCAGCTATTTCAGCAACGCCTACATCTTCCTGTAGTCGATATGGCGTGCTTCGTCGAAGGATGTTTGGACTGATGTGAAGTTCTCTCAAGTTCGAAACGTCCAATTGACTCCAACCCGGCAAAGTGATCCAAGCCTGCTGGCAAGACGTTGCATGGTTGAAATCGATTTCATGAAGTTGTGTTCGTGCTTCTGCTAATGCGGAGACAACGGCAGCGAAGAACTCGTCTTCAACACTCCCTGCCGATTCGAGCCCTCTGACCTCGTATAAATGGTGGTGCTCTCCGGGCCAGATTATTGGATGAGGCCGGTGGTTGCGAGAATCGATCCCCATGCTGCCATAGTCTACGATTATTGTTTGGATTGAGTGACAAAATGGTGCCTGTCCAAGGGCTGAACTCCACCGTTTTTGAAGCTGCTTACTGCGCAAATGCGTCTGAGTGACAAGCGCCGCCATGTGATAAGCTTGAAAGACCTGGTCAAGATCACGCAGATAGATTCCTTGTCGACGATATAAAACTCTCAGAAGTTCCCTATTCATGTGCCAGTTGTACAGCGGCGGAACAAACGTCACATGCCTGACGTGCGGAGCGACACGTTCGAAGGACGTGTTCTTCAAACGCTGAGACTCGACCGGATCTGCAATGAGTTCGACCCGAGCGAACAACGACGCGTTCAGGGATTTCAGGTACGCGAAACGCCTACTGACCAGGCGCAGTGCCTTCAAGACCGGTGGCACATCAGTGTAGCTCAGTAAGCTTGCCACCAGCTGTTCAACGACAAGATCCAGAAGTTCATTTGGTAACGCATGGAGCGGGGGTCGAGCTTGCTGTTCTTTGACATTTCTGTAGAACGTATCGGAGGCATTCATCGAGATAATCGTAGCATGTGTGATAGGCACGAACAGCAGTAAAGTTTCTGATTCCGTTCCCTAGTTAGCTAATCCAGTGCTTTCGCCAAATCAGGTTGTACTTTCAAAGCGGCCGAACCATCTTTTTAAGGTAAAGTCGTCAGTGATCCAAATATGGCCTAGCTTGAACTTGCTGCCTGTTTAGAATGGCATACACAGGCTGCCGAGGGGATGTGAACAAGAGACAATTGGCATGACATTCATTATTACTATTCAGAATATCTCCTCGTAATTGCTTTTGAACTGAGTGGTTTCGAAACGCCAACCGATGCGTGCTGCCTAGCTTTCCCCCAAAATTGCGTTTGAGCTTCAATGCCTTCTAATCATTCCAGTCGTGCTGCCAGCCGTCTTCTTAAAAGATCGAAACTCAGTCTTACACATCCATCATGGCGACAAGAACAGACATTCAGGATATGTTGCGATTTTTGACGACAACAGCGAAGCTGCCTTTGGCAACTGCAATGGGCAAGATGAAGGAGTTATTAGCTGCTGGTATAACACAGTATAGTAACATTTAACTTTAGCGGCGAGACCAGCGGCTAAAGTGTTGTGCAGAATTGAACATGTTACCAAGGCCGACGTTGCAAAGCTGGAATCCATCTTTGGAGACGAGAAGACCGCAAAGCAGGTTCTCAATGCCGCAAAGCGGACGTCAAAGAAGCGAGAGGCTCCATCTGCGTCGTCCACTGCGCAGACCAAAAAACGCACGAAAACTGCTCAAGGAGAGATTCTTTCGCCAGCCGATATGGAAGCTTCTCTCGCCCTCCCGGATCCTGTAACGGACGAGGAAACCTTAGCTAAGACGGTTCTGATCACGAATCGTGCTCCGTTAGTTCTAGCGTTCGCAGTGACATTGCTTAAGTATACTCTACCAGACCAACCTTTAAGCAGCAGGTTGAGTCTAGCTCAAGCATGGTTGAGCGCAAGCGCTAGAGACAGAGCTGTTAGTCTGGGCATAGAATCTGGGAAAAGTGCGGAGGAAGAAGGCTTTGGGCAGGGACAGCCTGTTGTACGGATCATGGGACGTGACGTCCATGTGATGAGACGATGGGGTTATGATCCCACGTCAAAAGGTGATGAGCCAGAAACACAAGCTACTCAATCCACCGCGACCGAAGTGGGAAATTCGCAGGAAGAGCATGTCGAAGCTCGCGAAGCAAAGGAGCCACCTTTGTGGGGTATCGACCTCGAAGCACTTCGCAAATCTGCCACGCAACAAGGCCAAGCTGCTCGCAATAATCTGCCGATACACACACCACAATCGGCGCGAGCCTACCTATTGAAGGCGTTCAACAGCCCTACTGAATCCGCTCCCGAGGAGAATAGAAGCACGTCTAAGAAGGGGCAGAAGACGGCGGATTCGCTCTCGATTGTGGCGCAACGTGAGCGCAACCTTGGACGGCTATTAGGCGCTCTGGACTTACTGTACGAGTCGTGGTCGCCCACGCTGAGCCCAGAAGAGCTCGACAAGAGAACCTGGAATTGGTATGCGTCTGTCCGACCAGAAGTAGCGGACGGCGTTGATGGCTGGGGGGGCAGAAATGAGGTCAGACTCGAAAACATATTAAAGCTCCGGAGGCACGAGAAATGATCGCAATGATGATGATAATGATGTGTTATCCAGTCTTGAGGCTTCCTTTTTCTATCATGATCTTGGACTCCACTGTCGCAGGGCATCGAGGCTATTTAGCACTGCGATTACGTGGCCGTCACGCTCAATCTTCACAAGCCCGTGGTGCTCTTGATCTGCATTCCACTCTTCGTACTTCTTCTCTCTGTCAAGCAACAATCCGTACCACCCGTTGCCCGCGGCCGTCGCGCCCACAGCATCCTTTGCCACATCGTCGCCCACGTGCACCTTCACCGCATCGCGAGGCGCATATCTTGCCGCGTACTCAAAGATCCGCGGATCGGGCTTCTCGGCTCCCACGTCGTACGAGATGATCACGTTCTCGATGTCGCGGCCGTGGCCAACGCTTATGCCGAGTGACTCGAGAACGCTGATGATTCTGTCGTCCGAGTTGGAAATGACGTTCACAATGGTTTTCCCCCACGGCCAATTGGCGTTCTCTGGGATGGATTTCTTGACGATGCGCAGGGCGACGAAGAGCTCGAGCGCGTCGGGGTAGATAGCGTAGCCTTCTTTGTGCGAGAATCGATAGAGCAGCTCTTCAATCATCTGCTTGGGGACTTCTTTTGGCGCATCAGCGATGGCAGTATAAGGTTCGAAAGTGCCCTTGATGATCTGCACTCAGGTTAACATACGAGTTGAAGCACGTTTTTTGTCAACCGCTACGAAAGATTGGCTGCACTTGCATTGGCCCACCATTGACTGGCGTCGAGACCAACTCCTTTACCATAATTGGGATGAATTCTGCTCTCTTCTTTGAAAGCTACATTGCACTTTAGCAGCAGGTCAGGGAGCATCGAACTCGTATCTACATTACCCTTTCTGAACGAGTTCTCTAGGTCAGCTGCCGACAATCCTCGAAACCCATATTTGGCCCCTACAGCACTGTACTGCAGCGGCACGGGCTTTCTCGGGTGGAAAATTGTTCCGAATCTGAAGACTATGAGCATGTACGTGCTGCCGTCAACATTGTGCACATACGCGTCCAGTGTCAGGAAAAGCGTGCGCTTTCGCAACGGAGATGCCATGAACGCGACTACGACGCGGAAACGTTACACATCACAGTGATGGTCCTGGCTGACAGCTCGACAGGTGACGTTGCTTTTGCATTTCTATGCCCCAGAAAATAAAACCCGGCCGCAAGCTCGGGATGAATAACCAAGCGCAGCTGCACAGCGGCAGCACTGGACAGCCGGGTCTGCAGGATCAGTCACGTGACAGAGGTCGAGAAGCTTGGCGCGGATGAGGCTGGCAACTGACGTCAAAGCATCATTTTTTTGCGCGAAGAGCTAGTGGTTTCTGTGTGACGGGTTAGACTTCGACTGGCTTGGGCGCCGAAAGCGGGCTTAGGTAAAAAGTATGACGAGTCGTTCGGGGCGAGTGGTGCACCGAAAAGGAACGCATCAGCTGGGCAACAAAGCAGCTCAGGTTCGGTGAGGGCGCGCGAGGTCAGCACGGCCCCTGGCCTGGCCGAGCTGAGCTTGCCTTACTGCTGGGCTGCAGCCTGCGCGAAGAGCACGTATGGGCAGCGCAGAGCAAGCACATGGACATTGCGTGGCAGCAAGGCAAAGATGGTGCGCAGGCGCAAGAGACGAGCTTCCAGTGGGTCATTGTTTTGGACTCCATTGACCGCTTTGTGATGTTCACATGGGCAAGCGACGGGCTTTGTATAGCATCGGCTGCGCCGCCCGTTCCCTAGGTCCAAAGTAGCTTGCTGCGTCTGATGAGACGCTTGCGGAGAACTTGGAAGGGGAACGGGCAACCCTGAGAACGTACAGCTGGGGGGAGGGGGCAAGGCAGCATCCGCACCGCACAGCGACGTCAACGCGCCGAGAGGGAGCAAATGCGTGAACGGGCTGGCTCATTTTGTGTCGCGAGCGCGAGCGATGGATTGGCTTTAATTTTGTTTTTCGGAACTTCTGGACCGCCGCTACGAGCTCGCAGCGGCCTTGGTTGGGCGTGAGAGAGTGCGCGCGCGTGTCTGTTTTGATGTTCTTATCACCCAGTGACGACCCTGTAGCTAGCGCTGGGAGCCTTGGTGCCTTGCCTCTTTTCCAAAGCAAAGCGGCCGCCCGCCCTCTCATAACAAGAGCGCTCACCAAGTTCCCTCACACTGTGAAAGCAGCCTCTACTCTCCATACAAACCGACTGTCCCCCATACTGCTGCGCTCGCATCTCAGGTATGTACTGGTCTCCGCTACCAAATCCCGTCCGGCGCATACGCTGCATTTTGCCCACCACCATTTTTTTACGCGTTTCCACTGCTTTTTGGCGCGTCTTCCGGCTTGAATTGCTTCGTCATGCCTTCATTTTCCCAACTTCACTCTCCTTCTCACCTACGCCTTCGTCGTCGCCAGTTGCGCCCTCACGCTGGCCTGCGTCTTTCTGATGCTGATCAACCCAACAGGCGCATTTGATTCCATTTGATTTTTCGCGGTCGCAACCACTCTGTAAGTACATTCTGCACCTTTTGCGCCCCAAATTCCGCCTTTGGAGACGTGCTTCGCTTGCGACAACTGCGCGCCGCGTATACGTCCACATACACGCTCTCACTTCTACCCCACGCAATACCTCTTACTTCACAACACTGCCATTGAGCATCGAGCACTCGCTATCTTCGTCGCCTCCTCACTCTGATCACTCATTGTTAGCGTGACCCACCCAAATTCCACACCTAGCACCGTCCAACTTGCTTGCGCGATCAGCCTTTCACCTAACCACGCCTTTCTTTCTCGCCAGCAAGAGCTAACCACAGCCGCGCAACAGTGTAAAAGCAGTCATCATGCCCAAGGAGACCAAGTCCCGCAAGGCTAAGAAGGACGTTGGCGGCAAGCGCAAGAAGGGTAAGTAGAGCTACCACGCGGTTGAGCACGGCCTCGGGACTGACACGACACGTACAGACCCCAACGCGCCAAAGCGCGGTCTTTCTGCGTACATGTTCTTCGCCAACGATAACCGTGACAAGGTCCGTGAGGAGAATCCGGGCATCAAGTTCGGTAAGTCGACGCGTCCTCGTCACGCCCCCTTCTAACACGTATTGACTTGCGCGCAGGTGAGGTCGGCAAGCTGCTTGGTGAGAAGTGGAAGGAGCTCTCAGCCAAGGAGAAGGAGCCGTACGAGAAGAAGGCCATCGAGGACAAGGAGCGCTATGAGCGCGAGAAGGCCGAGTATGCTGCCGCTGTATGTCGCGTCCTTGGATGCCCTTCGGCCATTGTACCACGGACGGCAGTACTGACGCGATGCAAAGGCCGACGACGACGACGACGACGAGTAGACGTGTCCACGTCTTCTCCTGGTCACGAACGAAAACAAAAAAGGGCTCCAGTGCTCCCCACGCGCACATGCTCACATGCGCGTCCCTATATCTTGTTTCTTCATCATCGGATAGCGGATCGGCTTGGATTTCCCATTACTCGAAGCATTTATGAAAACTGGGCACGCAAAAACGACTGCTGGGGCGCGCGACCTTCTACTATTCCCGCTGCTGCTTTCACGATCTGGGTCGTCAAACCATCCACGACCCGCTCTTTCTCAAAGGGTAGACACGCGTTTCACAACCAATTAATGATCTGCTTCACGATTGCTGGTGGAGATTATGTACAACTAGTTTATGCTCAATCAAATGAAGATGCTTTTCGGGTAATCTCTTTCCTTCCGTCGCTGTTTGGCCTTCCCACTTTGCGCTCCTTCTGACTCTTGACATCGTGCGCCTCTTGGGCTCCTCATACAAGATCAAGTCGACGCATCCTCGCCACGCACGCCGTCTCCTTTACGTCGATCAACCCCTCTTCCCGTGAGATTTTGACACGCGTCAACGAACACGAATCACAGTCAAGGCGGCGTTCGATTCGACCGATAATATCAGGTTGCAACAAATGACTCCGCCGTTTTACAAGCGCCTATCCACTTGCCGTGACCGGGTTAAAGGTTAGGGTTGTAGTCCTCGACTTCAACGGCGCCTCGAAGCGTAAGGAACGGGGGGACCTTTCGCCGTGACTTCGGTCGCGAATCCCGCCGAGAGCACGGTCAGTGCCATTTTTGCGTTGCAGAAACCACCTTCGTCCATTTTCACGTTTGGAAGCACAAAATACGTTTGGACTTCCTTTCAGCGGAAACGTGCCGGGGATGGGAGCAGTCGCGAGAAAGCATTGCTTGAATCTTCATATCTTTGTTGCTGTTTTCTTGGTCCTTGATGAACCAGTCGCCTTGTTTAGATTCGACATCGACGCTCCAATGAATTAACCCAGGAAAGGTAATATTGCGCGCCCTCCTTCACAAATCCCAAACAGTCGCCAAGCCATGTTTTTGCTATTTGCACTCAAACAATCGAGGTACATGCTCCTCGTTTTCGCGCTCAACTCATTCCCTCTGAAGCACCACTGTCAACCCCATGATCGCTATCATCGCCGTTTTCAACCATGGATACTCGCTTAGTAATATCGTCACGTATCCGACAAGGGGGACATCTTTATGCGGAGAAACAAAAGCATGTCAGCCAAATATTCGCATTGACAGTTCAACCGAAGGCCATAGATCGTTACTTACAGCCTACTACGCTGCCAATCACGTCTCTCTCACGATTGAGAAAGTTCTGGCCTGCTGCGTACAATTCGGTGTCATCCGCCGCGTTGTTCTGTGTTCGTGTTAACCACTTGAGAATTCGAATATGCTCTCAGAATTGAAGCCTTACGTCGCCCTTTGTCAAAAGATGTAGAGTATCGTCGATGGTGAATCTTCGTATCACACGGTGGACGATGGGAATATCTTTGCCCTGGAGGTTCACTGTCAGATTTGTCTCCATGGAATGCGCCGTGAGCCGTTGCGCTCATGTGAACAAGGGGCTTACTTGGATGTTGTAGACCTGGAGGTAGTTAGCTACAGTGTGAATCGATATACTGAATTGCAAACATACTACTATTTCACCGATTTGCGTGTCCATTCCTCGGTTCCTAGTTTGCTTCGGTTAGCTCTTCCGCCGAGCCATAATTGTCAACCCGCACAGGTTTCGTCAATTCGAGGTCATAAGTCGAGGACATAGCGACGTTTAAAGTATCGGTAGGACATACCAGAGGAACAAAAGGTCTCCACTGCTTACAGCATCAGCAACTTCTTTTGAAACTTAGCAAGTTACCCGTACCGTTCAAAAGCTGGCTCCATTGATCCACTGAGCACGACAACGATCGGACTTGGACTGTTGGTGAAAACACTGAGACCCTGCACTCGGTGAGCGGTTGTAATTCGAGCAAATGATCATCATTCGCGTACTTTCCACATCTACGAACAATCATTAGAAGCTGGAACCATCGTGAGTAAAATTTCTCAGCAGACTCACCATGAACGCCGTGCTCAGTACTAAGCCAAAGTTAAGCACCTTTGCCTAGAAGTTAGACGATCTTCCTTTCTTTTGTTTACCCACACGCCCTTGCGGGATTTACCTGGACAAGCAATTGCCTGGGCTTCATATCCCCTAAGCTGGAGAACATCTTCGATCGTTATAGGAATGCGAAGGAATTATGCGGGCGCGATCGGAACGGTGAGGTTGTTCGGCAGACACTCCAAAGGAGGGCGCGCGATGTACGAGGAAGGATTGGTCTTTCGGTATTGACCTCGATGCTCTGCTGACATGCAAATAGTCGTTGGCCTTGTTAGAGCTTCATGCTCCACGTATTGCTTTGGCTGAAACCCTGCATCGCTGTTGATCCATGCTTGTAGGGCTGATGCGGAGGCTATTCCCAATTTAGGCGGCTTCCGACGTATCTCCTAGATACCATTTGCTCCATGATACGCTTCAGGCTAAAAACTTGCTCAGTATATCGTCAATCTGCTCCCGCTCGTATGCATGGAATTTCCGCAAGCTCCTTTGCGGCCCACAAGCACATGCGAATCGTCATCGAGGGCGCAGCCCCGAGCAAGTGAACGGGCTTGTTAGAACGGCCGCAGGTGCCAATTGCGTTCCTTCCCATTCCGTAGTCATTAGACTCTGTCAGAGTCGGAGGAAATCACAGGACTTTTAGTCTTAGCAGTTTTGGGAGTTGTCTTGGCTTGTTGATCCCGATGACGAAGGAGCGTCTGAGAGCGCGCTTATCCATTTCTACCCAGGTAGATCTTTGGTTTGGGCAGTCGCGCTGGGTAACAGTCTTTTGATTGATATGCATAGGGCATTCACTGCCCCCTTCATTCCTTCTTCAACTCAAGCTGCAGCTGGTTATATTTGAGAAACTTCCCTAAAGTCCATATTGCTTATCATCTCTAATCTATTTTCCCTTTCAACTTCGTAAGTGTAAACCTCGTAACTCCAGCTTTCAACCAGAGAATTGAAACACAACAGCTGGCATAACCATTTATTAACGACTTCCAAACATCTATATAGACGGACTCACGAGGTTCAAGGCGAATATCCAGAGTTCAAATTCATCGGCATCAGCCATGCACGATTTGGCTGACACTATAAAGCCAGAGGATCAGGGCATGCTGGTCAGTGACGGCATTTATTGGCCCGTACTCGTCTTGCACGAGGACATGGTCCCAGAGAAAGCTAGATTGAAGAGAGAAAACGACGACCTGTTGCCCGTCTTTCTCTTCCAGAAGGACGAAATGTAGGATTTCTAAGCACAGCCCTCTGTAGCTCCGCTAACCATTAAAGCCGCTACGTGCAACGGGACGAGATCCAAAAGACAAGCGTTAAAGAGTTCTCAGTGTTATTTGACTTGGCAGGGCATGCCAAAGATAAAACTCTTCAGCAGGCTTTTCACCTGGCAATGCGCAACGACGGTGCGCGGTATTGGAAGAGATATATTCGAGACGCCTGGCTCGCTCGGTCTTTCCAATGTGAAGAGTATGATCCCATTGTGGACTCTGGAAGACTCTACAGTCCCCACAGTTCCCACAGAAAGCGAGGTCGCGATGACAGTATCAATGGAGAGTTTCGAAAGAGGGGTTGTAATCGAATGAAGCGCACCAAGAAAACTTCGGGTTGCGTACACAATTCATCTGAAACTGAAACTCCTGATTCGAGGAACATCAAGGCCAGTAGTATTCCTCCTGGTGCTACGGTGATTGACTTAAGCAATGAAGTGAATGATAAAAGGCATGAAATCTGGACTGATCTAGAAGACGCTCATGTTCTGCGCGAAGAGCAAGCTGTCTCTGATCGAAATATTATTGCTGAAACGCCCCGAAAGAAATCTAATCATCGTACTAAACCGTCCACTGATCTGAATCAACTCTATTCAAGCGGCCATCAATCGGAAAAACGGCTCAAGGAAAAGTCAGTCAAGAACCACTGTGACGACACGCGGACGCGAGATTTCAGACTGCAAGGTCACACAAATAGTAAATCACATCTCTCTAGCCAAACTTCTTCTGCAAAGTTCGAGATTAAATCCCACACTGCTATATTTTCACCAGGGCATAAGACTTCTATGGATGGAGATTTAAGCTCATGCCAACAGAACCTATCTAGTACCAAAAATGATACGAAGAAAAATTGCAGCTCACCGAGGCCCAAAGATAAGGAAATTAGTGCTCACAAATTTTCGGTAACAGAAGACGCCGAAATCATACGTTTTCGGGAGCAAAGTACCTGTTGTGTCTCTTGGCTGGATATTGCAACAGAGTTACAACAAAGATTTCCCTCGACTAAGTGGCTAGCTACGAGCATTAGGTTGAGATATCTGAATTGTCTCAAAGAGGGTGCGCAAGGAGATAAATATACTTCTGCTGAGGCTTGCACCAAAGCTCGAAAGCGTGCACTTGCTTACCTTAAGCGTCAAACTCACCACCTTACTCCAGTCAGAACTGAACTAAAACTAGATGCTCAAGATGATAAGACTACTGAAATAAATACCTGCGAGGATGGTAGAGATGAGAAGAACGAAAACGTTGAGAAAGGTAAATTGGACGGCAATAACTGTAGCATTGACAAGGGCGCTAGGGACGAAGATGAAAACAAAAGCAAATTTGATGTTGACAAAGCGCCAAAATTTTCTCTGTATGTGAAGAGACTCATCTAACTTCCCGGTCTTCTACTTACACAGCGACAGAAATAATAACGATAGGGGATCCACAACTCTAGAAAACGTTAGCAACAACGTGGAGAACGACACGGAAGAGGAGATGATAACAGTAATTATTGGGAAAGAAAAAAAGAAATTTCGTGTTCCTATCACTCGAATACTGGGAAATGTCCTTTTCATCGAGGACGCACAAATAGTGGACGGACTCGGCACTGTTGTGACAGGTGCACGCTGGGCACGCATTACTCCAGATGCATTTTGGCCAGTCTACGAGTACCTCAAATATGGCGACTACCGTCCGCGAATGGTCGGAGATCAGATTGAGGAAGTAGAAGAAGGTGGGCATGGAGGAGAGATCGTCCGCTGTGGGCAGGCTTTCGATATCGCACGTGAGCTGCAGATTGACGAACTTATGAGTCTCGCCTGTCGCAAATTCAGAATCCTTAACAAAGGCCCAGCAGCTGTCATGATGGCAGCTCGCTTAGTTTTCAAACGAGAACCCGATGAGACTATCCATGACGCTCTGATGCGAGAATTGATTCTAGACGAGATTGATTCAAACTATCAGCGGTATTTCAAGCAGCAGTCGAGGGAGATCTTCATCCTGGCTCGCGAAGCAATAGACTTCAAACAAGGGTTATGGAAACGATTGGGCTTAAGGTTCACAAATGAAGCCGGAGAAAAATGAGAGAGAGAGTAGGTTGTTTTCATGAACTTAATGGGAAAAACCGTTGAAATGAGGGATTTGATAAGGTTTTAACTCGGTGGCTCACACCTTACCTCACACATCTCAGGAGAGAACCGAGTATTCTGTAATATTACACAGTCCTTTGCACTCCTCATGCGGCAAAATTGAAAGTAATATGAAGTCAAACAAAGATTTAATGACAAATGCAAGATTCAATCTATCTTCTGATTCGCCAAGTTTGTTGATTAGCCAAAAGAATGTTCTGAGATAAAACTGCTTTGAATTAAGTGACGGCTTTTCAACGTGACGGAATTCTTAACGGGTGGCAGATACCCCTGTGTCACTAGGAAGTCCCTCCTCATCGCCTGGCTCTCGATATGTTCCTGCTTGCTTTGTAGCACCCCGAGTGCGACTCCCGATAATGTTAGTTTCGTCGATAGCACTCTTGTCATCGGCATCTACAGGTCAAATAAGTCTGGACTCTGCCGAAACCCGGAATAGCATACCTAATTGCTCGTCACTATCAGCTTGGGGATCAATGTCACCCTCGTGAATCCCTGTAGCCTGCTCGGCTTTATCGTCTGCATCAACAGGTATTTCGCTCTGTCCGGGGCGGCTTTTATAGTCATTCTCGTAAAAACCATCACCTGCTGGTGTGTTGTGAACAGACATTATGTAGCCTAATTTTCCAATATGTTGCGATATTATTCTTTTGAATATGTGAGCAAGGATTTCAGATGGATGATTGTAATTTGAGGATTCTAAAGACGATATTTATGCACTAGCCAACATCCAGCTAAACTCATTGTCACATCAGATTCACGACCTGCGAAGAGGTGGTCACGTCAAGACTACCTCATTGTGCACGATGAAAGCGTTGAAACATTCGGTAAAGACAGGTCCTAGTACGGTGAAGCTAGGAGTATCGAAATGTCCTGATGCTAACGTAAGGTCACTAGATCTACTACTGGCTCCACGTATTGTCTCTCACAAGCGATCTGCACACTTTTGATCCGTAAGCACAACATATCACCGTTAACGGAGTTACTTCCTCAACGAATATGGCTGAATCTAGACGAGGGCACTCTCATCCCAGGGTCATAGAACATTCCGAAGGAGAATGGTGTGCTCCTCGATATCCGTAGCAAACGTCAGGACATGGACCGGGATGAATGGATCTTTGTCAGGGAGCCTCAGGGCAGCATCCAGATCGAAGAAAATGAATCGCGAATCGAGAGATTGCGGGGTTCTGGGATCGATATCGGATATTCCCATGGCCAAGGATGAGGATGGGGCTCCGGGGCAGGGTAGAGTCGTGATGTAAAGGCGGTCCTGGTGAGCCCTGGGACGGATGAAGTCATCTGCGCCAAAACGAGGCTGAATCAAACGCCGTTCAGGTTCCAGAAAAATGATCCATCATCTGACCGATTCCGCGATGGCGTCGCGTGCCGCTTGAGAACCGGCGTGCGCGTCAAAAGCCAGGAAGGGCGGTGACCATTTGGAACGATGTGGGTGGGTAGAGGGGGGAACCATTTACTACAACTGTTCAAAACGTTTGACGTAAACACGTGACCACTTGGTGTTTTTGATGACGTTTCACTGCTTTGATCATCATGCACTGTAGTCTGAACTTTTGCGTGTTTTACGTGCATACATTTTGTGCTACGTTAGATGCATGGACGAACGCTTCCACGACCCTCTAGCTGACTTCACAGGAACAAACTTCCACGGCCTCTGCAACGTGGTCCAAAAGACTGGAATGGGTTGCAATTTTAGACTTCGCAAAACGGTCGTATTCAAAATTTTCAGAAAGTTACCGAGCAAGAGGTTTTCGGTATTACGAGCATCATAAATTGATGGCTAAATTTTTTTTCTCATTATGAAGCTGCTTCCGACTTGATGTTGTATTCCTTGTTTCTCATCATGATTAAATTGAGCGCGACTGTTCATGTATCTACAGCGATACGAGAAGCATTCATGACCCGGAGAATGTTGTGTGCGTGTAGAGATGGCAAAAAAAAAAAAAAACTCTTGAAACCAGAAAAGCAAAAACGCCTTGTCCGTGAGGGGGTATCATCTATGCGAGCAATCCCAAAGTCAAACCAAACCGAGCTAAATCAAAACCAACCGCAAATTAAACGACACCAAAACACCTATCCCAATTGTATGAGCTGCAACGGCAGCATTCAAGCGCCATCCTTTGCCTTCCTCTTTGTCCTAACCGACAGGCTTCGAATCAATGCTCTTAAACCACCAGGGAAGACAGCCAACGTGTCGACGCTCCACTTACTTCGCAACTCACCAGCACCAGCAGAACCAAGAAGTTCGTTTCTGGCGAGGACGTCGAACCGGTTGCGGCGTTCTCGATCTCGTTGGTTTTGTCGTTCGCGGATAGCGCTGTCAGAGACTAAGTAAATTTCATGTTCGACAGAAAAACGCGGCGACATGTTTACGTGACGTATGTGAAGGATGGAGAGGAGATCCTGATCTATGAAAGTGCAGGATGACGGCGAATTTGGGTACGCAGGAGACGTTCCTCTTGTGCGCGCAGGTTCTGACTGAAGAGAACGACTGCGGGATCTACTTACATAAGTGTGAGGCGGATCTACGCATGTGTATGTTGGGCCCCAGGACACGCGAGTTTGCCTTCTAGGATACGACGACCGATTGGAGTGCGATGCTCGATTAGGATGAGACGTTCGATTGGAATGCGACGTCCGACCGGGATACGAGTTACGCGTCGGTTGAACCGTTCTCAAAGATTGTGGCTGTTCCAAGCTGGGCCTTCCGGATCCGACAAGAGTAGGTGACGTCGGCGAGTATGTAGTCTCTGATCCTACTAGCGTCGATGATACGCCAGATTTACCCGTTCTAGCTGAGTCCGTGTGGTGTAATGGCGCCCTAATTTCCTGGTAATAGCCGGACGGGTAACCATAAAGGTAGGGGTTCGGATTGAACTGATACTGATAAGGATCATAATGAGTGTTAGTTATTGTATCCTGCGGATAATATGATGTAGTGTTGTTGACGCGCGCCCTGGCCTCGGCCAGGAAATGCTCGTACGAAGGTATTTCAGGCGTGTCTGTCCGTGGAATGGTGTAGTAATATCCTCCGCTGTGTCTCCTGGCATGACGGCGCTGCGCCGTCTTCAGCGCTTCCCTGCTGGCTTCTAGGATTTTGGCGGACTCATCGGCCGTGTACAATCTGGTACCTGCAGTAGCCGCATCGGAGGAGCGTCGATGAGATCGTCTCCGGGTCTGGTGAGGGTTGTTGCCGCCGTGGTAGTATGCGGCACCATGGCTAGGCATAGCTGTGGCAACGGGAGATGAGCAAAGAAGCGAGCTACGTGGTAGTTGAAGATTGGCTCCGGGAACCTACCTTGCAGGAGCGGCGGCAGCTATGCCTTGCTTATATTTCGGCCTTAGAAAGTTTTGGTGTGAAAGGGTTTGGATCAGGCGCGCTCGTCATGCAGAGAATGGGTTTCGTAGGGTGACGAGCGCATTAGTACTCAGCACCACGATGGGCCCAGCCGTGAATGCTAACAGGCACTGTTTCGTGGACATACCTTCCGCGAAGGTTTCTGGGGCCCGCCTAAACCGGCAAACATGGGGCGTTCGCAAGTAATAGTTCCTGGAAATCCTGTCGAGCTATCGATAGTGCGGCATTCAGCTAGCCTACGCAAGGTGCACGATGGGAGAGGAACACCAGAAAGCTGGGGTATGGATGCAAGATTGCGTCCGAGGCTGAGTCTGCTGACCTTGGATCGCATCATCTCAGCAGAGCGGGTGAGCGTGCCCAGTGACAGAACGGACAAGGGCCGTGTTAAGATAAGATCATGCTAGGAATAGAACAATTGAGTGGAGGGGCACGGCGGGCGCGGTAAGCCTTTGGGACGTGAATCACTGCCTGACGGGAGGGCAAACGAGGCGTGTCCGACTCCTGGATCGCAAGCCTTCGATAGAATGGCGTTGCGGATCAGGCCTATCCACTTCGCAGAGGGCCGCTGGAGCCTTAGAAGAGGTGGTGTGCGAAGGTGAAGCTAATGCATGGGACGAGGTTTGCTTGGGTGAGACGGGCAGCATCATTGGAGCGCAAAGGACTGCGCTGGGTCACCTGGCCGGCGGCGTGCCTTGCCCACATCGTCTGTCCAGGCGGGCCGGGCCTCCGCATTCGCATTCGCATTGCAGTGACTTTCAATGTACCTGGCACGGGCGACGGCGTGGCCGGAGAACTGCTGCCCTGTTCGCGTCGCGCTGTGTCTCGAAAATCATGGAAGCGGGGCCGAGTGGCCCGTCGTTATTCTGGGAAGAAGGCCGCTGTCGATCAGAGTTTGCGGCGTTTCCTGGCCGCAAGTACCACCGACACGCCCGCCAATTCAAGCTCTGGAGGCCCACGGCACGCCGCGTCGGTCGGCGCAGCGCGGCGACGAACGGGTCGACGACGGATCCCGCAACGGCGTGGCTCGCCCGCGCCGCGAAAGAGCACGCGTCGACCGGGCGCTGATGCTCCTGCTGAGCGATCAAGAACGATGCGCCGGTGTCGACGCGCGTGGATGAATGTTCAAGCGCATCGCCCAGCCAGAGCAAGGCCACGCGCGCTTGGGCCAATGGGGGCGGTTCCGTTTCCGCCTCTGCGAGAGCCGAATTCTCCAGCCGACGCTCCTCGTCCTCGACGCCGGCTAACAGTTTATGAGCTGGTCTCCGCTGGCCGACAGTGGTAAATAGGAATCATGCCTGGCTCTCTGAGCACCGTCTGCTTTGCATACCGTTCATCGACATCGCTTGCTGACCAGCGCTGACCTTGCCCTCCGACCTCGTCGTAGCCCTCTCGTCCCTGCTTCCGTTTCTCGTCCGAGCGCAGCACGTCCAGCGACATGGCGGGATTCATACAAAAGGGCCTGAAGAACATCCTCACCAAGCATCCTAATGACATTGTGATACTCTCGTCGCTCAGAACGCCCGTGACGCGCGCGAAGAAGGGTGGCTTCAAAGATGCCCACGACCACGAAATGCTCGCTGCCGTTCTCAAAGCCATCCGCGAGCGACATCCCAACCTTGACCCTGCCAAGGTAGAAGACATACAGATCGGCACCGTGCTGTCAGAGCTCGGAGGCTCAAAAGCAGGACGTATGGCCGCTCTCCATGTTGGTTGGCCCGAGACGACGACCTTCCAGACGGTGAACAGAGCTTGCTCGAGCGGACTGGCGGCGATCACGGGGATTGCGCACAGTATTGCCGTCGGCCAGATAAGCGTGGGCATTGGAGGTGGTATGGAGAGCATGACGAAGAACTATGGCTCGAGAGCTATCCCGACAGCGCTGTGGGAGGATCTGAGACATTCGCCGGTCAAGGATGCGAGGGACTGTATCATGAGCATGGGTCTGACAGCGGAAAATGTGGCGGAGAGATATGGCGTGAGTAGAAGAGAGCAGGACGAATTTGCTGTGAGTAGTCACACCAAGGCTGCAAAGGCGCAAAGCGATGGACTGTTTGCCGAGGAGATAGTGGAGGTCAAGACAAGGTGGAGGCCCAACCCTGAGGTGCCCGAGGCCACGGAAGAGATCACTGTCAGCAAGGACGACGGGGTCAGACCGGGAAGCAACGTGGAGAAGCTGTCGACGATGAAGCCTGCGTTCAAGGCGGATGGCACCGCGACCGCCGGAAACAGCAGCCAGGTCTCCGATGGTGCAGCGGCGGCACTTATGATGCGCCGAAGCACTGCGCAAGAACTCGGTCTGACCAACGAGATTATTGGAAAGTGGGCGGGGACGACTGTTGTGGGCTGCAAGCCGGACGAGATGGGGATCGGCCCTGCTCTTGCAATCCCGAAGCTGCTGGACTACACTGGGATCCAAAAGGAGGACGTAGGTATTTGGGAGATTAACGAGGCGTTTGCAAGCCAGGCTGTGTACTGCGTCAGGGAATTGGGCATCGATCCAGGCAAAGTTAACCCCAAGGGCGGTGCGATTGCTCTTGGACATCCCCTTGGAGCCACTGGTGCAAGGCAACTCGCGACACTCTTGCCAGAGCTAAAGAGGCAAGGAGAAGAGGTTGGCGTCGTCAGCATGTGCATTGGCACCGGTAAGCATTCCAACAAAAATCCATTTTATTCTGCCAATGACTAACGCCTCGCGCAGGTATGGGCATGGCCAGTTTGTTTGTGCGCGAGTGAAAAGAAAAAAGTTTTTGTCGTAATACATGATACCTCCAGCAGCATTTGCAGAGCATTGAGAAAAAGAATAAGGCGGCCTTCTCCATAGATACCTCAATAGGAGGCAAAAAACTGAATCTCAAAATCCCACAACGTGCATCGTGCCACATTTCTGCCCTGTGCTCCCATAAGATGCATGTACGTCCGCAAGCCATTCCCGGCAATTGACAGTCCTCTATTGATACAAACCGCGTAAACGCCGATTCCAAAAAACGCTCAGGCAAAAAGCAGGATCGGAATGATTCCACTCGTCGTGCAGTCCTTCTACACGGGTAGCTCGCTTCCCCTTCTCGTGCCACTGATTGTCTCCAGCGCTTTTGCAATATACGGGCCCACGACGGGGATGTTGTACGCAAAGCCAGCGATCGTCGCGAAGAAGTCGCCGAACAGGACGAAGATGCCGTAGAGCTCGACGCAAAAGCCAATCAAGGGCCAGCGCATGAGAATCATGAAGATGCCGAGGGCAAAGGCGGCGGTTCCCTTGAGCTTCTGGCGACGCGCGAAGAAGGCCAGTGTCTTCTGCATGCCGATGATGAGGGTCAGGCCGATGAGGAAGAGGATGTTGCCCATGGCCAGCATTGCGCGGTCGAAGAAGAGCATGACGCCGCCGAGAAGGAAGAACCCGCCTCCGGAGCAGAAGGCGACACCTATTTCTGCACACGACGGGTCAGCATGTGCCCCTTGAAGGATGTGAGCCGATGTTGAGACGTACTCTGCATGTCGGTAAGCCACATGGAAGGCATCGTGGTAACGCTGGCGAACGCTGTTCTGCGCGCCGGAAGGAGTTTTTCTGTGGTTTGAATGGAGCACCGTAGGGTGAGCGATCGCAAAGCCTGGAAACCGAAGCGGCGAAGCTAGAAAGGGACGTTAAGGTGAGATTGTTGGGAGCACCAACGAGTTTCTCCTGTTGCCAGAATTCTGGCCTCTCTGCGCTCTCTCTCCTTCTCTCTCTCTTTCTCTCCCAAAAACTGTCCACCGGCAGGGATGCACGAATTAGTGTCCCTGCGTCGTGTGTCTCGCTGGCCCACTCGGCTGTGGACTCTTCCACGACTCCGTTCGCCTGCCTTTCTGATCGCTGTGCGCCCCAAGCGTTTTCAACGTTCGAATTTCGAGATTGTGAAGATGCTGAGATCTGTTTGCGATTCTCCCCGATTCAAGACACGTTTCAGCGAAAGGGCCTCCAAAACATGCTCCCACAAAATGGCCACGTACCATGTACTTGGATCCCAACGTCCCCGACGGCTTCCGATAGGAGCAAGACTGTGAGTTAGGCAGGGCAACAATGTGCCTCCAGTTCGAAGCACGCAGATACGAAAAGCGTCCGAGAAAAGATCTGGGTGCGACCTCAGACAGAGCGTGAGCGAAAGATAGTCTGGAACTTCCAGTGCATGTGAAGGATTTGTGTGAATCCTGCTCGTCTTCTCAAGCCGCTGTCCAGCTTTTAAATGTCCAGAACCGTCCAATGCCATCATGGTCATCAATGCGAAACTCGCCGCGGCAGCAGCACACATCTCGTGCTTGCAACTGATTCTCTTCTTCTCTTCCACAGAGTCTCGGTATCCGTCTTCTAGGCGAAGAGTAAGACCTACGGGAAGATCACGATTAAGCCGGAGCGCCTTTTTGAGCATGTATCGAGAGGTGCATGTGGGTGGAAAGCGCTTGACTTTGATGGTCTGACATTTGCCATCCTCAAGGCAAGGATAGCAGTCAAGTACTATTTTCTTTTGAATGATGCTTTTTTTACTTCCTTACACGACGCTCCATTCTTTCTCTTCCCAGCCAATGACGACCATCGTTACCCATCTATCCAATCCTGCAGCTATACAAGTAATGAACGCCTTACATCTCGATTGCCGTCGTCATTCCTGGTCTCGCAATAATCCCGCTACGAAGAAATCTGTTATTGCATGGCGGAAATGTCTTGAATGTAAAAGTCCTGCGAGATTCGCTGCATCAGCATTCCTAGATGAGGCTGGCCTCGGGATTGGTTTGACATTTTCCTCAAAGATAATGATTGCTCCTTAATCTGCTTGTTCAATGGGCAGATAAGACCCATCAAATAGAATACTCAGCCAGTGAAAGCTTTAGCCATTGGCCGTCCGGGTAAGGACTCGTACAGAAAACGGACGACTAACCTAGTTGGAGAAAAGTTAGACATTGTAATAAGCACAACAACGATCGTGGTGAGTTTCGCGGGTATCGCATTGTCCGGTAGGGCAGTAGATCTTCCTAACACCAACTTAGTGAACAATCGATGCTTTTTACGTGCTTTTACCATGTCATATGTTATGCCTGCCCCGAGACTGCTAGCGTTGAAGAGATCAGCTCCGGTCTGATCCTAGGGAACTGTGGATCCTGTGGCGTATAGACGTCTAAGAAAAAACACCCAGTACGAGATAGTCTTGGACTTGACCCGTCTAGCACGATCAACAGAATCAAAGCGGGTGTGTGTTAGTGAAAAGAGTAGTATAGGAAAGGACTGCCAGGCGGAGAACGTTGATCTAACATGTTCAGTGTACGATGTAAGCAGTAACGAAAGAGCTGAGTTGCTATTGCCCACATTATTTTGCAATCCACTCAGAACATTTGCTTTATTTTTTCAGACCGGCTGCTGTTCTCTCACTACAAGCCTACCATCATATATTTTCGCATTGATGTGTTGCCAGTATTGATAGCTACTCATCCTACTCAGTAGATTTCGTCTGCGCTCACGAGAAAGTAAGCATCAATTATCTGATATTTTTATCATCTAGCTGACATTTATTTCAACAGCCACAGTACTACCACCATATGCTAAGAATAAAATTGCGATGACAGCAGAACGACCGGGCAAGAGAGCTTGTGTTGCCTCAATAGATACTAAAGACAGTCCGTTGCGTCTGAAATGCGTGAATTCCGGCAGGGCTATCACCGTACGTTCACCACGAAGCTCAATCAAATCCGTGCATGGCAAGATAGGGGCTATTGAAGAGATATATAGCAACATTTCTATCCGGAAGTCCGAACAGATCGTCTTCGAGGAGGAGGGTATCCCAAGCCGTCCGTTCTCATTTGAAATGCACAATGCGTACGGTGGGAACCAACGGTGCCCAGCAACACCAAAAACCAGCACATTCGTTGAGAGAATTGCTTCTGGAGAGGCATCCCTGAACAAGGGCTTAAGCGTCATGGATGTAACTAGAAATGGATCTCTCAGTAAGAGATGACTTTGATCTTAAAATATTATTCTTGAATCATGCTGATGCACCACAGCGACATCTGTTCTTCCATTACCCCGAAAATGGCAACCACCAGTGTCCTCGTCACCTTCGTCTATGCCAAATACCAAGAAAAAGACTGATGACTCCCGAAAAACGAATAATTTTGACAAATTTGATCGGACAGATAAGCCTCACCGTTGTCCAGACTGTGGAAGGAGGAAGAAATCACGCATTGTGAAGCTCCTCCTTAGGGTTGTCAAGATGACAAGGAAACCCGACACTTGCTGAGTAAACAAGGATCAAGTTCATGGACACAAGAATCATACACTCCTGGCTTTTACTTTCGCTGGAGCTCAACAATGGCATTCATTATCAGATCGTTTGCGATCTCTTTGTTGAGAGTACTGGGCGCTCGTTCAAATGTTTGTGGAATGGAAGACCGATCACTAAACACAACGAATAAAAGTTCCAAGAGTTATTCGATTCACTGAATTGAAGAACATCCACTAGGAATGATGACTTCCACGCTTTGTTGATCAACATTTGGTTGCTATAGCACATGTTGCGAGAGTCGCAGGCTGCCATCCAAAACAGCAACCGTTCGATCAGATTCACAATGGATCCGCACGATTCCGTTATAAACCGATTATCGCCCAAGGCTTTCAAAATTCTAGTGCTTTCCCTGACTTGCATATGAACGGTTAACGTGGGTTTACAACTACATACGCAGCAAATTAATTGCTCTGACGACTGTCAACAGTGAATCAGTACATGTCAATGTCACGAAACGTTGATTATTGGATCTTAGGCCAATAAGTATTAGAAGAAGGAAAAAAGAAAGTAGACAGAACACGGAGATTGCGGTTTACCAAAGACCATTTGCAATACGCCACAAAATGCAACGAAAGCCAAATGAGAAAACCGAGACCGAGACTGCTGAGGTGATGGCTGAAAACGATCAAGTGAACCATGATCCGACAGCAACGCCGATCGAAGGCACATCGCGAGTACTCGGCTTGATTGCAGAAGCACTAAGGCCCGAGCACATTATTTGGCCCATGATAACACACGAGGACACACCCGACAGCCGCGCCCACAACGACCGCATGCGACAGCTTTGGAACGAGCGCGGGAACGAAACGTCACCGGGAATCTGTATATGTCAAGTCTCAGGCCCGGCACGATCCGACAGCCGGTTCTTCATGCACGGCCAACTGTGCCGTGAGCACGCTGTTGTGTGGTATCATTTTTTCCATTGCGTACGAGCCCAGTCCGAGGACTACCGCGTTGTGATGCAGCAGCTAGGCTGGTGCGAATGCCAGGCTTGTCTCTTCTACGCGCGGAAATTCGACGACCATCTTTCCGGCGTGGTCAGACTTGGTCCATTTGATTCGCCATTCGGTAGGAGGAGGATGCCAGGCGCGGAAGACCTGCTCCCTCGACGAAGACGCCGTGGCAGAACCAAGATGTGGCAACGATGAGGCCAATGATTTGTGTAGTCTCAGAAAGCGGATTGGGAGTGATAGAAGAGGTTTGTTGACGTAGTAGCGAGCCGTGAACAGGCAGTCTTCATGTGATCACTACTGAACTGCAAGACAAGAAAAAGAAATTAGCAAAAAAAAAAAAAAAAAAAAATCAGCAATGTGGGCAATACACTGGAGCGTGCCAAAAAACATAATGTTCTTTTATTTTTCCCTTCCCTTCTACCCGTGGTTAATGCATTTTCGCTCTCTATTCTATGACATGTAACGACGTCTATCCTTTGACCATCAGCTTCCAGCCTTTAAACGCAATTCGGCTCGCAAGCAGCAACAGCCCTCCAGCAATCGTGACGACGCCACCAAATATCCAAACCGCGTTGAACCCGGACTTACGTAGGATGGCTCCTTGAATCGGCGGGCCAATAAGCATGCCAATGCTGACGACCGCGAAGCACATCCCCAAGCGCGTTCCTATCAGGCCTCGGTTCTTGGTCATGTAGACAACAACGGTTGGTGGCAACGATACGTATGTGCCGGAGAAGAATCCGAACAGCAGCACGAGCACGATCAGTGCCGCGGAGCTGTTTGCGGGGATCAACAATGCAATTACTACGCCCGACATTATAGCCGCGGGGGTCAGGCAATTAAGTGGACCGATTTTGTCGGCCACGAGATTGGGTACTGTTCGACCAAAAGCGCTGGCAGCGTTCAGCATGCTCAGCAAATAGAAGGCCAGGTTCCGATCCATCAATCCCTTCGCGATGGCGTAGGACTGCACGTAGAAGAATAGACTGTACAGTCCAAGGAAGCCGACAAAACTTCCGGTCACGAAGAGGACGTACTCAGGTTGGCGTAGTGCGCTCCAATCTACGAGCGGTCGCTTCGCGGCCGGTAAGACGCGGACCTTCATCGCCAACAGAGGGACTGAAAGTGTGGCCAGACACAGAAAACCGATAATGCGCACAGCCCAGGGGAAGCCGACCTGCGGGATGAGCTTGTTTAGCATCACCGGATAGAGTACACCGCCTGCTGACCGTTAGCCTTCATAGGAATTGATCAATCAATCTAAGCTCTTCCTTGCACGTACCTAGCGAACTCCCAGCTGCAGCGATGCCAGTCGCAATGGCCAGCTTTGTCGTGAAGTAGGTGCTGATGATAGCCACGCCGGGCACGAAGATCAGCCCAGCACCGCCGCCGATGCAGAATGCCTGGGCGAGAAGGACTTGATAGTACTCCTTGCAGAGACTAAGCATCATGTGGCCGAAGACTATGAAGAAGCTACCACTCCAAAGCAGCTCTCGAAAGTAGCCAGCGTCGTACACAGGACCGGTCACCGCACCGACCATCATAAGCAAGAAGGCCTGGATGGATCCGATCCACGAAATCGCGCTCGGGCTCTCTCTTTTCAAGATGTCGAGCTGGTAGTACGTTTGGTACACTCCGTAGGTGTTGATTATGCCCCACGAGTTGTAGAAGATGAAGAAGCTCCCCATGACCTGCATCCAGGCGCGGAAGCCGCCATTAGGTATACTGGCCAAGTTGTTGACGCTTATCCTGGTCGTCTTCTTTTCCACAGGTGCTGCCGTCGCCGCCTCCGCGTCGTTTCCTTGCAATGCGTCCGGGTCTGAATCTTCCCGATATTCACAATCTTGCGAGGTCTCCTCCACCTCTTCTATCTTGTCGCCATAATCGTCGTCTTTGGAGGCCGTTCGCAAGGACGGTTGCTCCTGGGTTGCTAAGGCCGTCTCCGTGTGTTTCTCCTCATTCCCAAGCGTTGACGCATCATAGCCAGTCATGGAGGCAAGTGGCAGCGACGCGGAACAGGGCCGCGCTAATAAAATCACGGGAATAGGGCAATGGGCGGACTCAGATCTCGGAAGGACAACGGATACCCGACGATACGCAGCCTCCAGGACTGAGGGTTAAATATACAAAGGAAGGACAATGTAAAGCGCGAGAGAGTGATCACTAAAATAAAACCGACCGCCTGAAATCAATCGCACTTCCTGCACCCCAAATTGTACTACTCCTGTACCCCATCTCCACTAAAAAGGCTGCCAGGTCTACACCAGATGGTGCCGTTTGCCGAGCTGGCGGAATTAGCTACTCGGATATAGGCCACAAGTAGGAGAGCGCAAGGTGCAGGCTGTGGGTCATCTTACGGCATGGGCTTGTCGTCTACCACTCAAATGCCACATCGACCCCCATCGTCCCGTTCCAGCGCCGTCTGCGATTGGCTTGGTGTCCGCGGACTAGGTAGGGATTGGCATCCGCCATCTCGCTCTTTACAAAGACGCGAAGTGGGCACGAAAGGGAGGGAAAAAAAGAAGCTTGCGTGTGTTCGCCGGTAAACGAAGCACTGCCCTTGTCCGCACCTGTTCAGCACTTTCAACCTGAAGACCGCCCGCCGAAGCCCAGAAGGTCGGCGCCGAAAATTCGTCGATTACCGTTGGCCGCTGGGCAAGGCCGCTGTGACAAGAAAGCTTAGCAACGTCATGTGCATCGTGCTGCTCCCCTAGCATTGTCCACTTCGGGTAATACAATGGGCTGGCCATTCGGGTGCCATCTCCACGACAGCATGCAAGATATGATAACCACATGTCCGGCTCGCCGGCTTTGAGTCACTTCGACACGCCGCCATGAGCCGTCGCTTAGAACCTCCTTCGACTGACAAAAGCTGGCGAGACGTGCGAAATGCGTGCACCAGACCACAACGCTGTTCTCATAATCAGCCTCGTGAAGACTAATCGATCTTGGACAGCTCCCTTCGCCTCAAACTGTAAGCTATGATGGAATGAGCGCTTTTGACGGTTGCCCTATTCATTATTCAGCATTCCAACCTTTCGTGGTGCGATTACCCGCCGTGCGTGTTCGAATGGGCCTCAAAATAGATCTCAGCCTAGCACACGTGGATCGCAATATCACCTCTGCACTTTGTTTCAGTATTTCTGAAGCTGGGCCCCAAGTGTGTGGATGCTGTTAGTTCGCCAACCGTCAATCTTTCAGGCGAAGTGCGGCGATCTAGCGTGAAAAGGAGCCGATTCCCGGCATAACCGCCACACACGATTGTTGCGCAGCCATAGGAAGAACGGCAAGCAAGAATACAACTTTCTTCTTGTCGAGAGAAAGGAAATTCCATGCGGTGATGGCCATTCCATGCTCGCTGACAAACTCATGGCGCACGTAGTATCCGATGTGCGGTATACCACTAGACGTTAAACCTTGGACAACAAGTCCTCACGATTACTGCGTTCATGTTGAGTATGGTGAATGAAATCGTTATTTTTGTTCAACTCTACCCATCACTCATGCATATTCCTGTTCATTTCGCCAGTCCCATATCCCTTTTTGGTGTGCCCGAGAAACCGTCGTCCGAAGTAAGGACTGGTATGCTTGCGAACCACAAATGCTAACTTAGTCGTAGAATCGCCTACGCAATAACTCCATACATGCCTCCGATCGTACCGTATGCAAAATTGCTACATTAGTAGGGCTCTTGATTTGCTTTTGTGGTGTTACCCAACTTCTTAGCCGAAGTTGCCCGATCTTACTACCCCTCATCTGAAGCCGGGGAATCGCGGCCGAGTATCAGAACAACCGTTCCACATCCGCGCGAATGGCGTACAGGCACACCGGACTACCTGTACTTTAGTCATGGCCTGATTGCACTATATTTTACAGCACAGAGCGGCATCGCCTGCGCTATGAATATCGTCATGAACATAATGCTATTCCGGCATAAAAGGAAAGATATTCATTCCGTCGAAGTGGTTTTGGGGTTGACGACTCGTGCGCGGGCTAGCTGATAGCCTGGGAATATTTGAACCCTTCTTACTTGTTCCTGCCACTTGGTAGCATCCCACTGTTTCTTCCCATCTTTGATTCGTTTCGCGTGGAGAACCTTCTTGCGGCGATTCTCACGCTCTTCAACGATAGCTTCAGCAATGTGGACACTCTGATTACCAAATCGTTGATAAAAGATTGGGTGCTCCAGCACAAATTTGAGAGCAGCATATGGCAGGGACAGCAAGATACTGGAGATGAAAGATGTGAGAAAGTCAGGCCGGCCTGTGTCTGTCACCGACATTTGTCCGAATTGTATTAAGCTGAGACGAGGATCGGCCTGCGATGGACGGGTTTCAACGACCGCAGGTAGTCTCGGGAGTTCACGTAACTGCGCCGCTGCGGGGTCAAAGTGGAAGTTAATTGGAAGAGCCATCACAACCCACTGCAGAGAGCTGTCGAGCAATTGTCCGGCCGCATCTCCGAGCGTGGGTTCTTGCTGAGAGATGGTCGGACCATCTACAGTCTCCACATGCTCAGCAAAGGCGCGCCACCAGTGATTTAGACCACCATCAAGCGCGAAGGATAGACAGGTGGGAACGGTATCCCACCGTTGAAGCAGCCTAGCACAACCAAGACCAGCACCAACAACCTCAGGTATATCTAGAAAATACCCACCGGCGACGTAATCGAGAATGCGCGACATTGTACCTGGGACAAAGTCAGAACCTTCATATGAATTTTTTAGGCACGAGGGACGTCGTAATTAAAGGAAGTGAAAATGCTGAGTATAACTGCACCAAACCATACTCTTTCTTTTCGGCGCCAAAAAAAAAAATCGAAGGAGCATGTCTCTCAGAAAACACTTACGGGCAGCTGGTGAATTCGGGTCAATGTCCATTGGTGCCTGATTCATCTCATGGATGAATTCATCTGGGGTAAGCACGGGGGCACCGTAAAGGTATTTAAGCGCCTGTACAAAACCAAATTCTGTCAAGAACCTATTGGGGGGTTCAATGCGTATGGTACGATCTGGTTCCACAAGTTTATCGATGTACTGCCGCAAAGTTGAAGACCTACACAAGATGAGCGTATGTGCGGATATGTGCCGAGTACCAGCCGAAAATCTCGAAATATCAAGCCTCACGTCGGAAAGCGCAGGCTTGTCGAAGTGAGAGAGTAGATGGTCTTGCAGGGCAAGAGCTGAAGGAACTTTCTGATCATGGAATGTCGCTGGAGTCTGTGGCATCATGGATGACTGAATGTCGCCGTTCATTGTCCGTTCCACTGATGAATTGCGAGACGGTGTTCGTGACACGTCAATGTTTCTGTCGATCGGCTGAAAGTTGGCTTCTGGGTTTAAAGACGTCGGTCGCGCAGCCATTGGGGGAGGATACAGAGGCCCGTGAAAACCGTTGGCTTGTGTGTGTGGCTGAAAGAACGGTAGTCGAATTGTAGACAGATCGCCAGAAATAGGCGTTGACGAGGGCTCAGATGAAGGGTGAAATTCTGGCGGCAGTTCGTGGAGAATTCGTAGGGACCTAGTGTGCGGCTTTGATGCCATTGTCTCCTTGTCGTTATGCGCCCATTCACGATCTTTTACGTTCGAAGCAGCTGCACCGTTTGTGTTCTCACTCTCCACTGGGACGTTGGTCTGCGAAGTAATGTACGAGTTCAAAGGCGGCATCGATACAGGATGGCCATTTTTGCCTAAACCCAATCAGATGACATTCCTCCTCATAATATTAGGAGCCAAAAGACCACAAACTTACCACTTGGTTGCTCGATTAGCAGATTTGTCTTCTCACGCAGCACCATTCCCTCCTCCTGTGCCGTGGCCGCGCTTCCATTTGCCTTGTGACCTGATGAAGGGAGCGACTCAGGGGTCATTGACCGTTCGAAATTGGCTTTGCTCGTGTTCGTCCCATCTTCACTTGCAGTTTCTGACTTTTCAATCTTCGGAGGCATGGGATTCTCATGTCTAATCGGCTGATTCTCCGGACGACTCTTCCGCTGAGCCCTCGGAAACTGCAGTGGTATCGCCACAACCGGGCGTCGCTGTAAATCAGCCAGTGTGGTGCCATTTAGAGGAGCCATGGTAAATGTATGAGTAATAGAAGAAAAGCCTAGTTTTTAGCTGTCCTGCGGCCCCAAGATAAATTGCGCTGCGCTAAACCCGTCGCAAGATATCTTGAGGCGCACTCGGAATCTGAGACAAGAAGGAGTGAACTGAGAGTGAGGAGGAAGAAAGGAAGCGGAGTCGTTGTCTTGGGCTCGCGGAAAGTGTCTGCTCTTGGATGTGGGGATGATGCGGTGTCGGAAGTTGTGCCGCTCATCGTGCGTCTGCAGCAAGTCTCCGCCCGGATGCTGCAGCCATAATGCCTAGGCACAGGTACGGCTGCTTTTGGTACGTGATTTTCTTCAGTCTTTGTTCAGGTCATGAACAGCTCTATACATACTGGTTCTCTGTCGTAAGGGTTATCTGATGTACTGCATTGCAGTTCCATTTTTTATTTCCAGTGTAACCGCTCCAATTAGAACTACTTTTCTCCTCTCACACGCAACTTGCCAAGGACTAAAACCGGTTTCAGATGGCAATGTTGCTAGTAACTGCAATCACAGAATGCGAGGCAGATTGACCAGACGAATCAGAGCGTTATCGCTGCCGCCATTCATCATGTAATATCCTGAATTTTATAGTGCAATTGGCTACCGGCGTATGGCCGAAGGCCTATGTGGTCAGCTGCTGGAATGATGTATAATGCTCTCCAGAGATCATTGCTAGAACACGCCATACCTCGTTCCAACTCCTACGATAAACTTTGTCAGAAACTCTGCGTAGATTCTCCTCGTCTACGTCCTCATTAGCATGAAGCGGCTCAGTACCGAGATCTCTTCGCTGGAACTAGTTCGGCATATATCGTCGTGCTGTATGGTGTTCTATGTGCTATGAGCTTCAAATGAGATAAAGAACGCACCGCCGTGCCGGGCCTATATGCGGTTCAGAATCAGCAGACGCAAAGCGACCACGTTGTCATCCAAACAATTTCCGTCGACAGCTACCCAAAGCTAAAACAAAAGGACAGCGTTGGACGAGGAGCTTTTTTCTATGTAACACAAAATCGAGCTTGTTTGTAATTCACGGACGGAATTCTGCTTACGTGGAACAAGATCCTTTTTTATTCTCCGGGTAATACAACCTGATGATGTCCAGCCTTCGCGGTTTTCAATTAAGTCTACAACTCTGAAGCTGTTCAAGACAAGGTCTTGGAAATTGAGTATGGCATTCAACGTCTGAGCCGCCTCTTACAGATGCAATCAAACATTTCAAATGATTATATAATTGAGCCTTCGCCAAAATTAGACTTTCGTTCTAATGGCAAAACATTCGACGGCAGAACAATGTCTCCATTTCCAACAATACTCCGTTGTCTTCATATCTCAAGTAACATTGCATTCTTCGACGGACGCTCCAGCAACATTCATTTGGGCCGTCTTGATATGGTCGTCTCACTAAGTTGCGGCTTGCCTTTTGCGATCCCTTGAATTCTTTCTCGTAGAGCTTCTCAGGAAGGGCTATTCCAATTTCGAACTTCTTCGGCGAGATGAGCAAGCTTCGCGAACTTGATATATCTCCTAAAGTTAGTCATTGGTTTTACTAACATAACCTTCCACCTCAACGATGCTTGCGCCGCTGGGCATTCGTGTTTCATACTCTAATTTGAGCAGACATGCACCTCCCTTCTCCAGATTGACAGTCCAGTTGACTTCACCGTTCTTCTTCAGCGTGGCAGTAGCCATACCCCAAGCTGCGTTTTTTCCGTTCGTTGTTGGTACGACTTCATTTGCTCCCTCCTTCGCTGACTGTCCCGCCTTAGTAGCATCTCCCTCTTTGTTCAAGCCGCGTGGTTGCAATATCGATACGCGTAGACGTTCGTCCTGTGATACAGGGACTTGGTCGATAACCAAGAGTTCTACAGGGGTGGATTTGGTATTTGTGATCCAGATGCTGCGTTGGAATGTGTGTGCAGACTCTTTGTTGATAAAGCCTGAAGTGGTGCGATGAACGTTTGGCTTCGGGTAGCTGATTTGAATGGCTGGATCGACACCAAGTGGCAAGCTGAAGATTTGGTTTGGCGATACTCGAGGAAAATTTATATTTCCTAGGAACGACCCATCCAGAGTCACTCCTACCATGCCCTTCAAAAGTGTGACAGTGCTTGATGGATTTCGAATCTTAGCTCGCAGAAACGCGGCTGAGCGTAGCTTCGGTACTGAAACATAAGACAGCTGAATATTCACCGCAGTGAGTGACGCTATTTTGTGTCTCCTCGCGGTTGAAGATGGAACGAGCGTCCGAATCCCGGGCAGCTCATAGTTCGCTGTGAGACCATTATCCTCCCAGACAGATTCCTCGAAATCAAGGCCGTTGTCGGCTTCTCCCTCCTGGCCGTAATTTTCATCGGCCACAGTTTCATCCGCTGCGAACTCGATATATTCCCCCTTGGCTGAATTGTTGGACATCGTGTCGTCTTTAGGAGCTCCTCCGCCTCCAAAAATGCCACCGCCAAGCCTACTTCCTCGCTTCTTCAATTCTTTATCCATGCTGCTACCACCTGATGCGCCGAGGGCCCCTAAGCTAGTGTTTTGAGTCTTCTGGGCCTTAGTGATGCTTACAGATAGCCCTGAATTTATGGTAGGCGGCGGATGAGGCACGTATGTTTGAGTCTCGTAGAGATTGTTACTACCAGACACTTGCTGTGCTGGAATCGATGATCCAGATAGGCCGCCGACTTTGATCTGAGGTGGAGCAGTGTCCCAAGGAGAAAAACTACTGTTCGCAGAAGCCTTCATTTTGTAGTTAGCCTTACTTGCTTGTTGCGACAAAGCGTTCTGATATCTGTGGCCTTTGAGTTCAGAGATGCTAAGCAAGCCACCAGAGTTGTTATCCCATGATCGCCCAAGCTTTACTTGCCAGCTAGGCATAAAAGGCGCTTTATCATCAAGACCAGAGTAAGAAGTCTGGGAGGTGGATAGAATGATTTTTGCGTCCTTCCACGTCTCAGATGTGCCGTTGGTGAATTCGGCTCGATACACGATTGTTGCGGACTTTCTCACCGAGTTTATGCTCAAGTCGTAACGCGGTGTCCAAAATGCAGAGTTGGCAACGTATGAAAGTAATAATGTCACAGTCGTCTCTGGAAAAGAAACCGAGCCAGTTGATTTATCTTTGGGGTCAGTAAGAGGCAATCCGGACAGTGTGACAGAATCTAAAGAGTTCCGACGCGAGGATGAAGGCGAGTCTAAGGATGTCTCAAGGCCCAATGTAATCTTATAGTAGTCGTTTGCCCAGAACTTGCGTTTTTCTGACCTGGCTCGCTCGGCTTCCTTTCTCTTTTCTTCCTTCCGTCGGCGAACCTGCTCCTTCTGTTTTTCTTTATCTCTCTTAGTTCGTGCTTTTCGCCTTTTTTCATCTCTTCCGATTTTTGTCCTTTCGCTTTCCAGCCTAGCCTTTTGCTTCCGCAGCTTTTTCAACTCAAGCTCGGCACTTTTGTGGGAAGAAAATAGTTCTCGCCGCTCGGCTTCATACATCGACAAAGCTTCAGATACCTCCTTAGCTGAAAATTTCACTCCGCCTGTCGCACCGGTAATACCATTCGCATAAGCGTCCAAGGTGTTGCACCTTCGTTCGACGCTCTTCTGCTGCTCACTTGCAGTCTCGATTTCGAGGTCAATTTGTTTAATTTTATGTGTCAGAACTTTGACGGATTCAATTTCGTCGTCACTGTCTTCATAATCATCCTCCTCATCCTCGGATGAATTGGACTCGCTCGGATACACATCCGAAAATTGCTCATTGTTCGGTATGAGCTCCAGAGTCATGTCGGTTATCGTGGCGGATCCCTTTCCATCCACTTGAATGGAGTTCTGGTCGGCCTCGGCCGTGAGACCGAAGATCTCGATCTCATTCTGGCCTGGTCGAAGAATGACATCTCGAATTTCCCTGACAATATGGGCGCGTGCAGGGTAGAGTGTCACAGATTTCGTTGGTAGATCCTTGATCAGAAATGTCTGACGAGGTATATCTTCAGCCATTTTGCGGGGAATACAAAATCAATTCGAAAGGTTGTAGAATCTAGTAATCAGCATAGTTTGCTGTGTTCGGCGACAAAGTCGCGGTTTATATGCCCTTTGTGATTGAGGCAGACAAGAATGAGGAGATAGGCAACAGGCCAAGCCCCCAAGCCAAGCGAGAGGCTTGAGGGTGCTGGGAGCGCCCAGAATCATATTGGTGGAGGCACAGACAATAATGAATCTCTACCAGTGCTAGATCATTAGTCGGTTTTGCATGTGAGTCAAGCGCTCTCTATATGCAAAGCAAGATCTGAGAAAGGAGTCCTCCAACTAGCTGGGGTATAAAGTTAAGCAGAAGGTAATTTGCCGATTTAGGTCATTGCTATATGAGTACAGATTACGGGGCACGACGCCGGTAAAGTGTACTCTTTGAACTTTTCCCTCCTCCCTGAGGCTGAGCAATTTTCCCTTCAACTTGCAAAAGCCACTTGCAGCTAATCTAGTTAACCAATGATTAGCACTGTACCTATCACAGTCCTGGATCATTTTGGAAGCTCGTAATAATTGAACTCATCAAAATTGAACGGGCGCAGCAGCTCCATTGAAACATCGGCACCTGAGCTCCCAAGTACCGCATCGAAGTTTTCAAAAGCGGTGTCAAAGTTCAGCCAGTCTGGCGATATCGAAGGATCGAGTCCAATCGCTGCCGTTAAGTTGTTGCCTAGCGTGCCACCGCCAGAAGGCACTTCCGTCGATGTGGTTGCAATATCGACACCATCACTTGTCGAAAGAATTGGACTATTTAAAGTCGATCTTACTGTCTCGCTCTGCATATCTGCATCGGGTAGTGTAGTAACTTGTTCTTGTGCAACACTCTTCTCCCGTGCCACACTTTTCTCCCGCGTCTGATTCAGCTCACCGTCGCCCGAAGCCTTCTTCAAAGCTGCTCTGCCCAAGTCGGCCATTGTACCAGCACTCCACCAGTCTCGACGCATCTGCTCTAGTATATCACAGCATACTTGTAAATCCTTCTTGGCCCTATTACGTAGCGTCGCGATCTTGCTCTGACGAAAGACGCGGTATGCATGAGCCATGGCAAGCGAAACGGACCAAGGGGTAATGGGCAGAGGCGGGTGGTCATGACGACATTCATCTCGAAGAATCTGAATGACCCGAACTGCAGACAAGCTTTGCCGAACGAAGGATGATGTTGCCGGAATCGGTTCATTAATTGGCCGTGCCTTATGGGACATTATCGCAGCCGAGTGATAAAAAAGCTCAAGGAATGCTGTCAAGCAGTCAGTCATAGATCGAGCTATGGGAAATAATTGGAGTACGGACCGAGAATCGAAGGATTTATATCAGCACTCTTATCTCCAAGCATCTCCTCAAAGCCAGGAAACTCTTTCTCCCATCCAGTGCATGAGTCATGCCGAGGGCGGTAGTAGCTAATTATGTGATCGAGGGCTACAGTTATCTGTAAACATATTCCGAAAGGGGTATGCCTTGTCTCCTCGTGGTCCAGAGGGCTGTCGATCCGGCTATCATCGTCTGAAATGAAGACGGGCCTTGCATTCATCATTGTGTTTAATCGATCCAAACACCATAAACACCAGTAGAAATTATTGAAGTATTCGGCTCGTTCATCGTCACGTGCTCGTCCAAACTGCATGCCAATAGTATGTGCGTGGTGAATGGCTTCGGCGAGGTGAATCGAAGCAACTTCTGCTCCCTCAGTTCCCTCTACATACTGTGATAACAATGCAAGGACTTGAATTAGCACAACGCGATCACGTTCGAGTTTTGCGTTCAAAGCAGCATTAACCGACTTATAAAGTCGTTTTGCGAAATCGCGCGGCGCAAGAGGCTGGCCACCGTCCTGAAGAATGAGGTGCGGTTTTGCACGATCGTGTCTTGACGCGATGATGCAGATGGTTTGAAGCAACATTGGTGACAATAATTTACCGCTCTTCCTTCTCCCTGGTCTCGTTGCGTCGACGATTGGTAAGATTGGATGTACGTACTCAAAATAAATTTTGATAAGTGCATCGAGATGCTCCTGTGGCGGCAGGAGATCCACGTTTACCACGGCGAGATAGTTTTCCAACGCTTTCTCCTCAGCACTATCTGTGTCATTGATTCGAGAGGTAGATCGAACGTGAGTGGTTCCTGGCATCCAGTAGCCACACTCATGGTGAACTGTCTCAGCACCCGTGGTTTGATCAAGAAATAACGTCTCGGGTCTAGCCCTACCATAGAAATGCGACGGACTGACTGATCTGCTTCGAGCTTCATTGGAATTGCTCCGTCCACGCCGAATAGGACTAGCTTTGACACGAGTCTCGATCTTGATCTCCGAAGTACCTTGCGTTCTATCGCTGCCATTGCTTGCCTCAGCCTCGACTTCATCGCTGTTAAAGGTATGAGTGCATCGTTTCTTCTTATGTTACTTATCATCTCTAAAAATCATAGAGAAGGCACTCACTCGTCGTTTCTTGCAAGTTTCACAAGCTCGGTAGACTCTTTTTCGCTTCCTGAAAAGCTCGTTGTTAGCAGCGAACGTAATTATGCTCGACATCGTCGCTGTGAAGCTTCTCCAGGCCTTGCGAGATCAACCTTGAGCAGAGAGGCTTGTTTAGTCACAGCGGCCAGATCTCCTTGTGGTAGATCAATGTCCCACTATTATGCGCCACAGGTCCCTGAAGAGAATAGTGTGGTGGCTGATCATCACGCCTCAAACTTGACCATGACGTAGAAATGTCATAAAGAATCCTTATGAGCATGACTACCATTCGGAGTACATAAAGGCGCTTGCTCTAGTGAACCTCAAACTCAGTGCCGCAAATCTAAGATCACATTCGTCATGTCGTTTGTCGCAAGGTCGCAAAATCTAAGCCGCTCTCTTCGCCATGCACGTTGTCAAAGACACTTGCCACTTGCCGCCTTTGTGACACCAGCTCAACAGGCAAACCGAGGATGCGCAAGAACGCAACAAAGGCCAAATCTTGAAACATCTGGTCAGAAAATGGAGATTTCAGTCGCATCATTTCGTGCATTCTAACCGAATTTACTACAGAAGTCCACAGTTCACTCAACCACTTTATGATAATCACTCAAAAACGCCAGTTTTTTTCGAGAAGTAACTTCTATTCAGAGAAAAAACCAAAAAGTACCGAGGGTCTGAAACCGAAAATCCTCAATGAAAGACCCCCAACAGAAGAGGAGCAATCACCTGACGTAAAAAAACATAACGAGGAGTTCGAGCGTCGAGCTGAGAAAGCACATGAAGGTATATCTATCGAAGAGGCGCAGAGAGACAATGAATCTCCGAAATCTGGGTCTGGTGAGTCAATTCAGTCTACTACAATTTCTTCAGCAACAATCATAAATACCTATTGAGAAAGAAGCTGAATTAACAAAATTATAGAGGGCAAAGGACATAAGTCAGAAAGTAAATCGAAGAAATAACAATTTCAAAGAGCCACCAGGCACTGCCGAAACTTTGGCTGTATATTTTACAGGTGTTTAAATAAGGGCGAAATTTTCATGTCTTCTAGGCGTATTGAGGAGATGTACTTGCTGAAACGTACAATGATCCCAATTTATTCTGTATTCGGCTGATCGTCGGCCTAATTTGGATTCACTTATTGGAATGGTCAGAAGATATTTAACGACTGTGGTAACAAGAAACACCTAGAGCGGCACGAAATGTACTCCAGTTCGGCTTACGGTTTGCTAAAGAGAGGAATTTAAATGTTATTTTGCAGTCTGCAAATCCAATGGGAAACAATAAACCCGGAATGGAAAGCATAAATATCGTGCATTAAGATAGTTTTGTACATAAATCGAGTTTTATGTTGAGTTCTAACATTGTAATGGAAGACCGAGCTGCTTTTGTAAGATGTGCTAAAGCATTCTGGGTTCAGAAAATTGTGTTCTGTTTCATCGACGCGAGCAAATTCGTTGCTGGTGCTATTGACTTCCATTCGGCGTTTAATTGTACCGGGCCCTCAAACCAGCCCGGTACTAAATATTGATCTTCCTGAGTGTATGGTGATGATGATATCTGTGGCACGTCACCCAATAAACTTCTAGGGCAGTCCCGTGCATATGATCGTACAATGCGATGGCTCGTCCAATCTATAGTTTATGCTGTTGCCTTCAACTGATGCCAGCCTAAATGCAACGAATACATCGTGAGCTACCGCTTTATATTGATGTAAGGCGAATGCAAATATGGCATTTCGCAGCACATGCTCTTACAGTCATTTTTGGTGAATATCAGACTACAAGTATTAAAGAAGTTATGAATCGAGATTGTGATCCTAATCGCTTTCAGCAAGCTTGTCGGTCTTCTTTTATTAGAATGAACATGTCAAGATGGCAGAATGGTTTTGAAGCACTCACAGTTGACAGTTACAATTTCTATCTTGTAAGTTAGTAAACACAACAAAGGCTGCCGACGCAGGGATCAAGAAATCTGGCTTTGTTAGGCAATGAGATTAGGCAATATAACTACAGTTTTGCAAAATATTATATCACATACGGTCATAGAATGAGGAAAACTGGAGTCCCCGTCCGCTCACTCTTACATAAGCCTCATATCGGCCCATTAGTACTACGGTGGGTGACCACGTGGGAATCCGGAGCTGCTGTATGTTTTTTTTGCATTTTTTTTGTTCTCTCTCCCCTCATCTTCGTAATGTACTCTTAAATTGATATAAACTTTGCGTAAAAAGGCTAATACTTTTTAATTGAGTTAATAAAGTACTATACCACCGCATAAACTAGCAGAAGATACTTTTCAATGTCTAGGTGTAGTGTGCATTCAGAAGTCCCTTTGTGAGCTTACTGTATTGCAATTCATGACCGCAGTGAATAGTCTGTTATGTGCCTACATTCTTGCTCTTCAATGAAATGACAAGAATCTGTTGAATACTACCCATCTCCGGAGCACAGGGAACATATCATTTCTCAATAGAAAAGAGTACAGACCGACCAATGTCAACCGATCCTTCGCACGCGCGATATCGGGTATGAGAGCAAGCTTGAATATCATAGCCCCAACTAGAGATTAGAGTGCCGTACGAGTTTCTGGCCGCGCACATTAGTTACGAACGATACCAGATTATCTTTTCAACATGCCAATTGAATCCATGAAGACATGAATCCGCAAACTCCTCGCGAATGAGGCGTTCCTCGATGGCTGACCTTGGCTCGGTGGCTCGTGGCTCGCGAGATTTAGGCCACAAGGCCATTAATTAGTCTTTCGCTTAAAAGGGGCACAGGCGTCATGGCCCAAGCGGTAAATCTGGCAAAAAGTCCAGCCCAGCCAACTGTCTCAACTGCTTTGTGGCCTTCTGCAGAGTATTCATAGAGTCTCAAACGCCAGGATTCTTAACAAGCCGTGCTCAAGTTCCGGCTTCTACAGGCGCGAAGTATTGCGCCTTATCTTTCGAGTCTGCAATCTTGAGATTATTCCCACCAGGCTGCGCTGAAGCTCCCCAAATAGCCACGAAATCGCAATGGATGCGCCGGAACCCAGCGACACGCCTTTCGCAGTTGTTCAAGCACATACATCGAAGTATGCAAAGGTAAACATGCTAATTGCATTGGACGATTAGATCGGTGATAATAATGTGTATGCAGATATATCAGTCATACCTAGACCAGTCAACGCCGTACGTCCAGTACAGATGGATTGGCACTGGCGTGCTCTTCTTCTTCTTCAGCCTTAGGATATTAGTCGCGCAAGGATGGTATATCGGTATGTGACTTGGTGCAGGGTTGAGCAAAGAAAGCTGCAAATACTGACTCTTTCCACAGTGGCGTACTCTCTTGGCATCTATCTTCTCAACCTGTTTCTCGCCTTCATATCACCAAAGTTCGACCCGTCGCTGGAACAGGATGAAGGTATGGAAGATGGCACATCGAGCCTTCCATCCAGAGAAAATGATGAATTCAGACCCTTTGTGAGAAGGTTGCCGGAGTTCAAGTTCTGGTATTCGGCAACTAAGGCGATCGCGATTGGCTTTGTGTGCAGCTTCTTCAGCATATTCGATCTGCCCGTTTTCTGGCCAGTCCTGGTTATGTACTGGATCATTCTCTTTGCCTTGACAAGTAAGAGCTCTCGACTTGTTTACTCGCGAGTGAGGACTTAGGGCTGACCAAAATTGCAGTGAGACGTCAAATACAGCACATGATCAAATACCGATATGTGCCATTCACTGTTGGTAAAGCTAGATACGGGGGAAAATGAGCCACACCAGTTACGAGGGTTCGTAAGAGATGGATTGTAAAGACTGCGCATCCACTTGGCCGAAACAGCTACCTTGCCTTTACTGCACGGAAGTTAACATTGAACGATGTACAAATACAGTTGTAGTACATGGCGTGGCGTTCAAGAGGTGTACCAGTACGAGATATGTTCAAGCACTAGACCGGCATATGAGCAGAGTAATTATAAATGATTGAGAATTCCAGTCCATATGACCACCGCACTGTGTGAAGTAAAAACACCATGATACCTCTGAAGTACCTGTTTAGATTGACTAGGTCAAACCTGGTCTCCTCGTGTTCCATACTCATCAAATAACGATTCGGCGATACAAGGCTTAGCCAGGCAGACGCTGAACTATTCGCGAGAACATGTTTCAAGCATTTTCGGAGTAACCACAACCCTCAATGTTTAGAAAGCAAAACTGAAGTCGTTGAATCAGTTAAGGTTTTAGAGTTAGAAAATGCTTTGACATGATCACATAGCTAGTTCATGTAGACAACTTTGAAATTTTTTGTCTCTCAAGGCTGCTATTTACGAACCTTTGATAGCTCAAGCTGCCGATCAAAACTCATCGCGAAGCACAGTTATTTTCCTTCATTTGGCACCAGCTTTCATTTCTTCGTCCTCTCCATAATTGTCTTAATCATTTCATTGCCCAATCTTTGTGCCTCGGGGATCCGCGGAGCGAAGTACGCTTGGATCTTCTCGAACTTTTCTTTGTAGGCTTCAAAGGCCTGCAGGTCAACCCTCTCACTCCAGTCGCGCGCCGCGAATGTAAATTCCAGATCATCAGCTCGGAAGCTGTTATCGGAAATAGCAGTCTCAATGGTTTCTTCAAGTAGGGCAGGTGTTCGAAAGAGGTACTCCGTGATGCCTAGCCACATGCGGAACAGCTGCATCGATGTTAAGACAGTTAACGAGATAGAATAGGCAAGGGACACTTACTGGCGTAGCACATATAATGTGATGATAAGGATTGATATCAAGTTTACTCCAACAGTCCACTATAGCGAGTAAACTTAGATGACTGTTTTTCTTTTGCTTTTCCGGCCGTTCTCCCAAACTAAACTTCTCGAGTACAGCATCATCCAACAACTTCTCACCCTCTGCATCGCCAAAAACCTTGCGTTTTGCTTCATGTATTCTCCTCGTGAATGTTTCCCTTTCCCCGTGTAACATGAGCTTAAAAAGCTCTGTGACGCTCTGGGCGTATGTTCTGATTTGTTCTCGTGCACTAGGATTCATAATTGCCAATCCGGCGTAGACATGCCATTTATTACTATAGATGCGCATCATAACATTCACTTTAACGTTCTCGACGCCACCCACGTACTGTGGCATTTCCCAGGGGTATTGAGAATTCGCAGCCCAAGCGGCGCCCATGGAGAGGAAAGCAGCATGTGTAACAGCCTGTGTGTCTGCGGTTATACGGTCGTGCTGCACTGCCGTGAGGTGGACTGGTGAAGACTCCAAACAGGAAAGTATGTTCTGAACTAAATTGAAGGCTTCATCTTGGGCTCTATGCTTGATGAGAACCAACGGCTGACCCTTGGGGTTCACACCAGGCCCATGAAGCGAATGACAAGATACGATTTGACAGTCTGGAGGAAGATGTTTTTCAAATGCTGCGATTTCTGGGGCTTTGCATGAGGTCTGTCCACCAACTATAGCGTTCAGCTTTGTTGCTAGATGTTTTGTCAGTACTCATGGGAAAAAACTAGGCTTGGAGCAAGGCAGACATGGCCCATATTCCCTCACAACGCTGTCAATGTTCTCAGCTTCGACACTGTAGATGATAAAATCACTTGTTCTGGAGACTAGGTGGCCATTTTTAAATATCGATATGTTGCTCTAGATTGATGCTAAGTACATGCGTATATCGCCAAGGGAGGGACGGGTTGACGTACCCTCCCTCGAAACTCTGCTTGCAGCGCCTCGAACTTATCTGGACGATCGCAAGCGTGCACCCTACAAACTGCATCTCAGTACTACGTGCTGCCTCCTTGAAATCTTTGTTAGTGCAAGTTCACAACATGCAGATAGAAGATATGAAATGAAATATTTCTTGCTTCAGACAAAAAGAATAATAAGGTAGCTGAGATTTTACATCAGTGACAGCGAACCTTAACATTTGTTCCATAACGGAGACAAAAGTCAGAATCCGCCATACTCGAGCCAAATGCACTCAAGTCATCACCTCAATGAGAATTGTGAATGGTTATGACTTACCATGTGGAAAAATTGTAAGAGACGACTAGAACAACAGGAAACTCTTACTTCCAGCCCGCGTCGCTTATTCTGCGGGCATACATCTTCCCCATATCGCCCATACCGATAATCCCAACGACTGTTTCCCCTATTTTGGGCTGCATGCCTGGCGCCATGATTGGACGTGTCACAAACAGAAGGATGGATGCGCTCCCAGAGCCCGAAAAATCAGCGTTTCTTTGAGCCCACTTACTAACGATAATATAGCACCGGAACAGGTGAATAGGTCTAAGTCATTAGGGTTTACATATACAAGGCAAAACACTTGCAAAGAGCGGTATGTTTTCACGACGCAGAAGTGGTGTCGTTTTGTTGTTTAATGAGAGACGAAAAGTCAACGGGCTGGAAAGTTTTCAATGGAGGAACGCACGAGCCAACCATTTGGCCGCCAAGAGTTCTCGCCCACTAACCTCTAATTTCGACACAACATTTTCCTACGGTATTTCGATTCTCCGTACGACGACAACTGCATAACATGGCTCCCAAGAAGAGTACGTTGAGTCCCGTCCTAGATTTTACACTGGAATCCCTAGCGTTGCAATCACAACCACCTGATCTTACGAGAAATTGAGCTGACAAAAGACATTACAGAGACTACCGACAGGCCACAAGAGAACGTTTCTCTCGGTCCTCAAGTGCGAGAGGGCGAGCTCGTCTTTGGCGTTGCTCGTATCTTCGCCAGTTTCAATGATACCTTCGTTCACGTCACCGATCTTTCGTAAGCAAATACCACAGATGTACCGACTTTGGAAAGCTCATGGGTACATTGAAAAATCAAAATGGTCATAAGGCTAACATGGGTGATTCCAGCGGCCGTGAGACCATTGCCCGTGTCACGGGCGGAATGAAGGTCAAGGCTGACCGCGATGAGTCTTCTCCATATGCTGCCATGTTGGCCGCGCAGGATGTCGCTGCTCGCTGCAAGGAACTGGGAATCACTGCTCTGCACGTTAAGATTCGGGCTACTGGTGGTACGTAGTTCCAACTCTTTTGCTGCGCAACAATTCATTCTAACGCGAATCCAAGGCAATGGAACCAAGACTCCGGGCCCTGGCGCTCAGTCCGCTCTCCGCGCTCTTGCTCGTGCTGGTATGAAGATTGGCCGTATCGAAGATGTTACCCCAACTCCATCAGATTCCACGCGCAGGAAGGGTGGTCGCCGTGGTCGTCGTCTCTGAGCAATTGCGCTTGTCGCTCTGGTATGCTTGTTGCACGGCTCCAGTCGTCATTGTTGCCATATTTGGCTTGGGCGAGTGACAATTTCGCAAGGAACGGCCCCATTTGCCTGGTCCTTATACTCATATGTTGTCACATGAAGCTCAGTTCATGACTAGTTGTAGTAAATGGCAATTTTAAGCATCAAGTCATTCACCTATTGTCCAAATGTTTCACTCCGAATTCCTCGCACTATGGCCCATGATGTCTTTCGTTGCGAACTTCCTGCAACTGCTTTGATATTTTCAAGTTCACAGTATTGTTCACAACGGAAAAGGAAAGCAGTGCCAAACCAACTCACTATGGATTCAGGACATGAGAACTCAAAGGAGGGCGCACGCACACTGCAAGCTATCTTGCCACTAGAACGTTGCCAACTAGATGGCCAGAGCCCTCACGATTCTATTCGTTTAGCGTGTGGTCATATTTACTGTAAGCTATGCTTGCAAGATCTCATGATTACAGCAATGTTAGTCGGTCAACGGTCCCGATGCAAGACGTGCTTCTTTGAATTTGGGCCTCCGGCTGGATCAATTCTTCAGGGCACTTTAGGAGAACGAACGAAACAGGTACTTACAGCAGCAAGGAGCCCTACTGTGCCTGGGGTATCATATTCGCAAAGATTGACTACCTTGTTGGATGGATTCACAGCGTCTCGAGGTTTAATGCTGCAGCCAGTGGAATCTAAAGATATTGGGGTGCTCGATATTCAAACGGTACGAGTGAATCCGCCTCAGGAAAACCGTCTTCAGCAAGTATTGTTTATGTCGACGCAACCTGACAAGTCTGCAACGAGTCCATTTCGTGATAAGCAGAGTGATTTACTGGCAGGATATGGCGGTCTGGATACTCCAGCAAATAGCGTTCACTGGGTTACTGGATTGGATTCCTACGCAGATATCTTGTCTTACGATTGCGGTGTCTCAAACACGCAGTTCGACAACGGAACCTGGAGTACACATCCGGATATCATTGAGGAGTCTGAGAAACCAACAACACTGGAAGAAACGTCAAAGGTAGCCTGTGCCAAACTGAAACAACAGCCAGGGCGTGATTTAAGCGTACTTGCTGGAGAGCGATTTTGCTTCAAAGGTAAACTCCGTGATCAGATTTCCATGGAAAATGCCGTTAGGGAAAACGGTGGGAACGTCACTGGAGGTGGTTACAAGCATACCACATATGGGGTTGTAGGATCTGGCTGGAAAGTCACGAGTAGCTGGAAGGTGAACAAAGTACGTGTTCTCAGCGAGGAAGAGTTCTGGGAACTGCTCGAGTCCAAGAAAAGAGAAAGCCAGGCGGCTAGAGAAGCTGCAAAGCTAGCCATTCGAAATATCGAGAAACACGAATAACATAGTTGAATTATTGCGTCCAGCTCATAATGCCACTTTAACTTCGAGGACAAATTTGTTTACGTTCAAGCTCTTCGTAGTGCAATACTGACATACTCCAAGACATGGACGTCACACTAGTATGCGCACTTGTGCAAGGCTGCGAATTCCTTCAAGCAACTGACTGACTCTTCATATCAAACAAGGACAGAGTACAGATCTTTATCTGCGACGGTTTTCGCGGAGGCCACCCTTGCCAAGCTGAACACACTAGGTGCAAGTCTAGGCGCGAGACCCCTGGTGTCTTTATAACTTTCCCGACGTCCTCTGCGCCCATCTCCAGTTTGGCGTAAGACTCTCTCTTTTCCATTTAACATGCGGCACAGACGGACGTCACAATGGAGGGTCTTGGCCCTCCTTGTTGCTATTTGTCTTTCTGGGGTTGCGCGAGCTTCACTGGGCGATAGACTGCCTGATTTCAAGGAATGCGTCAAGGTCGGTTCTGATGTGATTTGATTTCTTATAGCGATCGTACTGAGACGCTTCAGCAATGTACTGAATCGAACTGTGTGCCAGGAGGCCCTTCAATACGTATGCAAATACATTGAATCGCCGCAGAATAAATTCACTAACGGCCTCATGTAGCCCTGCAACGCCGCCTCTTGCTTTGGGACTGTACATCCGAATGCGATTATTCTTGCCAGCACATAATTACCGACTTGCGCGAAGCTCGAGAGCCTCCCTATCGTGAGCCCGTTCTCCAATTTCACGGCAAATGGCCTTTCTACCGTTTCCTTGGTATGCAGGAGCCCTTCTCCGTGCTTTTCTCTTTCCTAAACTTCCTTGCCCACGACTATGGCATGACACGTTTACGAGAGGCTGTGCCCAAATCCTACCCGCTACGCAAATATTACATAATGTTTGGTTACTTTGGCCTGGCAAGTTGGGTGTTCAGCATGATCTTTCACACACGCGACTTCAATATCACGGAAAAGCTGGATTACTTTGGCGCTGGTGCCAGTGTCATGTATGGCCTGTACTATACGCCTATTCGGATATTCCGCTTATACCGCACGAGTGAAGACCCAAAGCGCGCTTCGCTGCTCAGGATATGGACGGTTACATGCGTAGGACTGTACTTGATGCATGTTTCATACCTCACATTCTGGAGCTGGGACTACACGTACAACATGGCTGCAAATGTAGTATGTGGAATCATTCAAAACATATTGTGGACATGGTTTTCCATACGAAGATACAGGAAAGGCGGACAAAGTTGGACGGCGTGGCCTGGTCTAATCGTGGCATGGATAATTCTCGCGATGAGCTTGGAGCTATTTGATTTCCCCCCTTGGGGTAGAATGATAGACGCACACAGCCTATGGCATCTAGGGACGGTAGGACCAACCATCTGGTGGTATACGTATGTCCAGTCATCCTTAGCAGATCTCTCGGAATTCGCTGACAACGCAACTTTAGATTTCTGATTAAGGACGCACAAGAGGATCTACAGAGTATGAGATTGAAGGTATGATATCCACTGGGCCGCATTATGATGTTTTACGATTGATACCATGGACCATTATGTATTCTGAGTCTCAAGGACTCACGTTCCAGACCTCTATCCCCGTTGTTCATTATTGACGTTTTTGTGTAGGCCAATGGCGATGAGTCCACGAAACGCCATTGATATTCCCAAAATCTGTCAGTCCTCAAACCACAGCAGAGTTGCCTACTGTCCACATTGTAATATTTGTCGTCAGATTTGCATATTTGCTAGCCAAACTATACGGGCCATTCCTTTACAATCCCCCTATTCATCATATCTAAGTTCTGTATTGTTTGGTTTGCGCTATCTCGTCCGTGTTATACGACCAGTTCGGATCAATTTTTTGTGTTATCCTGGTTTGCGCGTTATACCCACGTCAACAGCATCACAAGCGTCAATGTATTGCGAAGCGAATTCCTTCGAATCAGGATTCTTTGTGGTAAATACCTTCTTCAATGATATCAAGACCGCTAGCTGCTCTTTGTTCACTAGAAAACTACGAATTTCTAGCCTTTTGACAGCTGGCAGTGCTCTTACCGCATCTCCCATCAATACTATAAGTAGAAAGCTTGGTTACTCGACTGTATAATTACACATATGGTGTACTCTCTTCTCAGCCGACATGAGTTTCAGGCTTTCTAATTGTTAGTCCATCTTTCCTAAATGACGCACGATACGATAACAAGCTGTAGCAAGGATACATGCCGTCCATGCCGTTGTAGCCAATCATTCGCGAGTCAAGAGATGTACTTAGCCACCACCAAAACACAGTCTTCACCGGATCGCAAGGCTACATAGCCAAAGTAGCTAAATCCAGACTTGAAAAAAGAGGAATTTCGTAGAGGTTCAATCTACTAAGAGCTAAACACAAGCACGAAGAGTGTTTACGTGTTCATTTACTATTTTTTATCTACCCGTTTGCATTTTATGGATGAGTTAAGAGCAAGGGCTCGGGCTGCGCTTGAGGATGTAAGGTTCACGGGGCGCACCGACGAAATTCAAGTCATCGACACCTTCCATGAGACATTCCAAGCAGACTTAACCTCTTGGATAGGACATCGCCCTCCCTCCAGACGAGAGAGCTACGGAGAGCTTCATATACCAACTCCAGCCTATTTGAGACGCTTCATGAGTTCCGAACAGTTACTACAGCGAGTCAACGCGAAGTTCACAGCTCCAGCAAGCAGAGAAAATCCAGACTGTCTATTTGTACATATACCTCTTAGCATTATGAATGCTATTGATATCGACAAGACGTTATTTCTGCGGATATTCGATGACATGAGGCTTGATCCTCTCATGTTGCGCTTTTTGGGCAAATGGGATCCTGGATCTTGCCTTTCCTCGAGCGATGGCATCAACAGCTGTTACTACATGAGTTACATGCGAATGCGTGGACATTCTGTGTTGTGGGCGTACAGCAAGTCCTCTCGTCGCATTCGGGGTATACTCCTGCCGAGGACATTCAATCCACGCCTGAACACCATTTTCAATCCAAGCTTCAAGTTCTTGGATGCTTTTATGCGCAACTTGTGGATCCATCGAAGCTTGATTACCGAGCCACATGGATTAATGTATATTTGTTGCAGTTCTATTGTCGAGAGAATTTCGGTCGGCTTGTCTCATGCCTACGATGCGATTGCTAGAGTTGAACAAGGTACGGGTCATAGCACCTGGAACATAGACCATCCCCTCACTTTAGAAGGCATGACAGACAGCTCGAAAGAAATGGGACGTACCAAACATAGAATTCTCATCATGAAAAGGCATGCAGATTGCGTGAATGTAGCACATCAAATCGTACACGCAGCGCTTCAGGTTGATCATGCAAAAAGCCCTGTTGAAAATGTGTTTTCCTTACTCATGACTGATCTGGAGGCATTGAAACTTGAGAATGAAAACTTACTCGACCGAGCTCATAACCAGATTTTTGTCGTACGTAAGTGTCTTACGTCTCGCCGGCACAGTGCTCACTGATTCACAGCTATCCAATCTCATCGCACGCGAGGAAGCAAGAGCAGGTTTTCAAATTGCACAAGCTGCAAAAAGTGACAGCGGAGCGATGAAAACAGTTGCGGTTATGACCATGCTGTTTTTGCCTGCAACCTTCTTCGCTGCGTTGTTCTCACTTCCAATGCTACAATGGAGCCAGACACCAGTGGTGCAGGACAAATTTTGGATCTACTGGGCTTTCACAATTCCTTGTACTGTGATCATCATGCTATTTTGGACCATTATCACTTATCGCTCTTCCATTGGGGGATGTATTCAGAACCATGTGACACATACAAGTAGAAGAAGGCAAAAAACTGGTTTCAGATTGGACGGAAGCACAACTGAAGATATACAGAAGAAACCATGATATCGACGAATACCAGTGCGTTCTTCGTATTTCCATTCAAAGGTGTAGAAGAGGGGAGCGAGAATTGAACGTTTTCAACCTTTCCTTTTTCTAGTTGTTTTCTCTTCTTAAAAAGCCCTCGACTCGATGCGCAAGCAATTGAGAACTGCTTTTGCTTCCCAGTTTCGAGCTCGACGTTCAGACGAGTCGCCATCTCTTCACAACTGTCATTGTCGTTCTCTTGCAGAATTAGGAGAAACATCGTGCACTGAGCGTATTCTTTCGCGGACAGAAATCTGCAAATTTTTTACCGTTGCTCTTATGAACCAAAAATTGAGCCAAGGTTCAGACAGTAAATAGCCAGGTTGACAGACTAGATATGCCCATGGAAATCTGAGAGTGTTTCAATCACATGCCTTGATTAAAACCGTGTCGCATTACCACGTTTGCTAGACCTGTAATTGGATTTTTCTTGTTAGTGTCCAAATTTGCTAATGGCTATGAAGCCGCTAAAGTGTTATCACTTTCTAGCACAAAACGTCCAGTTTGTGACGAATATAAGGATTATGCACTGAAGCAGACGAGAATGAACAAACCCGTTGCTTAAGAAAGAGGAGATATAAAAAGCAAAGGAAATTGAAATGAAATACAAAAAATTCAGAAAACTTAAAGAGGGAAAATTTAGATCGTTCGTTGCGAGTCCATATGGTCTGTGTATTTGTCTGTCGAACTCCATCACGGACGCTAGGGCTGTAATTTTACAGCTCACCAAGTCCTGCTTGATAATATTGCATTGCTGTTTCGACTATAATTCTGGACCAAACTCCAAAGAACACACAAAGGAATGCGTACATAGCGTTCAGCTTGCTGGCGCCACCTTTGGAACTAGCAAGCCTTTCGTCGTCGGATGAAGCTTAGTGACTTTCTTTACCTCAGCCACAAAGTCTTTGAACCGCTCCTTCTTATCGAACCGTCCCTTGAAAACATTGAGTAGCCCTTGAATTGTAATTCCCTCCTTAGGCACATGTCTCGCAATCTCAGCTGCTGTTGGGAAACCTGCCTGCGCTGCTCCTGGTGCAGGCGTACTCGAACCAGCAGGGCTCCGTGCTGAAGGGCTGCCAGCTCGACTAACCTGCCCACTGGCAGTCGGACTTGCAGCCCTGGATCCGCGTTGCGACAATGTTAACTTTATGCGTGGATTTGCGGTGCGGGCATCTGTGTCGCTGCCGGAGCCTGCGGTGCCCAGGAGGCCACCCGGACGTGACGCACCACCATCACGACGTACTGCCTCCGGAGCAGGACGCGGTGTAGACGTGCCCTGTTTAATTTTGGCACGTTTGCGACTGGACTCATTCCCAGAAGCTTCTGAAAGATTCGGCGAGCCGGGACGCTTAATAGCCTTAACTCGCAGAGTATCCACATGCTTCTCTTTACGGCCAGATGGGGTGTTTGCGCCACGTGAAGAAGCGCCAGACGGAGGTTTGGTGCTTTTAGCGTTCTTTTGATCGAGCTTGGCCTTTGATTCTTCTTCCTTTTTTCGCTCTTCTTCTTTCTGGCGCTCTAATTCGGAATCTTCGCTCTCGCTCTGCTTATATATGAGTGTGTGATCAGAATATGCGGAAGAAGCGGAATGATTACCTCTGAAGAGTATGGATTCTCCTCACTATCACTGGCGTAGTCGAGGTTCTTCTCACGCCTTAACAGTGCCTTTCTTGTACCCTTCTCCAAGCGCTTAGCCACCTCGGCAAGGAGTTTTTCTTGCTCCTCTTCGGCATCTACTTCCTTTTCATTCTTCATATCGAATACATTGGCATTGAGTTGGTCACGTTTTAACTTTTCCTCTGCCATTTTTTTTGTATCATCATCGCCCTCAAACAAGTCGTTCTCCTCATCATCCGCAAAATCCTCTTCGACATTGTAGTCAATGTCGTTGGCATCTGGGTCAACTTCTGGCTGATCAAGATCCATACCATTAGCTGTGCGCTTCGGCTCCTTCTCTCCCGAGCGTGTGAACAGTGAAGCTTTTTGATAAGCTGCTTCTTCGGCCTTGATTCTGCGCTCCTGTGCTTCGTTTTTCAGTAACCATCGCGGTGCCCGTTGTCCTTTCGTCATTTGTTGCTCTGCTTGCTCTGGGTCCAGACGTTGCTTCTGGGTTGCCTTTTCCCTAAATCGATACCACTTTTCTAGGGGCACAAGCCGGAAAGAATTGTCTGGTTGCTGCATTAACATGACATGACACTCCGACAAGGCAGCCTCGTAGGATCCCTGCCAGACTTTTTTCTCTTCAAAATCTTCTATGTGCCACGGAAGGGCTTCTTCATACCGCAATTGCTGTCTCTTGCGCTCCTCGGGGGTATCGTCGGCACGATATACCTGCTCAACCTTCTTCTTAAACGCCTGTGGTTTCCTTTTCTGCGATGCAGCTGGCGCCATCTGTTTCGCCTGCTCTTCTCTTATGCGTTGCTTCTCTAGCTTCGCAGCTTCGAGTTGCTCACGTTGCTTCTCGTCTATCAGTTCCTCCTTAGAATCTACTTCCATGGTATTACTACTGGGATGGAAGCGAGGATCCTTGCGATGTAATCTCACAGGCCTGTCAAATTGTTTTTCGTCTGCGATATCGATGTTTTCTTTCGTGATGAGACGCGCGACATGATAGCGCAAACCTTGTAGCAACTCGCGCTTTGTGGACTTTATAGGTATAACATAAGTTGGCGGACGCGATTCCGTAGGCGATGGCGGCGCCGCAGCAAATGTTTTCGGTGGCATACCAAGCGGTATTGATTGTTCGCGGTTGCTTGGGGGTGCAATGGCAGGACGTGGACGCTGAATTTGTTTGGAAGGCTTATGTCGCGCATTCAGAGGATTGGTCTTCGGAGGGGGTCGTCGCCGTGGTGGCGGAGGAGGACCAGCGCCATTTGGCGTTCGTCCTGGGACGGCGCTTGCAGGTGACGCACTCATCTTTAGCTCTCGTTATTGAAAGCAATTCGTACGTAGGGCAAGCTCGTTTCACTGTGCTTGGAGCTGATGAAAGGAACGCGATCTGCGTAAGTGGACAGATTATGTCAAGCTAGATTGTGATTTGCACGTATCAAAGGAAAGCGAGGAGTCGAGGGCAGTAAGGAGAAGTTGTCTGGTTCCAGCTTCGAGATGCCATGTGTATGGGAGTGGATGAAGTACTTGGATCAAGCTCAAAGTCAACTGTCACCTCAAGTCCAGAGCCCTATGATGCTGTTTCTGCCTGAGGCTTCCACGAACCATACATTTGAGATAACTTACATTGTGAAGACCTGTCCATCTTTGCGTAATGATTGAACAGAATTTATCGATTCACAAAACCACGTAGCCCATCAGTCTTCCTTAAGGAAATTTTTGAATGAGTTTCAATGGCCCGAAGGCCATCTCAACATCTAATATGCCCAAAGGAAAGCGTACGCAGGAGACGAAGGACTTGGAGGACCAGTTGCGCAGCATGATCCTGGGCAATGTGCGCATAAACTCTGAAAACACTCCACAAGGACGGCCAGCCCGTGGAAGAGGACGTGATTCTCATGTTGCCTTGAGTATGCAGCATACGACCAGCAATATTTCTCCGGGGCCTTCATTCATCGAAGGTGGCAGCCAACCATCACCTAGTTACAACAGGAATGGTCATTCGTCCGGCCCTCAGGATGGCGAGTACTCGCTGCAGAATCCGCATGGGAATCACCGAAATCAAGGCAGCGGTAACTTTCAAGGACTTCGAAGTCGAGGACAGCATTACTCTCATCCTAGTCCCCGTGATCGAGGGTCGACTGGTGGAACGGTACACCCAAACCTGTATGATCCATCACAGTCCCCACAGAACCAAAGGTCACCAAGACGTACGCAATCTCAATCGCTTTCCTCTCCTGGAGCTGGCCCTGGTGGGCACCGAAACGCTGTCCCAACAATTGCTGCGTTTATTGCTCAATGTGAGCTTCTTGATATTCTCGCGGCTGAAGAAATTCCTAAGATTGAAATGTCACAAGCAGAATTTCTCCAAAAGGAAGCCTTTCGTGCAAGGCTAGAGGATATTTGCAGAGAGGAAATTCAGAAAGAGTATCCTGATTTGACAACTGTGCCAAATCTACGAGCGTATGGAAGTATTGTTTCAGGTTTTGCCACTAAGGGTTCTGATGTTGATCTTACTATCGTGTGGTCTGGTCCATCGCGTGATGATCCTGAGTTCAAAGCTAAGCTACCACGTGTCGTAGAGTTAGCTATTTTGAAGGCAGGACACGGTGCTCGGCTTTTAAGCAGAACAAGAGTGCCCATCATCAAAGTCTGCGAGCAGCCTACGGAGGATTTGTATGCAGCTTTAACTGAAGAGCGTCAGAGATGGGAAGAGCTGCCCGAAGAGGAGAAATATCCAGAACTAACTCCGCCGCCGGAATCGCCCGTCGAAAGGGATAACAGCTCCAAATTTGCACTGAATGAGGACGACGCAGTGCCGGAGGCGCGGGTTCCGCTTGATGTTGACCATCACGTATCTCGCGGGGGAAGGAAAATGGAAGTTACGAAACGAATTACGATGAATGACGACCCTGTAGGCTTCTTGCTACAGCTGAAAACCAAACGACGCACAGAAGACGAGGATCTAACACGATACTGCACACAATTTATCAACGCCAGGAGATTTTCACTACAAGCCTCGGATATAGATGATCAAACCTACGCAGAATGGTTTCTCGAAGGCCTCCCTACGTCGGTCGTGAAATCGATCGTCGACAATCGCTCGGTTCAATTAAAGTCAGATGCTTCATTCACCGATCACACTCTGTTCGAGCAATACTACGAAGTAGCCCAACCAATCATAGCAAGCCTCAATACTGCTAGGGGGAAGAAGGAGAGACCGTGGCTTCGTGAAAAGGCGTTGGGTAAGCTTGACTTTCCCAAAAGCGGTGTGGGAATCCAGTGCGACATCAACTTTTCAAACCCACTTGGCATGCATAACACTGAGCTGCTGCGCTTATATTCTCTATGTGACTCTCGCGTACGGCCTTTTGTTCTTTTCGTTAAAGCCTGGACAAAGCGACGAAAGATAAACAGTGCATATAATGGAACTCTCTCATCTTATGGATATGTCCTTATGGTCCTTCATTTCCTCATCAACATCGCACAACCTCCTGTTCTTCCGAACTTACAGCTCGTATTTGGCGCAGGCGAGCGGGAGGTTCTCGTTGAAGGGGGTTACAACATAAGTTTCTATCGAGACGAAGCCGCAATCCGTCAAATGGCTGCCACGCACCAATGGACGCAGAACACTGAACCTCTTGGCGTCTTACTACGGAACTTCTTCCACTACTATGCAGCACAGGGTTCGCACGTCATAGGGACAGGCTTTAATTGGATGCGCGATGTCATATCCATACGCACCCCTCGTGGTATAATGTCGAAAGAATGGAAGGGCTGGACTGGCGCAAAAACAGTTCATATGGACGGGGGTCGGGAGGTGCGGCAGAGATACCTGCTTGCGATCGAGGATCCGTTTGAAATCGATCATAATGTAGGCAGACCTGTCACACACAATGGAATTGTGACGATTCGTGATGAGTTTCGAAGGGCCTGGCGGATACTAAGCGCAGTGGGGCGAGGGGTGGAGGCGGAGGGGGGGTTATTTGACAACATCATTGAACAAGAGGAGGACAAGAGGCAGAAGGTAGAGGAAGAACATCGTACCATCACGGCTTCCACTTGAGGAAGTGACAAAGTGAGGGCAAGAGAGAAACAAAAAATTCATGGCATTGGGATGGTTACACACGAGTAATGAAAGTAGCTTATGTAACGAGTTGGGCACTTGGTACACAGTTGTACATTAATGGAGTCATACCTGACCGAACGCCGACAAGACCAAAGACATTATGACATAGGCTTTGATGATTAGGTCAAGAAAAACCTTCGCAGCGGCACTCCTCGCTCGCGCAGAGCTTCTGCGGACATTCTTGGGTCAGAATGAACATACCGATCCAGCTCACTATCATAGAACTCCTCATAAATTCTCGGTTCATCTTTCGTTCGTTCCGACTCTACCCATTCCCAGCAGGGAGACAGTTCACCTAGCCTTGGGTCATGTACGGTGTCAGCATCAGATTCCGCATAGTCGACCTCGAGTCCCGCCTGATCCAAGTTGCGGAAACGCACCACCGCGCCGCCGTACTCATCATCCCGGATTATCACGCGCCAGTTGCTTGGAAGGGGCCCCAGAAAGGCACTGGCGTCGTGGAACCCGTGCACAAAGCAGCTTCCCACGACTTGGTAACTGTTACTACCTTGAGGACGAAGCAAGGTAAGAGAATCGCTTCCGAGAAAGGCGCAGACTATATCATCTGGTTGAGTGATTCCAGGTCCAATGCCGAAATATCCACTTTTTGTGGTGAAGAAATCGTGCTCGTGTAACAGAGTAGATAGTTGACTTAACATTGCCTCATCTTCATGCCCTTTCTCATCTTCAAAGCTGCAGGCACCCAGTTTTCTATTTAGCCATTCAAAGGTCGCGTCAACAGGTTGAACAGCCGACGTGCGGTTTGTGCCCGGATATCTCTCGCATGTGTTTCCAAGCCAGACTGTATTGAAGAAAACTTGTGTCAAAGATTCGTCTGTCGGGTATTTTCCATCTCGACGGACGCAATGCAGCCACTCCCGTAACGTCCTTAAAATCTCTCTGCTCTTCAGATACTGCGCGCATACTTCCTTTACAGTACAGCACTGAATACCAGAAACGCATATCACTTTTTCTGAGATTGTTTCAAGCTCGGGTTCGGAAAATCCACTTGAGAACTGGATAGTAGGCAGACCATTGAAGGACTTCCGAAAGTCAGGGACCCAACTCGGCAAGTCTGATGTCCGTCGATCGAGACGACATGCCTGCATAAGATCTAGGCGTTCATAGTACCTGATCATGGTTATGAAAAGCTCACGATACGTCTGTTCGACAGACTTTCTATAGTCCACCGTTACACAATTACTGAAAGATGTGCTAGCCAAACTGAGCAGACCATATATCTTGTCTCTACCATCAGAGCACTTTTGATTCCGATATGCTTGAACGGTTTCCGTAAATGGCGCGTTCGGTGAATATGATAAGGCATCCACACTTTGGAGAAGAGAAATCAATTTGGTCGAAGGCGGGTGACCTAGCGATAAGATACTACGGACTGCGACCCATAGTTGCAACAGTGGGATGGAATCTCGACCACAGATGAGCTCTGCACGCCACATGGACATGGCAAGCTCGGAAACAATCCACAGTCTTTCGAAGTAGTTTCGACTAAGCAGTTTTTCTATAGCAAACCATTCCGTCTCACCGAATTGCTTGCACGGTTCTTGAAATAGTTGGAGATTCTTGGCGTCAGGAGAAGGATATCTGGATCCGTCCTTGAGATAAACGGCCTGCGCTGCTATATCTCTTAAACAACGTATTGCTAACCCGCTGTTTTCGCCGTCAGTACCAAGCCAAACAATTGTTCTCCAAGCATGTTTGTAGATTTTCCACATTTCAGGGACTTGCGTTCCCTTCTCAAGATAATCATTCTGGTTAATGCATATTGCATCAATCCAGAATGTTCTCGGACGATCTTCATAGCGGAGGAAGTGAAGTGCCTCAACAAGTGAAGGTCGCAAGTACAATATAGCGTCAGACCTGGCATCCTCGTCCTCGGAACTGGAAATTCTAACGGCCACTAAATGATGGGATCTTCCCCACGCATAGGACAAGGCCTCAAAAAACGGGGCTTCTGGGGCAGGTTGTTTTGTTGCTTTTTTACTGTGGTCAAATCCTCATTAGTTGGTTGATTATACGAAATATCATCATTAGCCTTCAAATTATAACTCAGAAGTCGCACTCGATGTAACAAATGATATTCAAAAAGTTTCAGAAGAAAAGAAGTACCTACAATTCATTGAGACGCTCAGGTACGGGCAGGTCCCACGAAGTCCAAAAGTTTCCATCACGAAGTTCTTTGCAATGAGTAAATAACCATCGATCGTCAATCGTTTTGTTAACAGACCAGTCGTGCGCCAAAGTAAGCATATCATGTTTGAACATTTTTGGAAATTGCATATGCTGAGGAGGCGGACCATCGTCTGATTTTGAGAGCCCCAAAGGATTGAATGAAGTATGGCTGATTTTAAGTCGAAGAGGGTCGTCAAAGAAACCAGGAAGGATTGTCACTAGTCGTATCTCACTCTTCTCGGGATCAAGACGTCTGTGGCGATACATTTCAGGTTGATCTGCTTGGCTAGCTTTTGCGAAGGCGGAAGCCATCCTTGTTGCCATAGTTCTCAAAAATAAGAAGAGATTTCGGATATTCTCATGATTTGAAAGGATTAAAAAGCTACAGTCGCTGGGAGGTCTTCGTCTCATTCCCTTAGACTTCGAGTTTCTGCTATGAAACATTCTACTTGCTCTCAACATTCCGAATGCAAGACCCGAAGCAGCCGGCGCTTAACCATTGGTTGTCGAACTCCCCGGAAATGCGTAAGGCCCAATCTACTCAGGAAATTTTCACCTGATTCATAAATGAGTGGTCTTAAACGGAGCTTTCAACCTATGAAAGCTTCAAAACTACTGTTTTTACTCCAAAGATGAACTTGAAGTCACTCACGTGATAAGTGGGACTGCTCATGCAGGGCAGAAACTGTTGGCCAGCTATCTTCCCCACTTGACTTCTGTTGTCAAGATTTGTGTCACCGTCCTTCGTTCTCCAAATTATCTAGTGCTCAGCCGTTGTGCGACAGCCAACATGCCTTCCGGACAAGGAGGTAAGCCGAGGCCTACAACTATAAATGCGTAGAATCTAATTGTGCTTATCGTAGTTGGAACCAATCCTCTCCACAACAAGAAGCCGAAGAAGAAGGTCACTGAGGAGGATGAAGACGACAAAGCCTACAAGGCTAAGGTGATGGCCGGTGTGTTGTCTCCATGAAGTAATGTCATATGACTGTTGGCATACTGATACCTGCGGTGGTAGAGAAGAAGGCTGCAGCGGAAAAAGCGAAGGAGTTGAAGAATGGTGGCAAATTGGGTACTGGCTTGTCAAAATCCGGAGGGAAGAAGAAATAAGAATTTCTACGAGTTGCGGAGTGTGCTAGCGTCTGTCGTATGAATTGAACCAATTGGATAGGCAACAGTTGCTCGCCAGCAAATCTGCTAGATTTTGCTAAATGTACGAAGCATGTAATGAAATTTTACTTCTGTTGCACTTCTAGGTCTCGAAGAATAGAAATTTGCCTGTTCTCATATAGATTGGAGCATCGATACTTTGAGTTTTATACTCGTCAACACCATTAGTTGTCGAAAACAGATCCTAATCTGCCAAATAACTCGAGGTGTTTCTTACAAGCTTCTCGCCACTGCAGAATCTTAGCCAAGGCGGGTGCAAATCATGGCTTGCTGTCGAAAGAATGAGTATTGAAACTAATGTCATATATGTTTTACAATTAGTCCCGTTTACAACTTATTGAGATCGCTTGTCCCTATCTCGTAGGGCAGGTCTTCAAATAAGATTAAAGCCTGATTTCAATGCTTGAGGTTGGTGTGCCACGTACAGAGGCGCTTCTATTCAGAAATCGGCCTAGTAAAACTGTTGCCTGTAGTTTAATATACGAAATCAGCGCCGAAATTCGCATGTGTCCAATCAAAAAGGCGCTCTAGAGAGGGGAAATTGTCCTCTCCATAAGTTTTATGCAAATGTGCCATCCGTGCAACACCATGACCAAAGCTGTTACGTCAAAAAGTAAGGACTTATCCATGAGGTTGTTATGATTCAAAGCGTACTGGAAGGTACGAGTAACAGCTATCGTGTGCTGCGCGCATCTTGTATTTCCTAGCTTGAGATAAAATGTGTCCAGGTGAACCAAAGGCCCATTCCACGTGCGCAGACATTTGTTATGACAAATGCGACAAATTACCCAATTTGGCTTGTACTTGGAATGAAGCATATACCGTGCTGGCTGCTGCTCCTCAAGTACCCGAGACCCGCTTTGTTAACAGCCAATATTGCACAAACCCCGGTGCATAAATGGTGGACCTTCAGATGTCATGATAAACATGAGATTAGCAGCACATCAGGTATGGAAGTGTCCGCTAACCAAACAGTGATTCTTTGCATCTGCGGCCAGATTCCACAAGAGCAAGAATATCAATTATTTAGATGGCCCGCCAGTCTATACGCTGATTGCAAGGGCTATGTCGAAAGTGATTGATAGCTCCAGAAGGTCAGTGCTATCCTGGTCTCAATCTGGAGATTGACCGGGGCTTCACGATGCCACAAATAGGTATATTTCCGGGAAGAGGGACCTGGAGCTCGCCTAGAACGAAACAACTATTAGGAATCTGGTCTGCGGTATCCATCTTGTTGGCGCGTCAACCCGTGGGGCCGTGGAGACGCTCACGTGGCCCTTCAGCAACCAAAGCACATTCGAGTGGATCTAGATCATCGCCACAGAAATGAGATGTATTGCGTCTACGGTTGAGAACATGTCGTGATTTGCTTTCGACCCTTGATCGCGGACTTTGACAGGCGAGCGGAGGATGCGGTTCAGTCTTGCCATGATTACGCAGGCCCACAAATGGAGCAGCTTGGCAAACGGGCCAAACTTTACGTCGCCGATTACCACAGGCAATTTTGATACTCCAGATGGTGGCGGACCCGAACCTACAACTTCCCTCGGAAGTACATTCCGCAGAGGCCGCGGGAAAGTCGGCGTCACTTGATATTTTGATCATGCCAAGATGATGTCGCAGGAACTCTGGCGGGCAGGAGGACAATCGACAGTACGAGTGCCAAGGCCGTCAATAACCGAATGAGTGCAAGTACGAGGTTTACGTTCGAGAGACGGTGGTGGTGGAGGTGGCACTGAGCCGGGGCGGCATGCCGCTCGGGAATGCAGCAAACATGCAAGCGACCTCGTTTTATCGAAAGAGGGCATCATCGGAATGCAGGATCTGATGTGGAGGCAATCACAACGGAGCGTAGGTTGGGATTTGCAGTTGAGAAGGCTGGGAATGGCAAGCTTCTAGAAAAAAGTCTTGGTTGCACGCTAGTGGAGCGGGCCTGAATGCAACCTCGGTGTCACACCCTAAGCCAAAGCAATTCGACGGCGCGTACAGATGCTGTCTTCGTCTGTCTTGGCAAAGATAATAAGCTGTCTGGCGCATGCTCGCATTTTTGCCACGGCTGTCAATCTTCGAGGCTTTGGTTGTGTACGGAGTACGCGACCGGCGCTCTCCGGCTCTTTGCTCATAATAGCCGAACCGTCGTTTTGCTTTTTTTTCTGCCGTGCGGGCCGCTTCGTTGGCTCTCCGCACCAAACTTTGACAAAGCCAGCAGGCGATCGGACCTGGCGTTTATCATCGATTTCGTGGTGATTGGTGGCCACAGTATTCTGCAAATGATCCTGCGACATGGACTACCCGTGCGCTGCTGCGACGAACTTCTGGTATCGGTTCTAGGTTCGGCAGCCTAACGGAGCATCATCTGAAAACAGCTACGATCAGCTGGTGGGATAGGAGGCGAATGCACGATATGGGAATTACCGAAGTTGTCGACTTTGGTAGGAGGTTGACATGTTGCAAAAACTATGGCGATATAGAGGCGACGTGTCCGCCGCTGACGAGTGCCCAGCGTTTGATCACCGAGTCGACCACATGAACACCTATGCTACGTCGTGCCATCACTGCTCGTCGGACGCGATAAGCGATTTGGAATGTGCGCTGGAAGCCAGTCAAAGCAACGGATTTATCTGATCCTCCTTCCAGACAGAGAGGCCGACCATCAACGACGGGGCCAGCATCGGCAAACAACGCGCCAAGATCTCTACCAAGAAATTACCCTGCGCTTGGCCTAAGCTTGTGATTTCTTGTGCGACTTCCCATGAAAAGCTTGTCTCCAATTGGATCCGTTGTCTCTTGGCACGCGCGACAGTTTCCACGGTGGGAGGATCTCCTGCTTCAGTAGGCATAGTGGTGTAAACCGCCACAGCGTGTGGTGTCTCGCCATATCGCGGGGACCCAGTCGATGAAGGGGGTTTGGGCCGGACGACTCTGCTGGTCTGCGATAAGGATGTAACAGTGTGGAAACAGGTCGCCTGTGGATCTATTTAATCAATCGCCTGCCCGTGTGCCTCCAGTCCGTCCTTAAGCGTGTGAAGGGTGTTTCCACATCGAACCTATTCACAGTGGGCCCTGCAAACTTTGCCGTTGAAGCAGCCAAGATAATCTTTGCGAAAAACCCACTGTCGATCACTGTCGCAAACATGCCGGGCCAAATCGATGACCTTGTAAGTCACCATTTTCCTCTTGCGACAAGCATCGCAGCCCGTCGTGTTTTGAAGTAGAATATGTCTGAGGTTGAGCACGGAGTGTGGAGCACCCGTTCGCAATTTGACATTTTGCTTGCTTCCCTCTCGCGAAATTTCATGCTACCGCTACAGCATCTGCTCAAGCTGTGTCGGGGGCGGATCTACTTCATGAACAATGGCACTTTTCATCGCTGTAGCTTGCTTGGCTGTGAAATGTTCACCGTCCTCTCTTAATGCCGCTTCACAACTTCACAACGTCTACCTTTTGGATCGAAATCTAATGCCCCGTGATAGAACATGCCCGCTCGCATGGACCACAACTTGGTGGTGGCCGCAGATGGCGATCCAGAGCGTCGGAAGAGCTCTCACGTAGTCGAGCCACCGGCGTTCTACGATGGCAAGGCCGTGGCGCAAGAGCACTATATGGATGATTCGAGCGCCGACGACTTCCCAACTGAAGAAGATTTCCGAACGCTTCGACGTGTCCCTGAGAAGATTCCTGCCAAGGTCTACACAATTGCCTTCGTCGAGCTGTGCGAGCGTTTGTCCTACTATGGTGCCGTTCAAGTGTTTGTCAACTTTATCCAGCAGCCAAACCCGGGCACTTCAACTGGCAGAGCTCTCGATCCCAGCGCCGCAGATGCTCAGCCAGGTGCTTTAGGCCTTGGACAACGTGCCTCTACTGGTCTGACCACGTTCAATCAGTTCTGGAACTACGTGATGCCGCTTTTTGGTGCCTGGATTGCAGATACGTACCTTGGCCGTTTTAACACCATCTGGATTGCAGTCTGCATCTCTATCACAGGTCACGTCATCTTGACTGCGTCGGCAGCACCATCCGTATTGGCTCATCCTCACTCGGCCGTTGCGGCGTTTGCAATTGGTATTATTGTCATGGGTATCGGTACGTGGTCCTATTACACATTCTCGACTCGAACCAATGTGCTTTGAGTGGGAAACATGATGGACGTAGCCATTTCGACTGTCATAATTTGTTTAAAAATAAGGAGAGACTAACTATCTTCCGCAGGTACTGGTGGCTTCAAGCCTAATATCTCACCACTCATCGCCGAGCAGATTCCTAACGAGAGATTCCGAGTTGAGGAGCGCAATGGCGAGCGTGTCCTCGTCGATCCTGCCGTCACTACCGCCAGGGTCTACAACTGGTTCTACTTCTTCATCAACGTGGGCGCTTTGATTGGTCAAATCGGCATGGTATACGCTGAGCGATATGTCGGTTTCTACCTCTCTTTCTTGATCCCAACACTGGTGTTCTGCACATCTTTGCCTGTTCTCTTCTACTGCAAGAAATTCTATCGTGTTCGGGCACCCGAAGGCAGCGTCCTCGGCCCAGCTGTTAAGCTTCTGCTTTCGGCGACGAAAGGCCGTTGGCATCTCAACCCAGTCGCCACCTGGAAACACATGAACGACGGCACATTCTGGGACTCTGTGAAGCCGTCCAAATTCGATGAAGCGTCTCGACCGAAGTGGATGACATTCGACGATGCCTGGGTTGATGAGGTTGCACGTGGTTGGGCTGCTTGCTCAGTCTTCCTGTGGTACCCACTGTACTGGCTCACCTACAACCAGATCAACAACAACTTGACCTCCCAAGCCGCCGTCATGGCTCTGCACGGCGTGCCAAACGATGTCGTCTCCAACCTTGACCCGTTTGCGCTCCTGATCTTCATTCCGATTTGCGACTTGTTCTTGTACCCTGCTTTGCGCAAAGCTGGTATCAGATTTACGCCGATCAAGAAGATCGCCATGGGCTTTTTTACTGGTTCAATGGCAATGATTTGGGCCTGCGTCATCCAATACTGTGAGTACCCTGCTAGCAATTCAAAGGAAATTCTTTAAGCCTAACATTCATAAGATATCTACAAGAAGTCACCTTGCGGTACACACGCGTCGACGGGTACCCTGCCTAACGGCGATTCTTGTCCAAACGTTGACATCAACGTCTGGGCCCAAACTGGCAGGTACGTTGTCAATTCCACTCTTATATTCGTGGAGATATTGAAAGCATCGTCGGAATTCGTATCACCGCATTCGCTGCGGAGACGATGTTTCTAAAGTCCAGCCGTGCCTTTGTGAGTTCACGTGCTGACCTGAATCGCAGTTACGTCCTGATTGCCTTGTCCGAAATCTTCGCGTCTATTACTTCGCTCGAATACGGATTTTCCAAGGCTCCAAAGAACATGCGTTCGCTAGTCGCTGCTTTCGCCTTGTTCATGACTGCCATTTCTTCTGCAATTGGTGAGGCTTTTGTGCCCTTGTCCACGGATCCTCTTCTCGTCTGGAACTATGGTGCCATGGCTGTGATCGCCTTCATTGCTGGAATCATCTTCTTCTTCCAATATCGTACTCTCGATAAGCTTGAGGATGAGCTCAACGCCCTTCCAACAGGTCACGTAGGCACCGCCGAGCAGGCTGCTGACGTCGAGCGACGCCTCTCTGCCATCATCCCTGGCGCTCTTCACGACCGTGCTGCAAGCGCATCTAAGGAAGGCTCTGTCAAGGAGAAGGCATAAGAGGCATTCGCTCGGAAGCAGGTGGACTGCCCGCAAATTAAAAAAACGCGTCTGATGCTACGGACTGTTGTGTAATTAGAATCTCCCTAAGGGAAGAGACCAAAGTGAATACATATGATCAGAATGGCGATCATTTCAGATCCAACTTGCATTTGCTCTCTAGGTGCTACAAAACCATGCTCAGCAAGCCGATTCCACAAAGACTCAATCTCTCTCCCTCTCTCTCTCCCTTTACAATCGTGAAGTTCGATGCGAATCAGCCCTGTGCTTCCAACGTAGAATAGATGATACGTTCCAACCGTCGCATCGCGGCCCTGCCCGATCTCTTTTGGCAAGCCGCCTCGCCATCAGAACACCTTCTCTGTTACAATTTACATCCTCGGCACAACTACATCCTTCGCCGTGCTGCAGGCCTGTCCTCGCCAAGGCTGTGGCTTGCACGTCCAATAGTTTGTCTGTGTAATAGGTACTACCTTCCAATTTGCCTGCTCCACAGAGACCCACACGCATCCTGAAAGAGCCATGTTCCAAAAAAAGTACAAGCCTCATTCTCGTCTTTTGCGCCTGTCATTACCGTCCCTTTGGAGATCTGGGGTGCAGCTTTGATAGCTCAAACTACTTGGTCCACAAAGCTGGAGAAACCTGGAGACACTCTCAATGTGGAAAATGATCGACTTGTCATGTAAGAGGGTTTGAGTGGTAGGGAATCATGCAGGACTGGGTGATTAGGCACATTTTTCTGAGGCGGCCGAATCTCTCGATTACTGACTTAGACTATCAACTGCAGCCTTCCTCACTTAAGCGGTATCGCGCACCAACTTGAACCGCTGCTTCCTGCTACTGTTCTCCTCCACGGTCATGTGACATAGGAAAAGTGTTACATAGAAATGAGCGAGTTGACGCGCATCGCGTCCACCACAATCTGGAGATGATCAATGGATCTCGCCACTCAGACAACAGCCTCTGGCCTTCCTTCGATTGACAAAAGAGAAATCATAGCCTCAGGACCATTTGCTGAGACTTTTTTCTCTTTAGCAAATTGTCGCTCTAGCCATCTGGGAACATGTGGAGCTGACTTTTCCCATCCCGAACCAGGCGGGAGGTACATACGTGACAACTCAGGTCTGTTTCAGAGGCGAGGACAGAGAGTTGATGATACAAGTATTAAGATAAAGCTCCCGCCTCCCCACGCGCATTGCGCATAAAGGTAGAACGTGCTTCCGTTTCCCGCAATCAGATGTATACCAAACCGGGCCGCCGACCCACGCGTTCGTTGGAGAGAAGAGAAGTAGGAGTCGAGAGGTAAGATGTGAGAGTAGTGTCAATCAATAACGCCTAAATTCAGGGATCCACGTTCGCGGCTGGCTTACTCGCCTTCGTCCAACTTGAGTGCCGTCGTCCGGTGGACAGGTTCCAATTTTGATTTGTCAAACACGATCCAATCTGAGTGTGGATTTGGGGTATCATGTGTGGGATGTGTCAGTCTTTGTCGACCCAAATAGCAAAAAACATCGCCGAAACAGGAAAGCACGAGAACTCCGAGGCGAAATCATAACACGGCACGTGTCGCCCTTCACATTTCAGACCGTGCGTGGCGTACTCTTCGATTGAAGTTCCACGAGATCGTCAATGTGGTTGGAAAGGGCAACGAACAAGTCGAAGAACAATTTCCCCCCCATCTCCATCTCCATCTGCATGGTGCCGCTGCGCTTGAATGTCTTCCGGCTGCGGATAATCAAAGCCAAGTAATGAGCGCGGAGGCGGGAGTCGCTGTCCGGTGTGTTCTCATAGGCATACCGCGCACTGCGCAAGATGACACCGACCTCGATTCCACTCTGCAGGCCTTGTTTACGCAAGGACAAGCGTTTGAGCTCCTCGAGACCGTAGCGTTCAGCCGCGCAGTACACAGCTGTGTCTCTGAGAATAAAGTCACCCACGCCGGAATGAAAAAAGGTTGCCTCAACTCCACCTCCTCCGCGACCACCGTTGTTATTGAGGTTGGGCGAGGTCCCCTCCACACTGCCCTCGAGCAGCCAGGTGTTACGTCGCTTGTCGTGCATCAAGCGCGGATAGTAGTCACCTTTGTAGAGATACTCAAGAACGCAGGAGAAGATCTCGGGCTCCTCGTCGGGAAGCTGGATGCGTCGATTGGACTCAAAGAACTGATCCTGACACGCCGATGCAAAGAACGGCGAGTGGCTCAGGACGTCCTGATGAGCTGCGAACAGTCGTTGATCTTTGCCAACCACTATCGAAATAATGGCTGAAGTGAGGTTGGGAGAGTTACTGTCGGTGTTTGATAAGCTACTCTGTCTACTTTGAGCAGGACGGTGGTGCGAGATGAAGGCGTACCCCTCACTCTTGGGACCGCTCGCCTTCTCGAGCATCCGCTCCTTCACATCTTCACGAAACGACATCTTCATCGGTTTGCTGACTTTGCCCGCCCGGTCTTTTGAAGCAAACGAGCGTTTGAACATTTTAAATGGACTCAATGAAGAAGCCAGGACGCGAAACGAGCGACGAGACAGCGTGCTAAAGCTGAGTAGCAGGATTAAGACGATGACGCAAGAATTGACATGTGCGTGCTATTGGAGCTCCGGAAGCCTTTTCAGTTACTACTTGCTTTCACGAAGAATCTAAGCGATTGACACGGTGAATTGTCGCAGCCTAGATTACTGGGGAAAACGAGAGTGACCTGATAAGACTTGGCAACGAATCTGCACAGCGGATGCGAGATTCTTGCGAATTCGGCTGGCTCTGAACGAATGTAGGTGGGCGTGCGAAGGAGCCGAAATGGTGGGGGAGGCCGCGCTCTTTATATGCGCGCCTAGACTAGGCTGTGCTGGTCCCGAATGGCGCGTCTGATTGGTGGTTTTGATGACTCTCACGCAGGGGAGATCGTGGCACAAGCATGACCAGGCAACATATGACTCTTGTAAGCCTCATTGTCAACTGCACAGGTTGTCAGGCTTTCCAGAATCGTCCATGAAAGCCTTCCAGCCATTGAACGCTGGGCAGTGAGTCGTCCAGGTGCCCAAGCGACATTGAAGCCAGCGCCCATTCGTTTATCTAAGCATCGCCTTCCTTGATGTCACCCTGCAGGATTGGACAGGCCAGCCATTGGGCAGCAATTGCCTGACAAGACATCAAATAGCTGGCTGCGTCCAGGAGCCGAAGTCCTTGGAGGGCCGGGGTCAGCAATGTCCATACACACTCCTGGCTCGCGCTTATTGCATGAGTGTGAAGATAACGAATGACAACATGACCTCATTGCAGTGACGGTACCATAGATGAAAGGGACAGTGAGGCGCCAACACAAAGACAGAGGTCATACACAGTCACAACTAGACGATGAGCTGTGGTCTATCACGAGCACAGAAGCGTCAAGAACGAAGCCACGTCGTGCCATGCTCATTTCATCTCACTTCTTTGACTTGTCCCTGGGGTTTTATCTCCTTGTTGGCGAGAATAATGGCGACAATCGTGGAACAGGATGTTGCTTATCACTACGCCAGCCGAGGTTGCCCCCATCTCCGCTGCGTTGTTGTGCTTGATGTGTGTGCCATTCTAAGTACGTTATATAGGCAAATGCAGCCGCCGAAGTGTTTACCATGTGGTTCGGCAATGGCTATGCTCTGGCTTAAAAGATCAAGCCTTTGCATTACCATCAATTCGAGTGGCGCGCGAAGAATAGTGGGCATGGCCTGGCGAAGCTACGAAGTTTAAGCCTCAACAATAGCATAACGATCGTTGTTCCAATTCAGTCCAGTGAACTTGCCCGTAAGTGATGACGACGCAGTCCCAAATACATTTTGCAAGCAAAATCGTTTTCCATGCACGAAGCAGCCATCAAAGAATTGAGCAGCTGGAGAATTGAACAGGTCTTGTCTGAACGCAGGATCTTCAGGAGAGTAGATATGACGGTATTGACTTGAAAAGTTATCTAACCTTCGCCTCTTTTTGACACGTGAATTTACACACCCTCCATTTTTTTCACAACAACAATCCTTGTCGGAGGATACGAGATGCATGTGGAAACGGCACGTGCTGTCTTCAATCGAGCTAACTGATGTCCAAGAGAGGAGTCTCGGCTGTGCACTGCACGGGGACGAAGACGAGCGCAACGCACTTGGGGACACAAACGCGGGTTATGTTAGGACTCTGTTCATAAATTCAACTTGCTGCCCGACTTTCTCAAAAGTGAGCGTGAAGAGACGGGACATGGGTTGAGCTACCCAATAAGACTGATAAGACGAGGATTAAACGGATAGCAGAGATAATAGTGAAAAGGTTTGCTTGTTCCCCTAACTCACATGATTTTTATATCCAGGTTCCACATCGATCGAAGATCCGATTAATTGTGGAAAACTTTCCGGTTCCAACCGCTGCTTAGTCCGCCCTTGAGAAGCTTGGCCTGTATCAAAAGTGACAACATACCGCACCACGATTTGAGAGCGCCTTAAATGAATCTCCTCGGCCGTGCCTTCGCACTTTAATAAAAACAGACCAAAATTACCACCTCCACGATCAAACCGAGCCTTCCACCATCAACGCCTCCACTGCACCTCTTGTCATAGTATGCGAGCATTCTGGCCGTTGAGATCTTGTAAATCAAGGTTGAAAGTCGCCTATGTGTAGACTCTTGGATTGCCAAGCTACTTAGCAAGGGTCTGAAGAGGGGAGGCGGCATGCAGGATCAGTTAAGTTGAATTGGCTCGCATCAACGGAGAGATACACCGTTGGCAGACAAAGTTAGCCGGGCCAAATATCACCAGACAGTTCTATCCTCGGTCCGTATAGCAATTGTATCAATGAAAACATCATAGAGACTCTTGAGCGAAGGCCGCTGTTCAATGCCGTGAATGGACAACACAACTACCGAGCACCTGGAGATGTCCCCTGTCTAGCTGGCCGATTAAGCAGCCATGGAGAGTGGCCCACAGGGTGCACGAGCTTTGCTGTTGCACGATTCGCGGGCATAGCACATCTCCCTACCCCAGATTTCTCCGCATCATAACCTGTCTTCTGAGCGCTTCAAACCACGGCACTTGTGCGTGGCACCCAGACTAGTAGAGTTTGAATTGTCGTCTTTAATAGACTTTCACCAATCTGCTTTTGGCTATGAAGCCGTTCATGCGCAGCCTTTTACCAGGAGCGTGGCTGAACTCAGCGGGAGATGGTCCAGCTTCAATTACCGAGTATGAATTACCGGCTGTCGATCTATGTACTACCAATCCTCAATCTACGACTCCCAGGACTATAAGTATCGAATAGCTCTCCACATAGACTCCACACTCGTCTAGGATACTGACCCCATAGCGTCCTTTCCTGTTCTTTCTCAATTCATTTTCCTAGTGCTCTACTTTCCACACTACAGACGTTGCTTCGCGCTCTCCACCACTCAAACGGCCTTATCGGCTGGCAGCCGCGGAACGTTCCAAATGGATCCGACCTTTGACACTGAAGCTGTATGAGAGGCTCTCTCAGCTTTTAGAATGTAGCTTACGACACAAAACAGGAGCGACATCAAATCGAGGAGGAGCTCCACGTGGAGATCCTCCCCGGTACGGAGATCATGGCTGATGTCGGCAGCCATCACTTCGTAAAGGGGGGAGGGAGCACTGTGCTAGTACCCCAGCCCAGCGACGATCCGGCCGATCCTTTGAACTGGTCTCTCTGGTGGAAGATTGCAGCGATTACCTCCTCGAGCATGGTGACCTTTGCGCAAGGATTTGGACCTCTCGCGCTTGCCCCGATGTTCCCGGATTATATCAAAGCATTCAATTGCACCTTGGCTCAGGCCGTGCAGTTCACTGGGGTTTGTATTTTGGTTTTGGGATTCAGCAACTTTCTATGGTAAGCCCGCGTTCGCACCACCATTTCGCTTTTCATTTGACTCAAGAAAACGTCTAGGGTCCCGATCGCAACATCATTCGGCAGACGGCCCGTCCTCTTGACGTCCACTCTTCTCTGCCTTGGGTCCTGCATCTGGAGAGCTCGAGCACAGACCTACGGTAGCTTTATGGGCGCCTGTGTAGTCAATGGGATTGGAGCAGGGTGAATTCTATCACTAATAAAGTGTCGACGTTTTGCTAACGCTCGAACAGACCTGCAGAAAGTATGCAGCCAACAATCATCGCGGACATCTTTTTCCTCCATGATCGTGGCAAATGGAACACGTTGTATTGGGTCATCTATATGGGTTCTCTCATGGTAGCACCGATCATTTCAGGCCCAATGGCTGGAAAAGTTGGGTGGCGAGCGTTCTGGTGGCTTAATGTTGCTCTTCACGGGCTGACATTTGTGATGGTGTTCTTCATGTTTCCGGAAACGAAGTGGCAACGTGGAACGTTTAAAGAGCAGTTGGCGCGAGCTACAGGAACTTCTCAGCTGGCTGAAAAGGACGTGGAAAAGGAAGACGGTAGCCAACCTGCAAGCACAGCTGATGACGATCAAGTCAAGCCAACTGTCACTGCGAATTCACATGTTTCCCAGAGCAACGACCTTGTCGGCGTCAAGACGGCGGATCGAGATCCATACCTGGGCAAAGGAACGCCGAAGAAAAGCCAATGGATGTTCTTCCAAACGAATGCCCACCCGTTCAAGTCCATTCTCCTTGACCTTTGGATCCCGTGGAAACTATTCGCCTTCCCCATCGTGGAATTTGCATCATTTGTCGTATCCTGGTCATGCAGCTCGTTCCTGACACTCAATCTCACACAATCACAAAACTTTGCGGCACCACCATACAACTTCTCTTCGCAGTCCATCGGTTTCATGAACTTCGCCATCCTCGTGGGAGCGTTTATCGGACTGGCCACTGCAGGTCCACTCAGCGACTGGGTCTCAATGCGCGCAACGAAGAGAAATGGCGGCATCAGAGAGCCAGAGATGCGGTTGCCTGCCATGATTCCGTACGTAATTATCATGTACCTGGGCAACATCATTGTGTCCGTAGGATATGAGCGTAAGTGGAGCTGGGAAGTTATTGTCATTATTGGCTTTACCTGTGCTGGTATTCAAGTTGCTGCTCTGCCGTCGATAGCAAGTACCTACGCTGTAGACAGTTATAAGCCAGTCGCTGGAAGCTTGTTCGTGAGCATCACCGTCAATAAGAATGTGTGGGGATATGGCTTCTCCAAGTTCATCACCCCGTGGAGCGAGAAAAATGGGTAAGGAGGTCCCCGATTTATTCCTCAAAGACTTCTCTACTGACGTGGTACAGCTTTATTCCTCCTATCATGACGAACGCAAGCCTGATTTTGCTCTGGTGCTTGTTTGGGATCCTCTTCTACTACAAAGGTAAAACTTTCAGGAGATGGTCAAAGAACAGCAATGTGCACCACATGTAGACTATCTCCAAGCTTGAAAACATTCGCTAAGATGGATCGCACGGTGGTGGAGACTTAGAAGTAATGAAAATTCTTAAAGAACCGGACGCCTGAGTCTCGTTTGAAAGAACCGCAATTTGCTGATGAAAACTACCTGAATGACTTGTGAAGATGAGCGGATGAATCTTGCAAGGTTAGCAAATAATTTCTGCCGTCTCGCTAAGCATCCGAATGTCGTAGATATGTAGAGTAACTCGAGAGTGGGGAGTGACCAATCGTTTATGGTGAAGATGTCCCATCATGGTCACCACTAGTTTGTCAGCCACTTTTCGGGCCTCAGCCCCGCCACAAGAGTCCCTGCCTACCAGGTAGACACGGTCATTGAAGCTACCTGTTTGGAGCAAGCTGCTTTTGCGTGACCTATTACTCAACCAGGCTGTGAACTATCATATTTTTCTTGATTTTCTTCTTTCTTCTTTCTTCTTTCTTAACTTTCTTTCCATACTGTTCAACTCGACTGCAGAACCTCCATAAAGACACGCAAACGTTAGCATACGTTCTCGCTACTCTCAACCCCACCCATACGTACAGGTGAACTCATCGTATCTTATAATGGCCGCCGTGAAAAGGCTACAGAACGTCAGTCAGGCTGCAAGACACTTATGGAATATCACGCACGGTTTCTGACATGAGTCGATCAGGAGCTTAGCAAGAACACCCCGCCTACCACACCAGGCACAACGATCAAGTTGGTCAATGATGACCTCTTTAACTGGGAGATCATAATGGATGGCCCGGCGGAGTCTTTCTATGCCGTAGGTAGCCCCATATCCCTGTTGCCTATTCGTCAACGTTAACCTTTTTTTTACCTGCAGGGCGGTCATTTCAAGATCCAGCTCTCTTTTCCGACAAACTTCCCCTTCAAGCCGCCCACCGTATCGTTTCACACTAAAATATGGCACCCGAACGTGACCAACGACGACAAGGGTAGCATGTGTTTAGGTATTCTTAGGCCGGATGTATGGAAACCTGCCTCGCAGATTAGAAGCGTGCTGGATCTGATACGGAACCTTCTCATTGAGCCAGACATTGACAACGCGGTCGAGGCTAGCATTGCCGACCAATACAAGAACGACAGGAAGGGCTTTGAAAAGCAAGCCAAAGAGTGGGTTAAGAAGTATGCCAGCGCAAAATGACTCGCTGGAGAATGACGAATGGCAGTGCTTGTTTCACGAAGCATTTAATGCTCGCAAAGACGATGACATGATTTAATGAGCATCATATGGAGCCTTGGTACTCAAAGATTTAGGGCAAATCTGAAGGGTGCATTATGCGGAGCAGGACTTCGAACTATCTAGAGCTGCTCATGAGCTGATCAAAACCGTGGCTTTAATATTGAACCTGTGGTTTTGAAGCAATTCTCTGACTAAGCACCCATCGCTAATGCAGCAAATATCATATTGGACAAACATTACCTTCTCACGTCTATGTAGTCATCCTCTACAATACTTTTCCCTTCTTCCTTCGTTTGTAAGCAGACTATGCTTGGGTATCGTGTTTCAAAATGCTTGCTTTCCGCTTTTACCCAAAAGAATGCCAAAATATACAAGAACCACAAAGCAGATTGGCAATCTAATCACTTAGGTTGACCGCCGCTCCCCTCAGAAGGCAATTCCACAGGTGAACTGTACATTTCATAAGTTGGCTGGTGTGATGGGGCCTCGTAGACTGGCGCGCCAACCTTTTCGTATGTCTTCCCTCGCGCAGCGTTGCCAACGGCACCAATATCGCCAGGGCCAGTGTCTGGAAGTTCCTGTACCGCAATTTCCTTTGCTTTAGTTTTCCTTCTCCGGATGATGAAGAATGCAAGCGCTACTAGTCCTATCACTGCTGCAGCCACACCAATGCCAATTCCTGCTGCGGCACCGCCTGACAGACCTGAGCTCGAGCTTTGTTGTACTGGTGATGCGCTCGAGGTAGATGAGGAAGTGGAGGCGGCACCGTTGCCAGTTTCAGTTGCCGCTGCAGTTGCGGAAGCAGGCGTGTTTGTTTTCGTGCCCGACGACCCAGCTCCAGTGGCAGTCTATGTAGTGAAATTGTTAGCACCCAAAATTTCAGGTCTTCGAAAGGGTGCGAGTATGCTTTTGTAAAAGTGTACATTGGGCCGGAATCACAACATCTTGAGGACATCAAGTTTCCCGGACACCCTTACGCGTCCTAAAACATGTAGTGCTTACCGGTTCGATAGATGTGGAGTAGAGGCCGTCTTGAACGAGGCCGATGCTGCTAAATAGCCAATGCTGGGCCGGCTGTATTGGCGTCACGTTCGTATTTGGGGACATAAAACCTGGTCCACCAGGATGCCTATAGATTCCTGTGAATTCTGCCGCTTGCAAATGAGGAGAACACGACAACAGTGGTTAACATACCAGTCAGCGTTGAGACTTGTACCGTTGGCAACATTGTTGATCTTATATGTGCCATCACCCCAAGCAGATATGGTCCACTGCTGAGAGTTCTGCGCATTCGAGTCTTCCATGCACAACTGCAGTTTCGACGACGAGACCTCATCTGCCACGTAACATGTTCCCAGCTGCTTTAGCGTATTCGAGTTCTTATTGCGGAATTGAACATTTCCATTCGGTAGTGTGTAGATCTGCCAGTACATTCCACTGTCTCCAGTATCGTTTACACTGAAATGTAAGGAGTTACTGGACCAGAATAGAGCAGATGTGTAGTTCACACGGGTCTCTGTGATCCACCACCACGTATTTCCATCGAACGTTGTCATCCTGATGGGATCGTTTCCTTCGCAGCTCGTTTGGATTTAGTCTGCAGGTTAAGAGGTTGATATACTACGACTGGTCTCGAGCACCTTGGTCGAAATCGGGTCAACGGAGATATGGATAAGGACAAAGATGAGAGAACGATCAGTGAGAATGTAAGCAGGGCTTAATAAGGCGAACAGTAAAGACGATGGTCTTCAAGAAGATGATGCAGATGATCTTGGCATTGCTTACATGGCAGCGTGAGGAAACCAAAAGCCCCAAATTTACACGTAGCAGGGAGCATTCCCAAACAACCAGGCATGCTGGAATAGTGTCATGGGCTATTCATACCTCACGTCGCGGAGCCAATAGCCGTGGGATGGATCGTCCACAGGATTTCGGTTCAAGAGACGCTAACTCTCATGGAGAAGTTTCATAGCAGCGGTTGAGGCTTGGGAATGCAAAAGCCGTCCACATCGCATGACCACAGCACGGTGAAAGCGCCAAAAATAAGCACTATGTCAAACCACGGCCGGGGTTTCATGGCGCAGTAACGTTAGACGAACCACTGAATGAGATTAGCTCCGGGAGGGAGTCTGGAGAAATACATGGGAATGCGGAAAGATGTGCGATTCACGGTTGACACAGACCAGATGTCCCGGGTTTGAGAGCACAATACTGGTGAAGGCTCCTCTTGGCGCAATTTGTCGTCGTGAGATCACAGGTTTAGAAGTTTTACCTTTGTAGGAGAGGTGAGATTTTAGGCCGAGGCTACAAGGCACAAATTCAATGTTGCTTCCTCAGGCATCCTTAACATATCGGCTAAGGTGGAAATGGTCCTCGTCAGGCAGCAAGCTCGGACTTGAGGCTGCGATTACGCATAGAACTATCATGAATCTTCGTCACAGTTTGATAAATCCAGTGCACTCTCCTTAGCCCCACACTCTTTTACTCTTTCAAATTGCAGTGAGACGAAATCACTTCCTTCTTGCTTATCAAGTATCCAACCGAAGAAGTAAAAAAATGGGTTCCGTTGTTCTACCTCATTTGCGTAGTGGCTGGCATGTCGATCAGGCGATCCTGTCGGAGGAAGAACGTCTGGTCGTGATTCGCTTCGGCCGCGACAGCAACCCGGACTGCATGAGGCAAGATGAGATTTTGTACAGAATAGCTGATCGTGTCAAGAACTTTGCCGTCATCTATTTGTGCGACAATGAAGAAGGTACGGATGCCAGTTACTCTTTTATTACTACGCGAACTTGTGTGCTAACTTTGCCCAGTAAAGGACTTCAACACCATGTACGAGCTCTACGACCCGATGACCATCATGTTCTTTTTCCGCAACAAGCACATGATGTGCGATTTCGGCACAGGAAACAACAACAAACTGAACTGGGTCTTGGAGGACAAGCAGGAGCTTATAGATATCATCGAGACGATTTACAAAGGCGCGAAGAAAGGCCGTGGTTTGGTAGTCAGTCCGAAAGACTACTCAACTCGATATAGATATTAAAAGGCAACACTCCTGGTTCTTAGATGGTATGATGGATGAGACAATATATTGTGCGCCACTCGAAAAGTATTTCGGTCGCGTGTCCAGCTATTAAGCTGAAACGAAGACGTGGGATAATTGGGTATACGGAGAGGCATGTGGTTGGTATAATCACTCTTTCCCGTGAGATCTCTATTTCTCACGCCAGCTTCGCAGTCCTTCAGCAAAATGCCAAGCAGGCCCGAGCAGTTCGAAACGCTCAACGGAGATCTATGTCGCCTGATTTCATTCAAAAGGCTTTGGCAAATATGGACAAAGTTGGGACTGAGAGGGGCAGTAGCGGGGTTAAGAAACTTCTTATGCGCTGGCTGACTTGTCGCTGACGCAATGAAAATCTATGTACAAGTACGCATACGTCTTTCTTTTATCGTTCCATTTCTATTCCTAGTGCTTTTCATGGAATTTACACGTCGCATTTGTTGACTCTCGTTAAAAGTTCGATAGTTAGGGTGCACTGGCCAAGCGGCAGAGAAGCTAAGAATGACGCAGCCTCTTGCATCATACATCACTTTCACCACTCAAATGCTGGGAAAGGAGCATTCAAATGGTTAAATGACGCGACACGACAAAACATGTTAAAACTTATCATTAAATTCCACCCACTTCTCTCTATCTTAATCCAGCTCTCTCGGTCTTGAATCACTGCAAATTGCCAGTTTTTGCAAGTCTCTAATTGACTGGTCAAACAGCATGGAGAACGTAGGAACAGGGATTAAGGACATACTGCCCATTCCACATACCACCCAGCCTGTTGCAGACCCTAACAAGGAAGAGCTTCATACAGACTCACAGGATACACCTACCCTAAGCCATTCGCTAGCTGCAGCGGCCGTAAATAATCCTGAGGCTGTGACAGAAGAGAAAGGTGCTGCGCAGCGTGAACACGATGTAGAAGTCGTTGATCTTGGCTGGAATGAGCCACCCTCAGCCATTGCGAATCCACTGATTGGTGGTATGAAAAACGAAGACCTATGGCTTTTGGTACGAAGATTTAACAAGGTCAGTCGAAGCAAAGGGGCCGGCGAATGATCCGTTCTAACTTGACTCTCATTAGCAAATGTACCATTTGAAAGAGATACCCAATCCGGCCCCTGGTGGATTGGACTTGAATGTCGCCGAAGAGGAAGAGTTTTCGCCAGATAAGCTGCGAAACAATGTTGAGAGACTGTATATGACAGTCATACTTGGTCTAATGGCCTTTGGCAAGCAGATGGCGAGGCTGAGATCTTGGCGAGAGATGCATCGAACTGCGTGTTTTGCGACGGTATGTAATACTAATAGTGGCTACTAAGCAGACTGATAAACTTAGGTATACTTCCTGGTATGGGCTGTTGATTTGCTGGTGCCCGCTTTCTTGTTTCTTATCATGACCCTGATCCTCTCTCCAGCGGCTCGACGATTATTATTTCCACCTGCACCCATTGCTCTGGTCAATGGCAAGACAGGTGGTGTGCAAAAGCCAAGGGCAGGCGTATTGGGAAGCACGGATTCTGCGACAGGTGCGCCCGAAAACTACAAAGGCGAGGCTGTTGAGCAAGAAGCCAGCAATTTTGTTACCGGCATCGCTTCAGTAGCTTTGAGTGGTGCGACGGGCAAACATCCACAGAACGACCCACCTCCAGACGAGGACGCTTCCCAAGATGCTGTGCCAGATCCTTCCGCAGTGGCACTGTCTGCTGCTAACGCAAAGCAAAAAGCGTCCGGAAATAATCCATCCGCCTCGATGGACAAGACTAAAGTACCAATGGAAACAGCAATGTGGACGAAGATGCGACCGATAATGCATGGACTCGCTAACGTTGCGGATACATGGGAACGCGTGGGAAATGCTTTGAATCCTACACCGCCGTTCCCAAAGTACGTGTACCGCCTACGTCTTGCTTCTCTTGTTCTACCACTGTTCTTGATTTCGTTATCTACTAGTGCATATATCGTCGTGAAGGGAACTACCTTCGCCATTGGCTTTGGCTTTTTCGGAGATCCAATCATTACCCCTGCGCTTCAATGGCTCGATCGCACGTATCCCAACTGGCAAAAGCTTCTTGAGGTTCGCAACACAATTCTCAAAGGCGTTCCAACTAATGCACAGCTTACTATTACGCTCTTGCGTATTGGTGAAGCAAACAAGGCTCCTCTACCCCCGCCTCCAAGGGCTATATGTGCACCTCCCAAAAAGTCCGTACCAGTCAACCTCACTGATGAGAAATTACCCGCCTCTGTTGATCCTCCATTGAATGCAACAAAGGAAGAACTCGACGCTGCACTTTCGCATGAGCCTAAAGTTGCTCATGACACCGGTAGCAAGGACACTAATACTGCAATGCATCAAAAACATGGTAAAAAGGGCGGTAAGATTTTAGGATTTCTGAAAGGTACCGCTAGAGGAGTTGTCAATACGGCCATTACTACAGACTCACTCAAAGCCAAAGCTGGCTCGACCCACGCCAAACAACGCCTTGGCGTTGTGGCTGCTGCGAATGCTGTTGCTACAAGTGGGCCAGTAGAGTTTAAATGCCGATACAATGGTCACAAAGGCCATGCTTACATCACTACCAAAGCGACCATTCCATGCATTGCCTTTTCAACCGACACAACCATCGAAAAGATTGGCACACAGGATCGTGAAGATCTGCATCCTGCTTGGAGCATTCCGGTCCAAGATATTAAGGAGCTTCAGAAACGAGGAGGATATGGTTGGAAAGCTAAATTAATCGTAGGATGGGCGCTAGAACGTGAAGTTCAGGACGGTCTCACTATCATCGACCGCAAGGGCAATAAGGTATACCTCGGTTTTCACGTTCAGCGGGATTGTGCAGCTGATTTATTTTCTAGTGGGAATTGACCGCTATGCCACTGCGTGACGAATTATTCAATCGCCTCAGCGCGATGGGCTCCCAGAAATGGTATGAGAACTGAATTCGTGTTTTGCTAAAAAACCTCGCCATGTGAACGCAGAGAATGTACTCCTGAGTGTTGGGATGAATATCTCGATACAAACTTTCTTTTCTCCTGAACGAGATATTAGCCATGCGCGCTGACGAATTTTGGATCAACACGTGCTTTGGTACTAATGCTAACGTCGTATCACTGTAGGGAATCGTGGTGAACCCGCCAATAACAAGTTCTGGTTTTCACGCAGAATCTGATGGTACGTCCCTTCATCGGTTATATACCAGTCTGCTGCAAAGAGCCATGAGGTATATATCAATAGAATTTGTATTAGCTATTTTCAACGTAGTGATTAAATTATCGGCCCTTTCTCTAAGCGAAATCATTGCACATAATTTTATCTTAATTGTGACCGGCTTTCTCACATTTATTCCATGGGCTAGTTTGACTATCAGTTATTACAAATAGTGCTTTTAACGTGATTTTACAGTGTTTCAGAAATTTAAATATATCATCATTCCATTTGTTTCCATTTCAACGCTAAGGAAATTCTGACGTCTGATGAGAAGATAGATGAGAAAAAGTGGACTGATCAATAGTATCATTCTTACTTATATATCCCCTCTGAGGCTTGCATTTAGCTCTGAATTCCTGATTGTGTTACGAGAAAGCTACATCCGGAGAGGCTGAAGTTGACTTTGTACTCTCTTCCCCAGCGTTAAAGGGTCTGGAGTGACGACTTCAGTCTGATGTCTAATTAAGAGTCCCTAAAATGAGAGTAAGAAATAATTTTTTCAACACTGAGACGACCTACTCCATTTGTGTCCTTGAGAAGAAGTTCTGGGGAAACCAAGTTGCTAATATCGTTCTTACCACGTGACAAGTCCCACCTCCAAGCGGGATCGGCCGGCCTGATTTAACTGTTCCATACGTAGAATTGATTTAGCTATTCGAGCTATATTCTACAGTAGATCCTTCAATCACCCAAAATATCCTCGCCGTGAGCTGAGGAAAAAAGATGTCCCAAACCGAGTTGACGCTCAATTATGCGCGGGCCCAAGATGAGAAGGATGAGCTGCGTCATTTGCGGAACGAATTTCTCATTCCTACGAAGAGAGATCTTAAACGGAGAAAATTAGGACCGCATACAGAAGCTGCAGAAGCTGAGGATGAACTGTCTACTTATCTCTGCGGGAATTCGCTAGGACTGCAACCAAAGCGGACTCACAAGTACATTGATTCGTATCTCTCCACATGGAAGAGCATGGGCGTTTATGGTCATTTCAAACCTTTGGACGAAGCATCGACAGTCCCTTGGGTTGACATTGGTGACCAGGCCGCCGAGGCTGTGTGCAAAATCGTCGGGGCGTTACCAAGTGAAGTCGCAGTGATGCAAACACTTACCGCAAATCTTCATCTTCTCATGGCAAGTTTCTACCGACCAAATAAGGACAGGTGGAGAATTATATTGGAGAGCAAAGCCTTCCCCAGCGATCATTACGCCATTTACTCGCAATGCTATCATCATAATCTTTCTCCCCAGGAGGCCATCATCACTCTTGAACCCTCAGATGTAGAAACGCATTACTTCTCAACCGAACACGTTCTCGATGTCATTGGCAGATACGCAGATACAACAGCCTTAGTGCTTCTACCTGGTATCCACTTCTATAGCGGGCAGTATTTTGACATTCAGAAAATCACATCCTTTGCACACGAAAAAGGTATTACCATCGGCTGGGATTTAGCGCACGCTGCGGGCAATGTGCCTGTCAAGCTGCATGATTGGAATGTGGACTTTGCAGCATGGTGCTCATATAAGTATCTCAACTCTGGGCCTGGAAGTATTGCAGGCTTATTCGTGCACGAGCGGCATGGACAAGTCAAGAAGATGAATGGCGAAGCCGCCTCAGCCCAGCTCGGCTCTGCAAGCGACGGCAAAGGCAGTACCTTTCACTATATTCCCCGGTTGAGTGGTTGGTGGGGTAGCGACAAAGCAAGCAGATTCAAGATGGACAATGTCTTCATTCCTATTCCTGGGGCAGCGGGTTGGCAACTAAGCAATCCTTCGGTTTTTGATTGCACCAGCGTCATCGCCAGCATGAGCGTCTTCAATGAAACTTCAATCAATGCATTGAGAGAAAAAAGCCTCAAATTGACAGCCTATCTCGAGAAGCTGCTAAAAGAGTGGCCGTTAGATTCAAAATTGAGAAAATACACGATTCTCACGCCATCAGATCCCGAGGAGCGAGGCGCACAGCTAAGTGTGAGATTAGATGAAGGTTTACTTGAAGATGTGATGGAAGTGCTCGAGAATGAGGGCGTCGTCGTGGATGAAAGGAGGCCAAACGTGGTTCGTGTTGCGCCGGCTCCGTTGTACAACTCTTTCGAGGACGTGTGGAGATTCATGGTTGCTTTTGAAAAATCGCTGAAGGTTGCTGTAGACAAAAGAAGAGGAGCTTCCTAAGCAGAACACAAGTTGTGGAGCTGAATTAAGACACAGCAATGGCACGGCGCGAAATGTCTATTTGATCAGTATACTCCTCTAAACTAAGGATAGGGGTCATTCTTAACGCGCTAGAAACGAAACGAGCTGCGACTAGACGTCTTGTTGCATGTTCATTTGCTCCCAGCTGAGTGCGTGACCTGCTGAACTGGTGTTCCAGCTTCTATGCGTTAGTTGGCTTCCAACTGAGCCTGACTCGCTCAGGATGAACCATTTTTAGGGTAGGATTAACACCCATTTCGCTGTAGTTTGCGACAGCGAAAACTCGTTTATACGTATCTGCTTCACTTTCACCTGCTTCAGGAACAGCTTGTACACGATGCTTCCTCAGACACATCGCAAGTGTAGCCACAAACTCAACCTGCGCGAACTTCTTTCCTGGGCATACCCTAGGACCGGCAACCCATGGTATGAACGTATTACCTGGCCCAGGGATGACAAGTTCGCCTTCTTTAATGAACCGTGAAGGTCGCCACCGATGCGAATCGGAGCCCCAATGGCTCTCTGAATAGTGCAGAGACGTCAGGTTCAATGTTAGCATATAGTTCTCAGGAATCTGGAATTGCTCTCCAGCGATTTCGAGGCTTTGGGGGGAAAATGTTTGCTTGGTCATGGAGGGCACGGGTCCGAAAAGGCGAAGTGTCTCATACTAGTATATTGTCAGTGTAGAAACAGCCAAAATGTGAGAGTTTCTCACCATTGTTGCCAGACACCTACGCAACCTCGGAAACGACTTCTCATAGTCCCATTTATCTACCGTCGTATCGCCGAATACAGCATTGATCTCTTCGGCGATCCAATCTTGGACGTCCGGACGTACCGATAAAAGTGTGAAAGCAAATGCCAAGGTCCCTGCAGTAGTGTCGTGCCCAGCAAGATTCCAAATGAAGAGATTTCCATAAATCTCCTCATCACTCAGGCTATATCGACCCTTTCCCTGGCTCCTTGAAACCTCGTTTGCGCGAATCAACGCGGCCATCAAATTATCTTGTTGCGGAGCTCCCATTTCGTCCTTCATAGACGCTCGTTGTTCATCTGCCATTTCGATCATGTACTTCTTGAATTCAGCCTGGTATTGTTTCATATCCCTCCAACTCTTCGGGAGCATCCAAAGCGGAGCGTTGACATTAGCTGCAATGATTGACACTAGCATGTCTTTCAATATTCCCGCCAAGGCATCTCGATAAGATAGAGAGTGGCCTTCTGGGACTTTTGTTGTGCCAATCTCGAAGTCGTAATTCTTTCCAAAACCTGCACTCGTGAGGACATGAAGGGCAAGTTTCTTCGTATCCTCTAGGGTTCTATCACCACCGACGCTGGTTTTGCTAGACCATTCAGCGGCCATTCCTTCTGCCTGTTTCAAGGACTCCTTCCAGACCAAACCACTGTTTCGTTCATTGAACGGCGGGGTTGTCAAACGTCGATGTCGCTGCCAAGCGTCACCATTTACAGTGTCTACATTGGGCCCGAAGTATTCGATAGCTGAGTAGATGACAGGTGGTTTAAGGAAGGCATTGGTTCTTCTTAAACATTCCTCGATGGTTTTTGGATCGCTTGTAACCAGGTTACTGCCACCAGGAGTGACAATAAGGAAAGTCGGACCATATCGTTTATGAACTTGGCCACGGTCTCCGAATGGCCAGCCAATGTCACCAAACATGGCCCAGTCCTGGATAATTTGGAGAGGTACACGCCTCATCAAGGGGAAGAGCAAACTCCCAAGAAACCACCATACTGGACTGAAAGGATTGACAGGAGTGACAAGTACGGGCAGCCCTACTCGTTTAGCAATTCGATAGTGTTGAACAATCGAATATGTAGGATACGCAATGCAAGCAAACACAATGGTATATATCAGCTTTCCGACTCCCATGGCTGCAAGCTAAGACCCAAAATACGAAGTCACTTTTGGTATATTGCGAAAACACAAAGATACAAGAAAACACTCCTAAATAGGAGGTCAGATGAATTATGTGGGAATACGGCCTTAGCCGTTCTTGTGTTAGCATTTAGGAAGTGGGAATCGGCGCCTGGCCCTTCTTGATTGGCCACTTACTTCCTGCGTTATTTTTAACTCGGCGTTTCCCCATTGTAGGTTTCCCTAGCTAGGAAATGTGTTTGCGGGCTTATCCCATCCTCTTTACCGATTTGATAGCGGTTCGCGATTAGGTCTGACCTTTCCATGCCATCTTCACCCAGTCAGGTTCATCTTTTCTGACTTTTCTGGCTCTACCAAGACTCGCTTCTTGCCCTCAGCAAATAAATAGCGCAGGTTTAGTGCTCGTAACTGTACACAAAGAGAATCGCAATTAGCGACTGCCACTCCCCTTGTATTCGCTCCTCTTGCATGCCCATGACTTTATGAAAAAAAAAAAAAAAAAAAATAAGCAAAAACAGCTCCCTGTAGTAATGATTCTCAGTTTATCGAATTTGAAAGAACGTGTTCGAGACAAATGGTCGATAAAAAAATGGCCATGGCTTGTCAGCCGTCAACGTAAATATCAATATGCCGCCGAGAGATACGTCCATAATTCGGGATAAGACGGACTCGATTTTAGTGGAATTGAGGAGCGTAGAAACAAGGTGTGCCTCTGATTTCTAAGCCACAGTCTCTAAATTAGTTCGGTTCTTCTCTTCTGCATATTGTGCACCAATGCTCAGCAATTAAGTTACACTTCTGATGACGATGAAATTCTGATGATATTGGAGAGGGACAGTGCAAGGAGTGCTGGACGCGAATATGAATGGCAACCTTTCCGAGAGCACTTCCCACAGTGACGACTACAAAATTTTGAACCCAGACTTCTCAATGTCAAATATGATTTATACACATGTCGTAACAGATGTCCAACTGCTTGATGCAATAGAACGACGTGGATAAGCCCTTTTGCGCCGCTGCATTCATGGGGTAAAAAGGTCATTAACATATACTACAGATTGCGACAAGGCCAAATTAGATGTTTTAGAACTTCAATGACAGCCTTGCGCCGAACGCAGGTTTATGAACAGCGAATATAGTCAGATTTAATACCGCGTATCCATATCTTCCAGATCTTGATCATCCTCGGACTCCATGTGGTCGTCCGCTTTTGGATCAGTGATGCCCTGCGCGTGGCCAGCCTGAGTGGTCCTTGGATCGACAGTCACGATACCTAGCTCCTCCATTTGCTCCTCCGTCAACTGGACCACAGTGGGTGCGTATTCGCCACTCTCATCTTCTTCGTCAAAATCTGCAACGTCCATCTCCACTTTCTCACCGTCTTCAAGCTCGAGCAGTCCTTTCCGCACAAAATTGCTGTCGAGTTCCCAGCCATGTTCATCACGCAAGAAATTTTCAAGCTCATCGAGTTCATCCATAACGTCGCTCTTCCCCGCACCAGAGATGTCGCGCAAGCCGAACTTGAATTTGTGAAGGAGTCCCTTAAGAAGTGAGCCAGACTCGTCAGCAAGATCAAACAATCCGCCTTCTGCGACCTGACAGTTCTGCAACTGAACGCGGAGCTGGGCGAGAAACTTGACGTAGAACGCGGAAAAATCGGAAACGGCTGACTTGCACGTCAGCAGCAGACTCAGTAGCCGCTTCCACTGTTCCAAGCACGAGTAATTGTTCAACGTTAGAACCATCAGGAAGCAGAACTGCATCTCCCCTAAAATATGCTCAAAACTTCGGCCCAGACAATGCTTCTCCAAGAGCTCGCGCAAGTACCACGAGTGGTCCAAAGCAGCTTCTGTCCTCTCCCGTCCTGTTGCGCCCTCTCGCCAAGGTCGCTTCAAATCGATTGGCAGGAAACCAAGCTCTTTCTCTGCTTGCATCACGCTGCTGGACATGCTTATACCGGGGATGACCTCCAGATCTTCCTTGGACGACGAAGCCGACGTTATGCTCCAGTGGTTTGGCGTTTCGCCGAGGAGTTTCGAGAGCAGCGAGGCGGTAATGCGGTCCGTTAGGAGTGACCAGTCGGATTTCTCTTCGGTGGCCTCCTGTGAAGCAGTTTGACGGTATGGCGACAGCCCTTCGCGCCATATCGATCCCAGATTCGCACGCCACCGTAGGATCTCCGCAACATCTGTAACGTCTTCCAGCTGCTCCGTCGATGCATTCCACCTTTTCACAAACAGTGGATGCAGCTGGTCAGAATTCGCCGGCACTTCGAACCAAGCTCCATGACGGACGGAAAGATCGCTACTGGTGCTACAAAATACAAAGTGGAGACCTGGAGGCAAATTTTTGATGCCTTTGAACTTCGGCGTCGTCGTAAACGACAGCAGATCGATACCGGCAAGCGCGGAATGTGACAAGTCAAGCAGTAGTACACACGGCGAATCTGTGGTCTCCATGCCGTCATAGCGTGGCCGGACAGGCAACGAGCGAGCAGACGAAGACATGGTTGATGTAAGTAGGTGGCAAGGTCTGCCACGTCCAAGGCGACAGTTATGTCATACTTCGAGGCCGCCTACTGTACAGCAATACCACTATTTGCGTTGTCAAACTTTGGCCTGAGCTCATAGATTTTTTTCACGTTCAGCGTAATGAGGTTCGATTACAAAGCCTCATGTGCAAAGAAATTTCGTCCGTTGTTTTTTCGCGTCGTTGGTGCTGCCTGAGGCGCCACATCCCTTCCTTGGTGGACGTCATATCTCGCTTCAAATAATTTCACCCTTTTCTCGTGCGTGCGGGCTACGGCCCATTCAACAGAAATCGTTCCTTTAACATGACCAAAAATGTCACGAAAAGGGCCGCAAAAGCCCCAGCGGCTTCTGGGCCTGCTATACCGTCGCCGTTCCAGATCGCGCCGGCAGCCCTTGAACCCTTTCTCTCGACTCTCTCGAAAGAGTCCGTGTACATAACGCATTTCGACCGGCATCCGACCACGTTCAAGAAACAGATCTTCGTCATACCGGTCCTTCTTAATTTTGCAATTCTCATGGGCTTGATGTGGAGACTGTACATCATGACCCCGTGGTACTTTGGCCTCCTCGTCACGTTCTCCCAAGGACCTCTGGTCACGCAACAGTCCTTTGATCGATACGTGGCACTCGCGATACTCCGCCGCGTGTTGACATTCGTAATCGATTACTTTCTGATTGCCATCGTCGCGAAATGGCCCTGGTCATTCTTCTTGGAATCACCAGGCAACCCGGTCAGCTGGCGGCTAAGGTGTGGATTCAGAGAGCGCGAGATCATTGTGCGGATTTCGCGGGGCTGGGGACGAGACGACCTGATGGGCGGAGCGAAGAAAGGGGCGGAGAGCCCGTTCTTCAAGACTCGACTGCTTCCTGCGCTTGCGGCGGACAAGATGTCGAAGACCGGCTACTTGCTCATGGACGCGAACTGGGACCTCGACTTTGGGGTCATGATCAATGCCACGAGACTGCTGGACAAGTCGGTGGTGAAAGAGCACCAATTGGACCGTAAAGTCTTCGTCTGGCTTGGCGACGAGCGGAATGGCGAATGGACCGTGTGGGACGAAAAGGGCTTTGCGGAGGAGACGGCAGAGAAGGTCGAGGAGCTGCAAGAGAGGAGCAACGCCGAGCACCGTGAGAAGATATATGCCATACAAAAGAAGCTGCAGGAGATGGGCAAGGACGAGTTGTTTTTCAAGTGGGTCGAGCTGATACAGTACGAGAGCACGCAGCCCGGCGGCTTCACCCCGCAAAGGCAGCTCGAGGCGGGCGTGAAAGTCCAGGCGCTGTTCGAAGAGTACGGTGTCGACTTTGAGCAGTTTGGAAAGGAAGTTGGAGGCATGGACTGACGCGATGATTGAATACATGTGCCACTGCGCCCAGACTTGCTCAATTGGCTGCACTTGCTTAGCATTGCTGTATATAACGATACTTGAAAAGCATCGATCACTGAGGTATGCACCGTCAAACTTGATGGCATAGGCCGTCAATCGAAAACGTGTACGAGGCAGATCGGCTTCTCTGCTCCATGCGGACCGTCCGCGATCTTTGCCATCAGCTCGGCTCCTGGCGCAGCAAGGCGTCTTACTTGCGCACTGCTTGTCAGCAGGAGAATCGAATCGCGTCTTCAGTGGTAAAAATTCGTGCGATCTTTCACAATCTCCTCTCTAATCGAAGAAATCTATTTTTCCCCACACTTTAGTTGGCATCGTGCTCAGACTCTTCCCCGCCCAGCATTTTTTGCAGCACAAGGAACATATATACGGAATACGTCAAGGCATCTGTTGCCTTCTTTGCCAAGATCTCTTTCAGCCGGATCTCAACCAGATCGGCCATCTTTGCCAAGCTAACAAAGGTTCATAGAGAAAACCGGTGCACCCACCCTCCTCCAATAAGGGCGATCGAAATGTCGCCCTTTTTCGCCCTGTACTTTTCAATTGAAGAAGACATCCTTTGTCGTCTTGTTATGGCGAAGACGATCTTTTTGCCTCAACAAGGCGCGTCGTGCCATTGGATCGTCCATCCTTTACATGGCAGCGATCGCAAGTCTTGTACAGCCCTAGCTGGCTTCCTTACCGAGTACAAATAAGCAGGCGAAGCCATTAACGGAAATGTTCCTAGGACGAACGATATTCACCAGCCACCATTCGATGCACATGTCCAATACTACATCATATAAGGGGAACTGAAAGCCCTGTCGAATTGAATTCGAGTCACGCGGTAGGCTTCAACCTGGTTTGGACGATTTTTTCAGCTGCTTCCATTGCAACAACAGACCTTTTTGCAATTCGTCCACTACAGTACGTCAACGTCGAACTTCCAAAGTGTAACTAAACCTCTGATCATGTAGTGGACCAAATATTCGCAAATAAAAGAGTGGCCCGCAGCGACGGCGCCTCAGCTCACGCTTCAGTGACTGTATTGAGGTATTGCAATGATAGCGACGGGGAGACTGACTGTGCGGACGGAACTACTTCTGGAAGTGGCTTGTCAGTAAATAATTGTAGGTCGCAGTCTTGCAGCCGGGATAGACTTCGAGGACGAAACGGTTGTACTTGTTCAAGGGAGCATAAAGGTTGGACTTGAATGGATGAATTTATTTCTTCTAGTTCTCACCAGTCGCACGTATTTTTGCAGTCCGTGCCGAACGAGCGATTGGCATATCAAATTCAAGGCTTGGTCATATAAATTGAAAACTGCAATCTCTTGGCAGGTGTCCTAGGCTCTCTTCATTATGTGAGAATCTGCGCATGGGAAGAGTCAAATAGTGCTTTGGCCAGCCTAGTGCAGGAGCTTAAGAACTTTGATCAAATCTGCCGTGACGCCCATGGCCGTTACTTCGCCGCCAGCACTGTGAAGGTTAACAATGAAAGACACTTTTTTTCGTTCGAAGGACGGATACGTACCCGGCACCCTGAATGATCAGGGGGTTGCTTCCGTATCTCTTCGTGTAGAAGCTGATGATGTTGTCGCTGCCTTTGAGCGCCGCGATTGGGTGAGAATGGTCAAATTTCTCCAGGCCGACCTTGACCTGCTTTTTCCCCACGTCGATGCTGCCCACGAACCGTACGACCTTACCTTCGGACGCGGCCTCGGCCTTCAGCTTGTCCATGTCGCCGTCAAAGGCCGGTAGCTTCTCTAAGAACTCCTCGCCGCTTCCCACGCTCTCCAGCTCCTTCGGGATCAGGCTTTGCACGGGGAAGCTGGTTGGGCTTGCAACGTCCAGGCCAGAGATGCGAGCGAGGATGGTGAGCTTTCGCGCGACGTCGAGTCCGTTCAAGTCGTCCCGTGGATCCGGCTCTGTGTATCCTAGCTCCTTTGCCTTTTTGACCTCGGCGGAGAACGATCCACCGCCACCGCCTACTGGCATGAAGCTGTTGAACAGGAAGCTCATGGTGCCCGAGAACACGCCTTCTATCTTGGTCACTTCGTCGCCGCTGTCAATCAAGTCGTGCAGAGTGCTGATCACCGGTAGTCCCGCGCCCACTGTGCTCTCGTGGAACACAAAGCCGCCTGTACCCTGGCCATTCGATGCGGCGCCAAAGATCTTCTTCCACAGGTCGTAGGAACCGGAAAAGCCCTTCTTGTTTGGTGTAACCACGCTGATACCCTTCTCCAGAAAGCTGGGATAGCTGTCAGCGACGTCCTGGTTGCTCGTGTTGTCCACGAGCACGACGGGCTTGCCAGATTTTGACAGGTAGTCTGCAATCTCTGGTAGCGACGGGACTTTGGCCGGCGAAGCCTGCAGGTCGGACTCCCACGATGAGAGAGAGATTGGCTTGTAGCCTTCGGGCATCAGGACCTTGGAGCTTCTGGCGAGCAGAACAAGCGAAAGGTACGTGGGTGCTCGAGAGTCCTGCGCAAGCCTTGTGCTAAGCTGGCTCAGCTGTGAAAGGAAGCATTTTCCAACTCCTCCCGCGCCTGCGATACGATGAGCACGCAGCAAACCGATCCAAAAGAAGGCCGTACTCACCAATGACGGCGACGTAAACGTGACGCGGTGCGGGCATCTTTCTCTTTTTTTCCTCCCAATTTGAAGCTACGGTGTAAGTGTTGGGTCAGTTGATTTAGAAGCTCGCGTTTCTAGTAATTTTCTACCCTTTCCAACAAAACTTCCGCAACGTGGGTTACGGTGCTGCTAAGACGGGTAATTGTAGATTTGCACACACGTGCCGCCCAGCTGTCGATTCCGCACTGAGCCTGGTGTGTCCTCGCGTGCTTCACGAAAAGGAGAAATGAGTTGTGATTTTTGAAGAACCCCACATTACGCCATAGGGCTGCAGGAACAAAAAAAAAGACCCAGAAAGAGCCCCTCGTTAGATACTTGTAGACTTCTAAGCAGGCGCAAGGGTCCGAGTGTCGGCAACCTTTCCCCCTCCGGCACGTCCGTCTTTGACATGTCCTGTTGGTAAAACGTCACAAACACCAGCCATGCACTCCAAGGACGCGCACCTGTACGGCGTGCCGAAGCCGAAGAAGGCGCCCGGCAAGGATATGTCCTCGTCGTCGTCCTCGCTGGCCTTCACGTCGCAGCTGTCGTCGCTGATCGCGAGTGGCAAGGATGCGAGAGAGCGGACGGCGCCGGCCAGGCCGCGGCCAAAGAAGGACGACATCTTCTCCGTGCACAACAGGAACGCCAAGAAGCGGGCCTTGAAGGACCTCGACGAGGTGGACTTTGCGCAGAGGCATTCCACGAGCAGCGAGGCCGTCGACGAGGCGACGTGGCGTCGGGCCAAGCGCAAGATGGAGGAGAAGGCGCGCCTGTACGCGGCCATGAAGCGCGGCGACATCGAAGACCTGGAGGACAAGTATGCGGTCGACTTCGACCGGAAGTGGGCGGAGGCGCAAGAAGCGGGCGGCGACGCGACGTCCTCGACCGACGACGAGGACGAGGACGAGGCGCCCAGCGACGGCGAGGAGCTGGTCGACTACGTGGACGAGTTCGGGCGCAACCGGCGGGGCACACGGGCGCAGGCCGAGCGGGCAGCGCGCAGGCAGCAGACGCAGGCGGCGAACGCGGCCGACGACCGGTTCACAGCGCGGCCGAGCATGCCGGCGCAGCTGATCTACGGTGACACGATACAGTCGGCCGCGTTCGACCCGGATGCGGGCGTAGCGGAGCGGATGGCGGCACTGGCGGCAAAGCGGGATGCGGCGACGACTCCGCCGCCGGAGACGCACTTTGACGCGCGGCACGAGGTGCGCACCAGGGGCGCGGGCTTCATGCCTTTTTCTGCAGACGCAGAGGAGCGGAAGCGGGAGATGGAGGCGCTGGAGGCGCAGCGGCGCGAGACGGAAGCACAGCGTGCAGAGGCAGCGCGTAGGAAAGAAGAGCGGAGGCGTGAGGTAGAGGAGCGCAGGCGAAAGATCCAGGAGCGACGCACAGCCAAAAAGACGGACCGATTTCTGAAGGAATTGTTGGGCGAGCTGGAGGAGAAGGAGATTAAGACAAAGGATGAGGACGGCGATGTGAAGAAAGAGCCGGACATGGCCTCGCACGAGCCTGTCGTCAGCACCTGACTGTGTCTATTTTACGTCTCTATTTTCTGATCTACGGTTGACTCCAATCTTGGGGTATACAGTGTCTAGTTGTTTCCAGAGGGAAAGCGAAAACAGGACCATACTGTCTGAGATGTTGTACAACACAGGCAAAATATACACACACACACACACACACACAGAGAGAGAGAGAGAGAGAGAGAGAGAGAGAGAGAGAGAGAG